GACAGTAATCACTATAGTACATATAGCAAAGTGAAAGCTGCCATAGCCTAGAGAGTTATACGCACTCGCAAGGAAAAATTATTTAGATATTCTCGTCGAAAAGGTGTGGCGCAAACGAGAAAATAAGGTTCTAGTGAGCTGCTTGGGATTGAACAAGTCACATGATTCATGGATCGACTCCGCGAATATCCTATAAATTTCTTCTATCAGTTTTGATTTTGTGAGCGTCCGGGACGGAGATGGAACAAATTATCTTGCCGGAAATTTTTTTTAATTTATTGCAAGAGAGTGATTTGAAGTGTCCGCCCCCTTCACAGGCACCAACAGATATTCCAAAACGTACTGGTGCAAATTCCCGAGTTAAAAAAAGCAAAATTGAATCTCTACCGCAAGGACAAGGTGAATGGTCGTAGGCGTTTAAAGATTACAACGAAAAGAGGGTAGTTTCTGAAGCGTTCAATTTGAAAAATCAGCTGACGCAATGCGAAGAAGATATATAGCAGCTCGAAACTCAGATAGCACTTGTTCAGACCGATCTCCAAGTACTGCGCTTACAAAGCAAAAATCGGATATTTTCAAAATTTGGCTCCAGAACATATTGTATACAATTGTAAAAAATATTCATTAACTGTAATGTGATATAAAAAATAAAATCGTAAAAATATATTTCAAGTCGTTTTATTTCAAATATTTGTGAGGACACGCTTGGTAAGATCTAAATTAGGCCCAAAAATATCTACGCAACAGCTGTCGAACAGGTCCAAAACGTCTAAAGGGACAGATTTCGACAGATCCGAAACAGATATGACCCAGTAAACAGTTTCGCTTCGTTTAATAATTAATTAGCTAATAGTTAATTAACCGAAAGGTAAAGTTATCGAATGCTTGCATTATTTTAAATTCGTTGTCGCGGAAGGAAATGACGTTATTAACAAGTGACCGCCGCCGGAGTTAGTCTTCATTCTTTGGATTTTTTTTTGTGTTTCACCGCTTAAAAAGGTAAGTGTTCAGTAATACTGGAACAGTTCGGAAGTGAGACGCTTATCCCTGTTCGCGAATATTGCAACCGCTCGTTCAGCCGAAAAGACCACCTCGCGAGGCACGGTGATTGTCGCGCAGCAGTACAAATTTGTTATGTTTGCGGCTGGATATACAAGTCCGAGGGGGCCCTCTGACGTCATCAACGCGCGAAACACGAGGTCCCCAAGGCGAAAACACCCGCCACCGCCCCTATTGCTGCCGACGAACCCAAGCGACCGAGACCATGCCTACCGGAAGGTAAGATTTTTGTTTTTGAATCCCAAAAAAATCATATTATTATATTTTATAGCTTCGACATCATCACCATTATCCACGCACCATTGTACGCAGTGTAACTTGGCAATTCCCGCATGAGATGCAAAGGACACTTGCGTGCTTTGGCTCACCGCCAAAAATGCAGCGTGGTGCAGGAGGAAGGAGTGGAAATAATGCAGACCTCCTTCCGCAACCGCATACCTACATACCCTACAGACGTTAAGGGTTTCATGGGCCACCTTAGGGCCAAAATCATTAAATTGGAAGATTCGAACATCCGACGCTACGTCAACCTAAAAGTTGGTATGGAGCTATGCAGACGAAGCAACAAAAGGAGGTCAAGTCCTTCAATACGAAATATCGGCTGGTGAGCGGTAACACCGATGTAGAGTAGCTGTACGTCCAGTTGCTTAACATCTTGGCTACCAAAGCGTCCGAGTTTCAGGAAAGGGACAGCGGTATGATTCATAAAACTGTATTCTATTTTCGAACTATTTTTTTGCCTTTTTTTACAGGCTGGGCGTTACAGAAACTCCTCCATTTAGAGGTAGGGATTAACAAGTACAATCCTCTAAGGGCGTCGTTCTATATTAGCCTGCTCAAGGAAATCGAAGCCAAGAAAGCTGTTTTGAACGTATAAAACACGGACGAAAAATGCTTTATGTGGTCGATCTTGGCTGCTTTTCACCCAATCCAACGAACAAATAAGGCCAACAGGGTCAGTAACTATGTAGACTTTCAGAAAGAGCTGGACTTTACAGGTACCAATTTTCCCGCTTAACTAAGGGGACATACCCATGTTTGAACGACTCAATAAAATGTGGGTCAACGTTCATGGTCTCGAAAGAGTCTATAACGAAGGCCGTAATGATGTTGAAGTCGTTGGTCCTTTGCATTTTACCGAATCTCGAAAAGAGAGACATGTAAACCTTTTATTAATTAGTGACGCTTATGAAGATAATCATTATTCTTTAATAAGAAATAAGTCTCGGTTGGTTTCAAAACAATTAACAAATTGGCCTAAAGCAAAGTTCTTGTGCGACGGGTGTTTAGTTTAATTTATAACGAAGAAAAACTAAAGCGTCATAAAGAGCACGACTGCACTCACATTTCCATCAAACTTCCGACCACCGAATTGCGCAAGGATAAATACGGTACAGATGTTCCCGCGAATAAGCTGAAATTTGAAGGATTTGAAAAGAAATAAAAAGTTGTTGTATACGCGGACTTTGAAACAATCATAACTCCTTTAGAGTTGGAAGGCGAACCGAACTCCGACAAATCGTTTGCTGTCAAAACTCACATTCACGAGCCTTACTCTTTCGCCTACTATGTCAAATGTGACTTTGACGATTCCCGGTCTACTTTCAAACAGTACAGAAGTCGGGACGTGCACAAAATTTTCATTGAATGGTTGGGGAGCGATCGCAAAGCGCTCTACAACAAGTTCATGAAAACTTCGGTGCCCATGACCGATCGATCGCTTGAATAAGAGACCCGGATTCGAAACGCTGCGGTGTGTCACATTTGCGAGAAGCCATTTGACAGAGAAGACGAAAAAGTAAGGGATCATTATCATATGACCTGCGAATTTCGAGGTGCGGGTGACTCCGCTTGCAACTTGAACTTCAAAGTTCCGGGACACATCTCTATCTTTTTTCATCATTTAAGTTTCGACAGTGATCTATTTGTAAAATTTATAGCTGAAGAAGGGGAAAAGATTGATGTTATCGCCCCAAACAAGGAGCGTTAAATTTCCTGTACGAAACTGGTCTTGGTGGATAACATCGACGATAAACGATAACGATAAACGATAGCCAGTTTCGCGAAGTCAAAAAATTGTTGCAAATGAACAAGAATTTCAACTTATTCGACAGAAGGGCCTCTTTCCAGATACGTACATAGATTCTTTTTCAAAATTAAACGAAACCAAACTACCATCGCACGAGGACTTTTATGACTCAATGCGAAAAACCAACATAACCAGGAAGGATTGCTGGCTTGCCTGAACGGTGCGGAATTTGCTCAAATGTGAAACTTTAGGCGAATAGTCCGATATTTATTTAAAATCCGACGTTTTACTTTTAGCCGATATTAAAGAAAATTTGGACAGATTCGATACGTCTAATTACTCGGAAAACAACCACCACGGCATCCCGTAAACAAGTCCGTTCTTGGCAAAATGAAGGACGAGTACGCAGAACGGCCGTTGGGGGAATTATTAGGTACCAAAAAGGCCAAGGGCGTTCCTGACTCGGTTAGTCAGCGCGAACTTAGTGTCGACGACTATAAGCGCGTTGTCGAGGAGGAAGGCATGCTAATCTTGAGCCAAATATCTTCGTTTCGCTCACATTTACATGATAAGTACGTCGAACTGAAAAATAAGGTGGCGTTGTCTTACGCGGACGACAAACGACATCTTATACCCGGCTCAGAATACACACTAGCTTGGAGCCATCGAAATTCGGCATAGTACAAAAGACAGCGGGAAAATAATTGATCGATCGACCACGTGCGAAGCAGCTATTTCTTTTGGCAAACTAATAAGGATACAGTTTTATATAATATTTGTGTTTAATTTATGTATATATTTATGTCCATACATGTGCCTAGCTTAAAAAATTAAATCTTAAAACAAATTATTTGTTGAAGCATATCGTTCGCCCATATTTATTAAGTTAATATTTGTCTCTCCTGGAGGGGTTTTGTATATAATACATCTTTAATAACACAATTTGTTCGATGTGAGTGCCATTAAACGTCTTCTTTGCTGCAGCTTTTTAAAGAATCCGAAAAAAAAACGAACCGCGATTTAAATGTTCAAAATTCGGGAGAGCGTTTTTAAAAACATTTATTTCCACAGAAAGCGAAATAAAGTTTTATTCGGACTGGCCGATACAAAGGCTGGATTAATTAAGGGCATATTTTACACTATGACAATCGAGTAAATAGGGCTTTCGATGCGGTTTCAGCGAGGCGTTATCTTCGCTTAGCTTTGGGCTTCGTCTGTAGTTTGGGGCATATAACTCGCGAGTAGCATCTAGCTATCGCAAAACATTAACAGCGTCTGGGTGTATTATTTACATAGATTATGCGCAACATCGGTGACCTAATCATCTCGCTCCGCGATATAAACGTAACACCGTCGGCCGGGCTCGCCTCCCGCGAAGTAAAGTACAGGGGGCAAAAAACTGCCAAAAAAGCATAAACAAAAACTACCCCCTACCACCATTAAGAGTGACATCTGGCGATCAAAACCTGAGCTATTAATGCGCGGCATTTCTCAAACACTGGTCAAACTAAATTAAAGGATTGGTTGGGAATCTGTAATACCTAGGGGTGACATCTGGCTACAAAAACCTGAACTATTAATGCGCGCAATCTTTCGGACACTAGCCGAAGTAAATTCGATTTTTTTTGGGTTACTTGGGTATCTGTAAATTTGCTATCTCAAAATCTCCCCCGGGGGACGGAGGACGCAGAACTTAGGAATATTTACTACTCACTATATCTCTAATTTCAAATTGTACTGAAGACAAAATTTTTACCATCAAATAAAAGCTAACCTAACAAAAATGTCATTTTAGAGCTCAGGTCTAACGTGTTCATTTTGTGTCGTGTTTATATCCAGTAGCTATAATGAACATGCAAATAACCGATAACCAGTTAAATAAACTCAATTTAATAAAGAAAAAATAACTTACCAGGTTTAGGCACCAGTATCTCCCTCTCGATCAGTTTTTCATACGACGTCTTGTAAACGTAAAAGAACCTTTTGTTGAAACTATCGATTTCTTGATCTAACAGGTCGTCTTCCAAATACGACGATAGTTTATCCTCCAGGTTGTCTCCATTCAGCATCATATCTTCGAAATAACGGCCCGAATTTAATCCGAAGAATTTCAATAGTCTGTTTTTGACCCATTCTCTACGAAAATCCGTTGTCATTATTCGTCTCGCGGTTTTTAAAAATCAGAAACTACATAGGAACGGGCTTTTATTTACTACGTTGGTTGCTATGGCGGTTGCTTTGGTTAATGTACTTGTTTATTGAACCCAGAAATACTATTATTCGAACATAGAAAAGAGATATAAAATGTAATACACTCACTTTGCCGAGGTAGTGAACAACATAAAATAATCGAGGATAACCGTTCAATTTTCAAATAAACTTCCATAATACTATTTACAAATCCTCTGTGGTGTTTATAAATCGTGCGTTTCGCCAATCATCCTTTTGACCGCTTCATAGCTTAACTGAAACTTAAACAGTTAAGTTTCAGTCAAACTCTATTTAAGCTTATTCCTGCAGTATTTAACTTTTGAAATAACGGTTTATTTGTTTTAGAGGCCCTACATAGGTCGATAATACCGGAACTTATGAAGCAACTATAAAAAACATTTTTTAAAGGTCCCATCAACATGCGCATACGCGAGATTTAAAATCTCCCTTTTAACCAATGAGCTTGCAGCATTCAACATGTTGTGCGGTGCGGAAGAATTACGGCCTTTCCATGTTCTGCACCTTGCATTTTACAAAGCATGCATATTTGCTACTCAACACGCAAAGTACGAAATTCGAATACTGAATTCTAAAAATTAAAAGCCCCTATTCGAGCGCAACAACCAAGTCAGTATTTTCTGAAAATATACTTAGATCTAGTGGTGACGTAAATGATTACTTCCAAGTAATCGTTGCAACCGTTACAGATACTTTTCGGTCCTGAGTACAAATACTGTAGTTGTAGTAACAATACTTCTTGTCATGTAATCATTACCTTAGTATTAAAAACCCAAAGAACAATCTATTTTCTAAAGTAATCGAATATTTGTTTTCAGTACAACACAAAAAAGTTAAAACCTTTAAAATGCTTTTATTTATTATCATTTTATCCACTAAAATAACAAATCAAATTGAACCCGTTACAACCGGTAATCATCATTTTTGATCATCAGTAACAATTACAGTTACATCAGTCCAACATCTGCTACAAAATACTGATTACTGAAAATTTGGCGGCCACTATATTTTTATCTAACAGCTGTATGGTTACAACATTGTAATGTGGTCAAAAATTTAAAAAGTGGTTCCCTCCCCTTTCTGTGATCAATTCTGTTCTAAAAATGTCAGGGTGACGTACTGTGAATAAAATCTTAAATTTTTTCAATCATGCCGCTTTATTTCAAAAATAAAGTGCAAATTTTATAAATATATTTATTGTTTGAAACACAGTGGCGATTTTAGCTTGTTCACGTTTTAGAATAAATTGTACGTTGGTTGAAACAACTTTTCCCCCATCCACCTAAACTACATAGTTCATCCCTCTATAGAAATAAATCATGTTGGTTAGTTGGTTGGCTAGTGACGTCACTGCCACCTTGCTCCCTCCCAACGGTCGTGAATAAATCAATGATGCAACTTGTCTCTAGGTTACCGGACCACAGCATACGACAATCTGTGTCAGTGACGTACATACACATCCTACGTTCTGTGGTACAAAATGGTGTAAAAAAACCTAAAGAAGAAGAAGAGCGTTCTGTTATAAAATGTCAGAAATTAAGTGTGGTTTTGACGTTTACTGGGGATACACATTGACGTATTGAAATGCATTTTAAAAAAGTTATGAATTTAGGAGCAAAATGATTTTTATAATTATTTTTTGAGTTTTTATAAGAAAAACTCCAAATGGTAATAGCAATATGGCAGAACAGAATGGCATAGAAGTCCTCAAGGACGAAATTAAACGGTTGAATAGGGAATTGGACCAAGCCAGTTCAGAAAAAGTCCAATCCGCTCAGTACGGCCTGGTATTGTTGGAAGAAAAGAAGGAATTGCAGCACAAGTGCGAGGAACTCGAGACTTTGTACGAAAATTCCAAACACGAATTGCAAATCACCCAACAAGTAGGTATAGGTATGACATTTTCAAGTGATCAGTTATTCTGTATTTTGATAATATATTACAAATTTCTGCTGTAATTGCAGCAGCAGAGTTGTTTTACACAGCACTATAAAATTATTGAGTATATTATATACAAAAACTTATAGTAATAAATTTCCAATATGTTTTTTAAAAACTAAAAAGAACACTTTACTATGAAAAATAGATATAATATATATTCAGTTTGAGGGGGGATTGTCTCACATTACCCATGAGTCGTAGTTAACGTCTGTTGTGGTTTTCACTAGGCCCTTGCAAAATTTCAATCTAGTCACAAGGTAACCACCAAAACAGGCATAGAAACAGAAGAGTCACTTTTAAGTGAATCTGCAGCACGAGAAACGTCTTTGTATACCCAGATCTCAGAGCTTGAGAATGAAAATAAACAACTCAGGCATGAGCTTGAAAGAGTTACAGCAGAACGTGATAGTATGCTTCAGGAGAACAGTGACATGGGCAAAGACAAAGAAGATCGAAGTATGGAGTGCAAACGACTTAGAACCGAACTGAGGGAAGTGAAATTTCGCGAAAATCGACTAATTGCCGACTATTCTGAATTGGAAGAGGAGAATATTGCATTACAGAAGCAGGTATCAGCCCTCAAGAGCTCCCAGGTTGAGTTTGAAAGTCTCAAGCATGAAATAAGGCGTTTGCAAGAGGAAATGGAATTATTAAACCTTCAAGTTGAAGAATTGAGTAATTTGAAAAAGATTACTGAGAAGCACATGGAGGAAGCGCTTGAGTCTCTTCAGAGTGAACGGGAAGCTAAATATGCCTTAAAAAAGGAGCTTGATCAGCATATTAATAGAGAATCCTTTTATAATATAAACAATTTGGCATATAGCATTAGGGGTATTACCGAAGAAACAACATTAGGCAGTGATGGTGAAGAAGATGGTAAGGGTTTTTTAGTCTTTAAGTCTTTAATGGTTGCACTATTAATATTTTTCAGACATTCTATTGAGAAATAATAAGCGAATGTATTACCTAGAATAATAGTAGAGTAAAGTAGACAAACAATCAATTTGATTTTATTTCTAGGTCTGAAGCATATTGAAGTGAGTTTGTCTAGTGGCACAGGATCAGAACTAACATCCCCTGATGACAAACATGTCGACCTCTTTTCGGAGGTTCATCTAAATGAGTTAAAAAAACTTGAAAAGCAGTTGGAATTGTTAGAGAAAGAGAAACACTCCCTGGCACAAAGCTTGCGGGACAATCAGAACATGGTGGAGAAAGCTCAGGGAGAATTGCAAGTATTTATATCAAAGCTGATGCAGCTGGCTGCGCATGTCGATTCTCTAGAGCGCTTGTCCCAAAATTATAACAAATCCATTAATAAACAAATCAAAGAAGATGGTCCCACCAGCCCAGCTATGAACCAGTACCAGCACTGGTTCAAATTATCGGCGCATGAAATTGAGCAGCTCAAACATGACATTAAGGAGTTGGAAAAGTTATCGAACGTGTCTGACGCAACTCTGCAATTACGAACCGAGATAACTAACCTTAAGAATAAATTGCTAGATACTGAGCAGAAGAGCATGGATGTACAATCGGATCTGACACTGTTAAAGCAGTTTGCGAGCGAAGCGGGTGCATCACTGGATGAGACACAGAATAACCTTCAGGTTGTTACTGAAGAGTTGGCTCAGTTATACCACCATGTATGTACAGTTAATGGAGAAACGCCGACCAGGGTGATTTTGGACCATGAGAAGGAGGGCATGACTCCCAGTAAGTTTTTCATAATCAACTTTCGTTGGCTTTATTTACGCTTTTGTGTTAGTTAGTGAAATAATATCATATAATTTAGTGGGTAAATCTGAACCTTTCCCTGATGTTGAAGTGGTATTTTGTGTGCTTCAATTATTGAACTTGTAACTTTTTAGTGTTAGTATAGCAATGCAAAATCATCAAAATCATCAAAATCAGTTTTTTGAACAGTTGGCCTTATTAAGCAAAAGAAATTTGGCAATTTGGCACTGCAACAAATTTATTGCTAGAATTATCCAAGTAGAAATTTCTTAAGTGACCTTTATTTTAACCGAGGATTTCAAAAATGCCGAAATATACAGGGGGTTCCATTTAAAATAACAAAGTTGATGTCGGGGCGGACACTTTTGGGACACCCTGAGTTAACAAAATTCTAATATTTAAAATTATCAGGAGAGTCCAAGAAACTTTTGTACAAAACTTTTTTTCGTATCTCCTATGGTTCGTTTTATTTGGCACACGGTATACATCTTGTACAAAAAAGTTTATGGTCCAAAGTCTCGCGCTTGTTCTGGTTGCAGACAAACGGGTTAAGAGCATCACTGGTATTTTCCTTGGACCTCCACAAATGTGGTTGATGAATTTTTTAAAAGTTTCAGAACGAAAGTTATCGCTTTAACACTCGTTCCACATAAAATTTTCCAAAAAAATTTGTTTTCCTACGCTGGTCATTATTTCTGTGCAACCAGCTTATCTCTAGAACCAAGCGTAACCAAGGTATGGAATTTTTATACGACCCCAGATAGTTTAGAAAATTTTTATTTCATTGGTGTTTTGAAAGTAACAAGTATTTTGCTTCAACGTAGAGAAAATAAAATAAAACAAATAAATTAATACAGATTAAGATAAATAAAATTATTATTTCAATGAGCATAATAATATTAATAGCAATAATGTGTACAATCTACATTTAGCTAATCATATTTAATGTTCTAATATTAATTCGTATTTTCGATGAATCTAACATTTCAATTTTGTGAGCAGTGTCGGAAACGGTGCCGACCATAGGCGACATGACCAAACTCGATCTTCTGCGAAGCCGTCTAAAGAATGACATTCCCCTGAACGATTTGGAAAGTTTGAACGACACCGCTGTAGTGGCTCGCACGGTCTGTACGATCGTCGATCAAATTAAACATCTAAGAAACTCTATCGAAAACACGATTGAATTGTCGAAATCGCGGAACAAAACCAACGGTGATTTTGAAGGTAAGCTGGATCTTCATTTATTTTTGTTATTTATTTATGTTTATTATCGGAAAAAACAGTTTCAAAAGTGAAAGGTCTAAAAAAATACAAGATATAACAATAAAATTTGTATATATCACAGGACATTTTTTATTTTGGAGTTAAACACATTTAAAATAATTTAAATTAAGTTTACATCACTGTTGATTTTTTTGCACTATCTGAAAAGCAAACCAGAGATGAAGATAAATCATAATTTTATGAAATGGATCGTTAAACAGCTCTCAGAGCTCTCTCTTACATGTAAAATCTATCAAAGACAGCAATTCTGGACAATTTTATGCAGAGTTTTTATGTAAACATATTTTCGCCAAGAGTTTTAAGATTAAAGGAGTGGAGTAAATTTTCATATACAATATTCCTAATAAGTTACATGATTAATATGAAAGTTGAAACTTAAGTTGCTCTCATAGAAGACATTTACATTTACTTTTAAGTGAAGTATTATATAGGAAATATTCAATTATATTTTTTTACTTATAAAACGTCAAAATAAAACATTACGTACATTTAATATTGCAAGAGATTACCAAATACAGCATATTTCCACCAGGTTATCACCTTCAAGCGACCTGTTTAAAACTTGTTTGTTGTAGAAATATTATAAATATGTAGTTAGAAATATGGTAAATATAGTAATATAATATAGGCGTAACTAACCAGTTAACCAGTTAATATTGATTTTTCGAAATAATGTTTAAAATAAAGGCCAAAATACTTGCGCCATGTAGAAGATAAATGTTCTTTTATTCTAAGAAATGCATTGTATAACAAATCAACTTCATTAAAATGTTACATATCACAATTGTTATCACAATAAAGAATTGAAAAAAAATCTAAAATAGTTTACAATTTATTCCAAATAAGCCTTAAACCAAGAGTTGTGCATTGTTTTTCAGCAATCAAAGAGGAAAGCAGCGAATCTGAAATCCAAGAGCTCCAGGAACAGGTCATACGTCTAAAGAGCTTATTATCGACCAAGCGCGAACAAATTGCCACTCTCCGGACCGTCCTAAAATCAAACAAAAATACTGCGGAGGTCGCTTTGACGAATCTCAAAGGCAAGTACGAGAACGAGAAGACGATTGTATCAGAGACAATGATGAAGCTAAGGAATGAACTCAGATTGCTCAAAGAAGATGCAGCCACATTCTCCAGTAAGTTGCTTGATCCATTTTTAAAGTGCTCTTATTCCTTAGGGATTTACTTGTTTAAGGTTTCTTTTTCTATAATTTTCGAATGATAATGGTAAACTATCCAAACTCTTGCAAGATTTACTTGGATATAAACGCCAATGTTCAATTGCGAACTTGACAAAAAAATTAAATGAGAAAAAATTACGACAGGCGGAAAGAATAACGAAGGGAACTAATAAGCCATATAATATTTTATTAATTAATTAATTTATTTATTTATACGTTATTCCATTATCTAAAATTAATAATCCAACTGAGTTTACCAGTTGCCACTTCACCATTTCAATATTATAGGACCTAACAAAAATTCTCTAGAAATTAATGTAGTCAGAAATTCTTTCACATGCAACTCTAAATCAGATTATTCCCTCCCTATAAGTTCGATTACATTTATATAACAGCTCTGACTGATATTGTGATTGACATTGATCAAGCACGAAATTTAAATAATGTTACATTTCACTTTATATTTGATTGTACTCAAGCATTTGATATGATTCATCACAGTACCTAAATATCAATCCTAAAATATATTGGCCTCGTAGAGGTTACTCTCTCAATAGTGTCATCATTTTTGACCTCCATGTGTCAGAGAGTGGTTTACGATAACTGTTCATCCAACATAGCAAGGTTGATGTGGGAGTCCCTTCATTTTATACAGCATATACAGTTTTAATTTCGTGAATTGTAAATATCATTTATACGCCGACAAAATCCAGATATAAACCTCCTTCTCCCTCTCTCAGGGTAATGTTTTTAATAATCTGTTAAATTCTGTCTTAGATAACATTCCACAAATTTTTGATGCTTATCGGCTTCGAATCAATCAAGTGATAATGTTCGAAATGAACTAACGGGACATATAAAACGTTGCAGAAGAATTGTATGATCTCACTTAAAAACTCTTGTAAAAATTTAGGTCTTATTATTGATGGATATTTAAAATTTAAAGAACGCATTACTTTGTATCAAAAGAAGTTAAAATTTCGATGTTAAAATTATTATACTCACATTCATTGTCTCAAAAACTTTGATTTTATCACATTTTAATTTTACTGACGCAATTTATGGGCCATTTTTCAATTCTATTGATATTAAAATGAGACAGAAAGTTCAAAATTGTATTGTGTGCGACTTATTAATAAAGCTAGCATGTCCGGGCTTTCATGACCCAAGGCTATTTTTTTATGAAATGAAAGGTCCTGGCTGTTTTGGATTTTTAGATACAGGGTGATTTTCATATTAATTTTCATTAAGTGCTTTATGAGAATTGAGCTCCAAACATCGCCATTAGCTTTCGCCTATCCCCTATAGAAAGGGGAATTTTCCTTTCTCACCCACTACATTAGAAAATTTTTACCTGCTTTCTAACTAAATAATTGCTCACATTCTGTGACCTCCAACATTCAACTTTTTCAATTGTTCTTTCTTTTAGCCATTGTTCTGTCAAAGAAAGCAACATCTAGCATTTCTTTTTAAAAATAGTCAATTTCTTCCAGTTTCTATTTAAAAAATAATCGTCCTTGTCAGGTCTTAGGGCCATGTTTGCTGCCCGCTGCGAGGAGTACGTCACACAGGTAGACGAACTGAAGCAACAGTTGAACGCCGCAGAGGACGAGAAGAAAACCCTCAATCAGCTGCTCAGGTTGGCGGTTCAGCAAAAGCTTTCGCTGACGCAGCGTCTCGAAGAGTTAGAGGTTGACAGAGAGATCAGGAACGCCCGGCGCCCAAACAGCAGGAGTTTCCAGAGGCCGGGCAAGTCGAATCGAGAGAACATGTTCTAGCCCATGCCGCGACCTTCCCCCGTGCTGTATTTCATAGCATTTATCAGTTCGTTTTTTAAAGTTTGAAAAGTTTGGTGCGTGGGTAGGTCCCGACGGCGGTAACGGTTTTTCCTGATTTAAAAGGGTCATTTAATAAGTCTTTAGAAAAAAAATGGCAATTCTTATTTTATTTTGAAAATGATCTTTGTTCAATTCTGTACATTTCTTGCCATTTCTTCAAGTCACCCGCGCATTGTCTTGATGAAAGGGCGAAGATTTTTTCACACTCAATTTTTCGTGCAAAATTGAAGCCACTGTACCTTGTCATGGGCTTATATTCTCAAGTATGCAAAGATCACTGCAAATCTTATCGTGGATTTTGTCAAGCATTTTGGGAGTAGGTAATTGCATTCATCGTTTGTTGATATACAAGCACATTTAGACTCATTCACACAATTGCAAACAGTTACAAACAAAAAATAAATTAGAACTAAAAAATGTGACATTTGATAAAGACACGGTGTTGTCGAAACAATAGTCATGTCAAAATATATAATTTCGTTAAAATCTGAACTTTTAGTTCTAATTTATTTTGATAAATGGATTTTCATCAAGTAAAAACCACCTCAGTTCAAGTTACAAACACAGGAGCAGATGTGCCATTAACTTTGTCAAACTCATCTTTGATTTCTTTCGGCATCAATACTTTCAAACACGAGTGTCTAATCACTACTTGAAACTCTAATTTATCCATTTTTATAGACCCATTACAGTTGTGCAGTTCAATCAACAACACTTAAACTATGTGATGGATACAGCTGGAACTTTTACACCTGAGTAATTAGGTCTACCAGTTAATAGCGAAAAGTTATTTTCCATTCTACCATCACCATATCTTGTATTTTCTAAGGACTTATTGAACAACCCTCATATTTCGCCTTATTTATTAAGAGATCTATATATTTATTATTATGACTGTGTGTTTTGAGTGTGGCTGACTAACCGAGGTGTGTTCTGTGGTGGATTATGCAATCTGGGTAATCTTGGTGGTGGTTTCTATAGAAAATCATGTAGGTACTGTGAATTTTACTCAAATGTAAATTAAGGTTCTACTTAACCATCTACGGGAAACTCTTGAAACTGTGGAACAAATGCGCCCGTTTTAGTTGAAACAGAAGTAAGTCAAATGTTTTTCTTGGAGAAATGGTCCGTATAGTGCTGCCAAATCTACTAATTTTTCATGAGACCTACTGATTACCAAAGTTATCTGATTTTAGCACAATTTCTACCAAAAAAAAGTTGCGTTTTAATAAGCTTTCATCGAATGCTGGCTACTGATTATATAGAATTTCAATATAGTTATCATAATATATACATTTTTTCCAAAATCATTTGAATTGATTTGGAGTGTTGGAGTATATTTGTGCATTGTTGCTTTGTTTAATTATATTTTTTGTAAATTTAATTCGACCGAATCTGTGTGTTTGATATAGATACGGCATTTGTGTAATGAACTGGCTGCACTGAATAGCAAACAAATAATCGAACAGGCAAATCAGATTCAGTGGCCAATCAATTTAAGGCTAAAAGAAATGCAAATTAAAAAAGTGCAACAATTTTCTTCCATTTCCAAGAGGATCAGTATATTTATTAATTTCTATGATGTGGACATTTGTTCTACCTGGTGTTGTTTATTTCTTTTTCCTTAGCTTAAACAGCTAAAATGTTCTAAGCGCAGATCACAATATATGTTATACATGTTGTTTCAAATTTAACCTCCGTTGGCAAATCTCGGAAAGGGCAAGAAATGGGTGAACCACATTGGGGTAAATTTAAATATTCGTTATTCTTATCAGATATTTCGATTAATAATTACCGGAAGTGTATAGAAAAATTGAAATTTCCTGTTTTCAGTTTTGATTTGGCCCCCTTTTAACTCGTTTGTTATGAGAGAGTACCTTGTCTTAGAGTCTGTAAAAATATTTGTATTTTCGTGAGCAACTTTTTTATTTTAAATAAAACACAACGTATATTGAATATTTTTTGAAATCTTACTGTTTCTGATATATTTTAAATTTTATATCAATAGTAACCTCATCCTCATCAAATAGGATTTACCATGCTAAAATGGGGTGTTTTCATTTCAATAAAATGATTTCTAACGATTTTTTTATTCAAATTTTTAATGTTAGTTTTTACCAGCCGGTATTTATTCATTTTTCGAATATCCACACATTTAGATCCGCTACTATAAGGCAATCAGCCCCAAATTTATAACAAAAACATTCTTTCGGACAAATGGATAGATATATTTAGACCTACAAACATGACTTTTGATGTAAAATTAAAAACATATTAGAAACGGTAAGACTTAGGTATAGGTTATTTTATGTGAATTATGTATACAAAGTTCCAAGGAATTCAAAATGCCTTAATATGCATTTGAAATAAAGAAATTGTTACTTTTTCACGAAAATACAAACACCTTTTAAATATAGAAACATTAAATTTTAAAAGTGTAAGCGAATCCAAACAACTTTTGTGTCCAGGTTTTTTTTAATACTTTTTACACATTCCATTGACATTAATCCATTGTATTTAAAGGTTTTTTTAAAGTTTAGAGATTAAATTTCAATTTTGACGCAATATTTCCAGAACTACCAAAGATAAAATTCTTTAAAAAAACATTGATTCCCGCCGCTCTATTTCTTGCTATTCCGTGAACCCGATAATGGGACGCTCTTTATATGCAGGGTAATTAAAATCTTAGAAACAGAACTTTAGCAGTTGCCTAGAGGCTTTTTTTGAAGCAAAAACGTGAACAGGCTGTTCATTCTTTTCTTTAAGCTTTTCGTGTAAAATACATGAAATTGTTAAATTAATTCCACATTTCCTATGAAATGAAATACGCAGATCAACTAAACTGCTTTGCTCTGCATAATGGTTGTTCTACTCCATACTCTCAAATACCCAATTGTGGACTGATCAAGCTTGCAGAACCTGTCACTTTAAAACGTAAGTTTCATTAATACAACACGCGATTTCGGGCGACCTCACTTTCACTTACTTGGATTACCAAAAAGTAAGGTCGAAAATTAAAGCTAACGTTGTAGTCGTCAATCGCTCATAGTAAATAGTTGGTAAACCTAACCTTATTAAGCTTTTGAGTGAATTAATTTGGTCCCTAAGTCTTTTTTTAAATATAAATGGATTGAGTGATTTTTTGAAGATACAAATGAATTTGTGGTATCAAATTTTATAAATTGTTGGGTCATAACATAGAGTTCAATTGCTTTTGATATATAATACCAAACAAAATAGAATTTTTGGTAGATCAGGCTTCTATTAAGTTTGGAAGTATTTGGACTGACTTTTTCTTCCACTTCAAAATGGGAAAATTCTCCTATTCCAAAGTGGAAATTCCTAATTACTCAAACCACTCCAAATTCCCTGGTGGATATGCAGTGGTTCCTTTATAAAAGGAACTGCTACTTTATGGAATTTAGTCAAAGGTGATTACTTTTAAATTTGCAGTTAAAGAGGTCCTCTACTAACTGCTAAAGTTATAATTATTGTAATATTATGAATTATTTCTTATCCCTATGAAGGGGATAAGCGTTTGCGATAATGCGGTCTGATGCGTAGTCCTTTATTTCTAGTGCAATATAATGTCACTCGGGTGTTCTGCGACTTGTCGGATACAAGAATTTACTTAATGTGATATCTAAAATCGTTTTGGTCAAAAAACATGCAGCTCGGATCTTATCCGAATGATTTCAACGGCAGCGATTTTCTAGAATAGTTTATAATTTTGCAGTAATTGGTTGGGGCAAATCAACTATCTGAGAAGCTCCAAAGGTTTTAGTCCAAATTAGCATTTTAGATAGCGTTTTTATTGGCACGTCCATACAAAACATTGTACGCATATGCGATAGTTTTTTAAATCGTTGAAGTAGTAAAGTGAATTATTTAATACATTTTATAAGCATATATAACGGTTATAGCTGTGTGGTAGACATTTTTGTGATGTAAAATCGTTATAACATTTTTGTTTCGTTTTGTTAAGTTCCACGTTAAAATTTACAAAAACTTTTTTACCTTTTGAAGGGTCAACGTAGGTGTTAATCTTCTAATAATCGCCCAAGCACAAATATTTTGCCTGCAAATAATCAAACCGAACTCGCTCCATGGACCTAAGTGCATACAATACAATAGGAAAGTGTATGTCGTAACTGAGAGAAAACCGTTCGAACATATTATCACGTCCCATAAGGTTGTCTGCGAACCATTTTATCTTTCCGTTGGTTCTGAGTCCATTGTCGTTGTCGATGATTTTGCATTGTCCCGTTTCCGAGCCTATGGACCACGGAAGTACTTGCCCGTCCCTCTCTTAATCGTATTGTTTAATATTAATAGTAATAATGATTATGATAAACTAAATAAAACATGGTCCATCCATTTCGATTGCGTGTTTATATTGAAATTTGGCATTATAGTTTTACTCGTTACATGTTGTTATTATTGATGACTTCCACAATTTACTCTCGTACATAATATGATAGTTAATGTTATTTGATTGTACCTAATATTTTTAATAAAATTATTGAACCACTATATATTTTGCCTTTTATCCAACTCATGCATAGAGGGTCCGTGAATGCTGGAATTCATTGAAGATTGATCAGAGATGTGTAAATAACCACAACTAAACCCCTAGAGCTGAGCACATACGTTATGTTATAAATACAATATTAATTTTATTTACTGTAATGTGGTGCTTACAGCATATTATCATAATATGCATTACTACTCTCTATTCCAAAATAGCACATATCACCAAAAAACACGTTTATCAAATAATATAATGGGATGGTGTTATATTTAAGTTGAAACCATCTGCGGTGTGGCCACCGTAGTCGGGATCAATTTTTATTTTGAGTGTTGGCATATGTTGATCCCGGCGTTAATTAGTGCATCAAAAATAATAAATAAATCCATTTACGGAAGTTTTTAAAATATTAAAAAATTAGAAAATTTTCAAAAATGTCGAAAAATTTTATTGGAAAAAGTTATATCTTTTTCAGTTTTCTACAAATGTCCCTTTTTAAAAAAAATCGAAACACTTGGTTTTAACATTTTAACAGCTAATACAGAATTAATTAATACAAATTATAATTATAAAGTATGAAATTTTATTTAAAAAAGCTTGGACTACGGTGTTGAGACTAATTCGTATTTGTTAGTTACTTAGTTGCTTAAAATTATATACAGAGTCAGACTGAATTTTTTAAATTGTTAAAGCGTTGTTAAATTTATTCATCAAACTTTTGTTATCAATATTTGGGCATTTTTCTGTTGAACTAACATATTGGCCATACAAAAAAGGCCGGACTTATGTTCCATGTTTGAAAAACAAGAGTATACACACCGAATTGGGAACTACTGTAATTTGAAATCAATGTAAAATTAGCGAGTTAGTTTTATTTCTATAATGTAAATTTATTCAAGGTCTTTCAAAAAACATGCATCAACCCTCCGAGATTCCAAGATATATAAAAAGAAAAACGCTTTTCTACAATGTGTTAAATATTTTTTGATCTAAATTCACTGCGGTCCCAGGATTTATCATAACGAATATTGTCAAAGAGACGTAATACTGTCTTTTAAGCAATTTCAATGGTGGGACCGAGGATGGCTCAGTTGGTATGACATTAGATATGCCAACTCGACTTGCCGGAGGTTGTGGTGAAAAAATTGTAATCCGTAGATTTTCCTCGGTGAATGCCGGAAAATGGGTGAATATTCCTAATTTGAGATGAGCCCAATTAAGCGTATATAAAAAAAAAATTCTATGATATTAGCTTAGAAGAAATAATTATGACAATACTTTTCTATATAAGGTGCAAGATTAGTGATCTGAAACCAGTTCCAAAGTGTACCAATATCCTTCTACAGTATTAATGTTATAAACATCCCCGAATTGTAGGATTGTAGGAATTTTGTCGTTCTGGCACTTTAATTTATAATTAAAAAGCAAAAAAAAATATGGAGACTAGAAGTTTGCTTTTCATGTCTAGGCCTTTATAAATTATTTCATAAATTTAAAATTGCTCGCTTCTGAAATCTAAATTGTATTGCAATAACCTAAATCTTAAAGTTGTAACTTTCTCCAAACGTCTCTCCACACTTACACCAGCTAATTTTTGATCTATATATTCCAAAAATTAAAGCGGCTTTGCAAAAATATTCCTTTATTAAATTAAGTCATATATGTATATATATACTTATAAATCAGACAGTAACTCTATTATTAGAACCTTCTCCAGTCTGCACCAAATGGTATGACAGCCACCAAGAGAGCAATGGCTGCATCACAGCCACAAAGAACATGAAATACAACCTCCGTTTGTGGCCTGCAGCATTACCTGGGCTGTAGTAGTGTTGTTCATTCTTCGAACCTTGGGAAGGGAGCAAGGTCACCTTTAGATTACCAACAAGGAAGAAAGCTAATGCCAGATTGACATAACTTAATGTGACATAATAACCAGTTTTTCCGGTTACCACACTAATCAAAATGCTGACGGTGGTGCCTACAAACTTATATCCCGAGTAAGCCAGAAGATCCAGTGTTTTAAGGCTTGTGTTGATTTGCATTATGTACAAGGTACACAAGTAAATTGCCAACTCGACGACCCACCAGGCCAGTGCAGAAGAAGCTGTTACCCCAATTTGTTCAGGTGTGAATCGGTTTTGAGTACCCAGTACCAAACCAGCCACCAAGACATAGGTTATGTAAGCCATCAAGGGTATGTATAAGTCTGGGGCATTTATTTCAAAACGTGGCTGTATAGCCCCTTCTTGTTCATTCTTCATGGACCAGTTCTAAAATTATAACCTGTTTTACAGTTATCGCAATATTGATCAAAATGTTACTTTAAACACAAGTTAATATTATTAATTATTAAAACTAACCATATTTTCAAGTAGTTTTAATTTACTTCTATTTAAACAACTCACCGACTGTGTAAAAGGGAAGAATAACAACATCAATTTCATGACAACATATTTTGTATCTACTGCAAAATAGTACTTTAATTTTGTAACAGGAACATACTTCTCCATCTCCTGTTTAATAATTGTTTTTCCAGCTCCTGCTAGCTAAAAATTACAATTTCAATGTTATTTCTCCATTATAAATCAATATTCGGGACTCACTTGTTGTCCATACTGCATTGCCAGGTCTTGCATGACAGGTTGTCCTAACCCAACCAAATTACTCGGTACATTCTGAAAGGGGGCCTGGGGTGATGAAGGAGTTTGACCTCCATAAACAGGGGACGTAGGTCCCCTAGAGACATTGAGTTGCGCATAGGGTTCGTCCACATAAGAGGAGGGTGTTTGATAACCTTGTTGAAAATTGGCAGTTGTATCAGCAGTTATATTGGGATATATATTTTGCTGGACATTCGAATTAAGCGCAGCGTTATACGGATTGTACCCCATAGCGTTAACATCGCTTACTCTTTTAATTTTGCGCCCCAGTCCGCCTGCAACACCATTGGATTAAGAAATGTGAATTAAGGGATGTAATGGCTACCTGTACGGGGGCCCGCGTTTGCATTGTAGTTCATTACGGATATTATCTATTATCTAAAGCAAAAAAATCATTTTAAATTCTCAAGTTGAAATAAAATTTCCTATATGACACCAATTTTAAGCTGATTCAGTTTACAAACATAGAAAAGAAAAAAGTAAGAACAAAATATCATGCCAAAAAATGACACGCAGCTTCACAGCGTTGCCAAGTTCTGAAGCCCGACAACCGCAGTGGTTGTAGACAGTAACAAAGGAAGAAGAGGAACAGAGCAATTTTGTTATGCCGGTTTGTTTTCGGACCACAGAGTTTTAAGAAAAAGTTTTCTCTTTTAATAATAATTAGCATATTCCAGTGATTATTGATACACATACCATTTAACACTGTAGATAGTATGTAATCTCTATATGTATTTTTTTGTAAATCGGCGTAAAGTGTTAATTTTCATAAACTAATAGGTCTAATCTCCATTGCAATAACTTTGAAATTCTAGATATCGCACAAAACATCTAAGTGAAAAAATGTTCAAGAAGCAACAGTAATTGACAAGGGGTATTTCTTATTCTAGTAAAAATTTAGCTTGTAGCTTAATTGCTTTCTTATATGTCACGTAATTCTTGTACACTAAAACATATTAGCCAAGCATCCTTCGTAGCTATTTAAGTGCACCTAAAGATATAGGAAATTCTGTTTAGTAAATTCACATGTAAATATTTGTGTAAAGTCTATTTTTGTAAAATGTCAAATATAATAGGCATCACTTGTTCTTACATTTGCTATAATTTCGTGAAAGAACAAAATATTGAAAGCACAAATTATACAAGTTAGTGAGTACGGTACTGAGGTATTAACACCAAAAAATGAAAACAACAATGGCACAGGGCACAGACTGTTCAGCGATAATAATAATTATTTAGCTGGGCGTTGCCAATTATGTTCGGATTTCAGAGATTGATGTTGCGTTCTTATACTAATTAATCAATTTTCCAGAAAAATTACGGCAATGTAGCAACTCAGTCAGTTGAAGGTGACGCATGCGCAACTTCTCTACATCTCTACGAAAAAATTTTATCTACCTCCAGCTGATCAATTTTTAACTTTATTCGTGGTAGGGCCACTATATTATAGCTATATGCCCGAAACCAACGGAGTGTTACCATCGACGAATATCGGAAATGGGCAAATAATCACTGTATTTAAGCTAATGTGTATGACATAAAATGAAGAAAGAAGAAGAATAAAAACGAATATTTCCCAGTCATATGTCAACTTTCAAGTTTGTTCCTAGTTCCCAGCTGAAAGTTGCATGAATTTGTACCCCAGCTTAATTGAACTATATTGATTTTAATTAAACCCATTTAAACACATTTATTGACATCGAATCGTTGTCGAACTTAATTCGTTTAGATTTGGACCAGTGGATCTAAATACCTGATTCAAGAATAATAATGGATTTGGTTGCCACGCCAGGTGCGGAGGGCCCTCCAGAAGAAGTTATTAAAGTTGTAGGCTGCGCTCATTACAAAAGAAAATCAAAATTTGTGGTGAGTACCTTAACACTGATTTAAAACAATGGATTTATTTTTAGCTTGGTTTGCAATAGTATTTGTGTTTCAGACACCCTGTTGCAACAAGGTTTACACATGCAGGTTCTGTCACGATGAGAAAGAGGACCATTCGGTTAACAGAAAAGAAGTGACAGAACTTGTGTGCACTCTATGTGAAACTAGGCAACCTGTACAAGCCGAATGTAGGAATTGTGGGGTTCGATTTGGCAAAGTATGATGTGATATGTTTAATAGATTTGCTGGTTTGTTTTGGTAGCAGATAATTTTTTTGATCATAATTTGACTGGAGTGCTATTGATATAAAATTTTTGGATTTAGAAAAAAATTAATTGTAAAATGCAAACTAACTTCAAACAAAACAATAAGCCCACATTTTCTTAAAATATATTAGAATCAAATGAAAACTGTGTAGATACTATTAATTCTTCACTCGTCATGTACTTGATGTGTATTTTGTTCTCTTTTCCTACAAAGTAGCTAACAAGTTTAACAAACACTGCTTGAAATTCATGAATTCATAAATTCCTGTCAATATTAACATGACAATAGTAAAAATTGTTTAGGTATGAGATTTTTATGTTTTCAAATTAAAAATTATTCATAGTAGTAGAATTTTCTAATTTTCTGTTGCATTATAAATTTTAAATTCAACAGGTTCATGGTTTTTTTAAGGATATTAGGTAGATGTTTATATACCCTCCTTTAATTTTTTAAATTAAATTAATTATCTAAAAAAAAAACATTAAATTATGTGAACTCTTCCTTACCTTTTGAATTAATTTTTAGTATGTTTGTCTGGAATGTAATTTGTTTGATGATGAAGAAAAAAATCAGTTCCATTGTCGAGGTTGTGGCATTTGCAGAATTGGAGGGGCTGACCGATTTTTTCACTGCGAGAAGTGCAATATGTGTCTGCCAGTACAGTTGCAGAATGGACATAAGGTGAGAAACACTGTTCTCTTTTACTTCAAGCATTTTTGTTGTAGTTTGTTTGTCCTCAATTAAGGACAGATGGCCATGGTGTAGGAATATTTTATTTTTTTCATTCTTTTAGATATCTATTAATTGATCCACAGTTGCGTTAACATTTATGATTAATGGGGTTGAAATTTGGCTGGGATAAAAATGATCTGATTGCCTGGTTCTATAAATCGCCTTAAACACCACCCAGTTAATCTAAAAGTATTAAAACACAATCTAATTAACAATCGGTGATAGGCAAGATATTTGATTTTGTTGGTTCTAAAAACTTTTTTTTAATTTGTGTACAATGAGGTAGGGGAAAAGAATATTTTTAAGGATTATAATGTTTCCTATAAACCAGTCTGTCTACAGTTCTGTCTGGTGATGATCCGCTAAGTCGTCAAAAAAATTTTTTTTTTAACATATAAGATTTAAGGAATACTTTGAATAAAAATTAAAGATGGCGCATTACCCGCTGAAAATGCTGTACTCTCATATGCACTATAAAGATGCTATGACAATCTCTTGTTTTTTCACCACTAAATTATTGCAACAATGGACATGGACCATGCATTTGAAAAGGCTGGATAATAGACTCAAGTCTAAAGTCAATCTTCAGCATTGGTTGAAGAGGGCATGTATCTCATATCCTTAAGGACCTAAATTGGCTTAATATGCATAATCCTCATATATTTCATTTGACCAGTTTCTTTCACAAGATTCTTAAATGTGGCAAGCCATATTTGATAAACAAAATTATTTATTGGTCCCAGGTACAGGTGCATAATGGTAATATTATAATAAAAAATATTCTTATTATACCTAAACTTGGAACTTTCTAAACATCACATTTACTTTATTCAACAAGACACGTTTGTTTCACTGTTTTCAATAATATCACTAATTCAATAACATTTTAATGTTCATATTTTATACTATACTTTTCCCTGATTAATATTCTTTGTTCTTTTTTTTTTTCGTCTCTGTCTTCTGCTTGCATATTTGTATTCCTCCTACCGTTGGCTTATAACAGTTATATATATTATTTCATTATTTTGACCTATTTTCATTATTGCATTTTAGTGTGTTGAAAATGTATCGAGGGCAAACTGCCCTGTATGCCTGGAAGACATCCACACCTCCCGGATACCCTGTCACATACCAATGTGTGGGCACCTACTGCATCGAACTTGCTTCGAACAGCTGCTCCAGGCAGGTCATTATGCCTGTCCTATATGTCAGACGTCTCTTATGGACATGACTCAGTTGTGGAATTACCTCGATACGCAGGTGGCAAATACGCCCATGCCGGCTGAATACAAAGATTATGTTGTTTATATATTATGCAAGGACTGTCACAAAGAAGGGGCTGTTAAATTCCATGTAGTGGGCTTCAAGTGCAACCACTGCGGGTCCTACAACACTTGCCGTATCAAAGGTCCCATCAACCCTAGAGGTTTGTACCTAGGGTCCCAGATTTACTCAAAAATTTAAACACAAATTCTGTTTTTAGGGGGATTGAGGAGCATAGAAAACCAACCGGACGCCGGAGGTGAAAGTAGTGAACATAGAAACAACCCCGATTTAGCCTCTGACCAGCCAAATGTTGAAGGCAACTCTTCGGAAGGCCAGTAGCATTTGGCAAACCGCTCGCCGTGGGCATTTCTGTGGTACCTCGTCGCCAGTTTCGTTGTACTCGCTGTTTTCAACCTCGCATGGGCTGCGGCGTTTGCATACTACTGGTAGCCCGAGATTTGTGTGACCTAAAGCACTTTTATTCGAGATTGCGTGTGCTGGACGGAATGGTGATGAAGCTCCTGGATAATTGAATGGAGCCAGAGGTAAAAAACTCGTAATTTTATTTATGCCTGCAGCTTTTTTTTCCACAATCTTTAGCATTCAAATAAAGCAACTGAAATACAAAACAATCCAAACACTCTGCAGATGTTTGCTTACAAAGTAGGTCAAACTATTAACCCTAGGTAGGTGCCTTCCATTTGATACCATATTGAGTGGCTGTAACTTTTTTACTTTTAAAGATGAAAATGCAAATAAAAAACTAATTGTTAGCAGAAAGTTTTTTTCCTAAAAGACATATAAAACAAAAAACAGATATGGGCCCATTTTATATATTTTTTTAATGGAACCTTATTATGATCAGAATTCTATATTTTATACCACTTGTTTTCGAGATATTGACAAAAATAGCAAAATTTTCACATATAGTTCGATATGGATTAAATGATAAGTTATTGCCACAATTATTATTGTTAAAATGATGTGTCATAATTGTCATAAGGACTTGGGGTGACTAAACCGGTCAAGAGAAAATTATGGAAATTATTTTGAAGTTTCTATAATGGCCATTAGCCAAAAAATGTAAAATCTCTTTTTTTGAGAAATAATTTTATATTACAGATAACTAAACAGGCTCATTTAAAGTTGGGATAAATTCAATTCATAGAATAGTTTGTACTCTACCTCTTAAGAGAAAACAATGTTGAATAGTTTCATTACTAAAATTGTTACCATTATTATAATGAATAATCAATAATAATTAGTACTCATTCCTATATGATTTCTAATACAATATATTACAATAATGAAAAACATTAAAACTTTAAACACTAGGATATTTGCGTTTTAATGCAGTATATGTCATCACAAAAATTCCAACAGAAATATTTGCGTTTGCTTATTGTTATTTATCAAGCACTTCTACAGGTGGAAAAGGTATTTTTTTACAAATAAGGCCACCCCAAAATACACTATGCTGCAATCTTAATATAATTGACACTTCAAATTATAATTTTTGTTATTTTGTGTGTTTCAAAGCAGTTGGATTTTTTAAATTTCTAATTTGGGTGATGGGCAATGTTCAATCATATTAAAGTAATATTAATTATTATTGACATTTTAAATATATTTTTTGTCAGTACAGTAAATTCTAAAAGACTGAAATTTAGAATAATGACAATAAGCAACACTTGTTCAATTTTTTTTTTTTACTATTATATGTTAAAAAACAGATATCGAAATGAGATTTTCATTAAGCAGAACAGACCTTTATTTGGCTATCCTTTGTTGCAATAAAAGTGATGAATATGCCAGAAAACGCTGTCTAGCGGCGATACAAGTAATCTAAGTCCATCCATACAAGGTTGTACTTAAGAAAACACTAATATATAGGAGATATTTTCGTTCGCGAGATATACATCTGGACCAAAGCAAGGAATTCAAGCAGCTGATTACTTGTTTTGCTTTCATAATTCAATGTTCAACTTATTTCTCTGTTCGTCCTTGTTCATGAATTTTCGAGGCAGCACCCCTGTTTGAGACCCTTTATGACTTGAGCAATCAGAGTATTTCCCATCTTAATTATTTAATTTTCTTATAGTTCTTATACACTTCAGGGTTTTCTTTCTCAAAAAGCGGGGTTTAAAATTCAAGAATGCGATTACGGGCCCCTGGCGGCCACTGTTAATTATTCGAATAACATGTTCTATTTTATACCGATAAAATACAAAGATCTTTAAAACAAGAAAGTTATAACCAATCAAAATGTTATGAAGATAAATTGAACACACTTCACATATATAAAAATATTGTATAACTAAATTAGGTAAACAAATGAAATATTTTTTGTTTGACTCTTTAGTTATGCAAATTGCAAATTCTCAACAGAATAATAATGCATTAATATCAAATTTTTTCAATGCATTTTCTTGTTAACCGTTTATACTAATTTCCTGTTTTTTATTAATCTTCTTTCCCGTCGAATGCCATCAAATCCTTCAAAAAAATCCCACTTTTGTATAACAAAGTATGGATACTCAAAGAGAGCATAAAACTCCACAATTGATTCAATCCCTCACAGGGCCTTGTTTTCGGCATTAAGTTTTGCTGCGAGCCATAATGTAACGAAAAAAATGTGTATAGAATAATCAAAAAAATTCGTTTTTAATTTTAAACAACGTTTTGTGCATACTTTGTGGGGTCAGGTTATCGCATAATGTTGTTTCAAATTGAAAAACTGAATTTCATATACTGTTGTTGCAAATTAGTTTAACATTACTTGTATTGATTTTATATACTTTCACAGACTGTAATTTTGAGTTTTGAAAAACATTGTATTTTGTAGATATTTTTACTATTAAATTGTTTCATTTTTGACTGGGTTGCGATATTACATTTTTTATTCCCGTTTGGTATTTTCTTGTCCTCTATTCCTTGCTTGTTTATTAAGAAAAAACATTAATTTATAGGTAGGTATGCTAATTTACTTTCAACACTTTCTATTTATTACTTGCTTACGAATGCCATGTATATGTTTTGAGGTTTTCTGGAAAATTCAGGCTATTCAAACAAAATTATTTCTGAGAAAATTTCGCCAAAAAACATGAAAATAACTAACTTTCAACCATTTCAAGTAAAGATCTGGAATTTTGGTTATGCCTTGTCAATAGGCTGCTTCGTCATGTTATAACATGTGATTTAAGTGAAGACATTCGGTTCGTTTGTTTACTAAATTATTTTGCAACATTGCAATTTAAAATAGAACGCCTAATAAAAAGAGCGCGATTCGTTCTTGATCTTTGAACCGTTTCGGGATTAAAAGCATATTTTTTCAAAAATATAGTAGTATTTACATTTTATCAAAGAATTTATGGTCTGGTTTATTCTCCCATTCTCCATATATTTCTAATAAGTCATTGAGTTTGGGGAATTATGCATATTATGCCACGAAATAACCTCCAGGTATTCAATAATTTTATGTGTCATATTTCAATACCTTCAAGTTACATTTAACTACAACAAATTTCAACATAAGTTACATTTTTGTTGAATTATCTAATTTGTATTCTCGCAGTGAAAGTCATTATTTTAGCAAACATATTTTTAAACGAACTTTGGATTTGAATTGAATATAGGTTTGTTCAACGATGCCTAAAATTACAACCATGCTATGCTTTCAACAAAAAATAAAGAAAATAATTAATTTCTTAAAAACACGAAATTTTTAGAAAAATCACAGACGGCGTAGCGAAAAATGTAATAATATATTTCACGTTTTATTTAAAATATCAACGAAGCAACAATGTCACATAGCTGAAAATATTTCCCATGGAAAGATTGTCCTTATTTATGTAAATGAACAAATCTCCAAAATGACCTTAACCTGTCTTGCACCTTAGACAAAAATCTTCTACCTATCATTTTGCATTTTGAAAGACTTTATTATATAATCATGATCTCGTATTAACTAGTCACTTCTACGGTTAGTAACATTTCCTAGTAATCAACGCAAAGCAACAAAAAAAGTAAATAAATGAACAAGAGGAGTATATTAATCAATATTGAATTACAAAACTTACAAATATAATCACAATAAAAATAATATAAAAGTGTTCTTAAAAGTTTAAATAAAAGGCGTCCGGAAAAAATAAAAATAAATGAATAAATACGTTCTCGTAAATAAAGTGTAGGGGACACTGAGGATCTAAAAATCTAAGCGCAGAGAGAAACTTTGCTCATTCTGGCGGTGGCAGGGGCCATTCCGAGTGATCGACCTTTTTACCGCTCATCAAATCTTTCCAAATTTGCTGCCACTTTTTGAGTCGAGCACTGTAGTGCTCGTATAATTTGCCCGGATCACAATCTTCCTCGCATACGTTGGTGTTCGATAAATCTAAAATTGGACTATTGTTTTTCCAATTGCAACTGGTTTTGTATTTCAGCTTATTGAGCTATCGTCTAATAATTGGGTTAAACAGCAAATAGCTTCTAGATAAATTGAATTTAAGCGTGTTGATAACCGGGATCCTTATTCTTGACCGCGATAGAATAGAAAACTCATGACAACGTGGGCGTGGTTGCGTGTGAGTGCGCCATTCGTATTTTCTCTATAGTTATAGCAACTGCTAATATTATATTATTATGTGACTTCTAACGGGTCTGGTGTTGACTCTGTCTCCCTTACCATTAAGATGTTTATGTAGTTCTACACCCTTTGAAAAATTAATGGTGATATTATCTTTTAATTTAATCTTTAATTTTATCCAATGGCAATGGAGACCCATTTATTGTGGCCTGTCTAAAAAAGACATATAATCTGGAGATCTTAATTTTATTGTTAAAAAAATTTAAAATATCGAAAAACTCCTAAAAACTGATTTTTCTCCATATTTTCCATTTTGTAGCTAGGTCTTCTGCAATACTGTTCAAAATACCATCCATCCATCCATTCAATTGGGCGTCGTTGACTCTTTAGTATAAGCTGCCGACAATTTTCCCGAGATCATTTTTCTTCATACATGAATAGAATCAATCATCTTTTTTTGTGCGGGCGTAATTAAAATGGCTTTTTCTTGGCTTTTCCTTCATCGTAAAAGTTATTCGGACTATTTTACGATGAGCACATAATCACCACAAACGTAAGCAGCAAACTACACATTTATTTACTTAGGTATATATTGTACTATCAAAAAAATGCTATGAAAAATTTATTGGCAATATTTAGCGCACCGATGTACCACCAGGCAACGGTGGTGAGTGTCCGCGCCTTTTTCGTTCGTTCCCTTTTGTGCAATGCGGTTTTCGATTTGATAAACCAAGGAACAGAAATATCCGAAAGAGTTTTCCTCAGGAATGATTCATTCTATCGCGCTCAAGCTTAAGGGTTTGGATATTTCCCTTCAAACGTCGCTCTCAACCAAAACCTGCCCTTCATTATGGAAATGTAGAGCATTATTTATCCATCGTATTATCTATTAATCATATGCGTTAAGCCGAGAAGTGCTGCTCTATTGCTATTAGGAATGCGGAAATACTGAATGGTTCAATCAGAATTTTCAATAAATATGGGCCCAAATTCAGATCTGGAGTATATCATAATATTCCCACAAGCCGGGGTATTAAGGAAAAAATCGGTTCAAGCAACCAAGTTTGTTTTAACAAAAAACATAAAAGTGAGTGTTACTGAAATAATTTCTCTAATAATGACATTGAAAGAGTTACAATCTGCACTGTTGAATTGACAGGAATTGGCCATCCTCAAAGAAAACTATAAAGAATCAATTAAAACTCCAAAGCTGATGTCTTGAGACATCAAGTTCGGAGTTTTGGTTTGTTTTGATTAGTCTGTCTTGAGACATCAATTTCGGAGTTTCAATTCATTCTTTATAGTTAACACCTTGTTTGATCAAAAGTTGTTTTTGTTTATTAATATTCTAATTCAGTGTTATTATATTATATTTGGTTGTCCGATTTATATCATCCCAAATGTAGTCACAGAGACAATCCTTCAGTAGAAAAGCAAAAATTGAACTCGAGGGCATCAAACAAGCAACAGCTGATAGTTTTCAGATTATTTGGCTTTTGCTTCTGTGGACAAAATATCTTTTACTTAATTAACTTAATTAAAAAAAAATAGTTTTGGTTAGTAAACAAAACGTCAACATGTTTATTTTATCTTGAAGTAAACACACTAAATTTAAAATGTTAATTTTGTGTCCTATGAATCTTCTTTGTTAGGCTGTCAAATTCCGGTAAAACAGCCATACAGCAATAAAATAAGCAAAACAGCTACAAAATTTAGAAACAAAGTAACCAAAACTGCTTAAAAAAATAATTACGGAAATGACAAGATTTTTCCGAAAGACACAATATAAAAAAAGTATTACCTGTACAGGTTCAGAACAAACAAATGCCTAAAAAAAGCAAAGTCTTCTTAAAAGGGCAAATGAATTGATTAAAAGTTGCGAGCAAAATTCTTGGGAACCATTCTCGTTCTGCAACCCATTATTTTCAAAATCATCATAAATTTTTTGGAAACTGAAAATTTGATCATACTTAACTTAGAACAATGATTCGTGATTATAATGCACTAAAAAAGTATATTTTTATCCTCTTTCACCTACAAAATAGCAGATAACCTAATAATGTAATGTAAGTAATAAAACTCATTTTAACGCAATACGGTAAGCATGCATATAAAAAGCGCATAGGTCTTTTACAAGCACGTTTAATTATAAGTTTAAGGGAGAAACAATATTATTCTGTATAAAAACGACATTCAAATGTATTGCTTAACGATCAATTAGATTTACATACATCTGCTTTATTGAACTTAAAATTCTCACAACATTAATTAAGGTTTTATTGTTATTTTTTGGTATATACAGCAGTATGTAAATGTTTGATAAAGACACGGTGTTGTCGAAACAATTGTTATGTTAAAATATATAATTTCGTGAAAATCTGAACTTTTAGTTCTTATTTATTTTATAAAAACGCCTGTCTGCCGAAACGCATTAAGGCTTGTGTCACTGAATTTCCTTTTCATGGCATCAGACCAATTAATTTATGAGTTTAACAGCCTGGAACTTTTTAATGAGGTGTCTAGTAAAATCTTTATGAGAAATACCCCCCTCAAAATTACTAAATATTGCAAGATTGCATTTTTGGTCACTATCTGTGAATCTAATCACCCTCTACGCAAAAATCACACTATGTTTCATGTTGTAGTCGAAATAGAACAGTAAAAAATGTTTAAGATAAGATATGGTAATAAGATATCTAAATTGTATTTAGACCACAAATACCTTTGATTGGATAATAAAAGTCACTGCTGACTAAATCAACAATATTTTTACTTCATATGAAACAAATCTATATTCTCTGAAATAGTTTGTTCTCAAGTATGGAAATTACTTAAAATACTTTAATAATTAGATTACTAGCTAAATCTCAAACAACTCCAAAATCAGTCTTTTTTAATTTAACCAAGAGTACCTTTTTTTATGGAAAATTGTTTAAAAAATATTATTTTTGTCCAAACTAAAAATATCCCCATCCCATTTTTCTCCACAAATGGAGTTTGACGCAAATCTTGTATTTTTTTTAAGTCGTATCTGACAGATAGAGTTCAATAAGTCAAGGTGTCAAGACAGCTACCTGAATTTATTGCCAAAAATGAGGTTCTACAGGGCAGTAGCCTTGCGCCTCTTATATTTTCCATTTTTATTGATGACATAATTAGTGCTATGTCGACTAAATTATTAGTATTTGCAGATGGTATGAAAATATTTAGATTTTTCTGTAATTATGCTAACTTCTGGTGTAAACTCAACAGCATAGATTGAATCTAAGCTGAAGTATTATTATATTCTATTTTTAATAAATATGTCAGTTGTTTAGAAAAACTTCTTTTTTTTTAAATGTTTCTCTTTGGGTGTGACGATTCGAAATAGCGACTCAAACAATTTGTATTTTTAATTGTACTTGTAGTGATATACCGGCTCACTTTACTTTAGCATTAAAAGGTGGATTTTTCACTGATTATTTTAGGTACTGTTACTTTTTTTTTGTTTTGCGTTTTGTCTTTTCCTATATATCTTTAAATGTGTGAATGGTTAAATGTCTTGCAAATTTAATTAAATTAAATGTCTTCCAAATGTATACTAGTATAGAGTTGGTGGATCTAAGACCCCTAAACACGTAGGCCACTGATGTTTTTTTACCACGAAGTTAGTCAATTGTGGCGTGAGTTTCGCTACACACTCGAGCCTGAAGCCGCTTTCATATATGTTCCACGCACATGGCAGTAATGAAATGTTTTAAATGGGTTTTGAATAAAATATTTTTTTATATGAATTTCTCATGCTGTGTTCCTAAGTGTCAAATCCACGACAGAATAGTCCAGATAAAATATTTATCATCGTTCCAGTGAAAAAGAAAGCGTTTGCAGCAGCAAGAAGAATTATCTAAGTAAAGCTGTAGAAGTATCACTGCAGAAGGAAGCCAGCCTACAAAGTATCCCCAATTAACTTTCCTGCCCCTAGGGTTACGGTTCCTAAGAGGAAAGGTTATATTTAATGATAGTGATGGTAGTGACAGTAATCATACTAGTGACAGCATCCTTTGTCCATTTGGCCATCCAGTTCAATAATGAAAGTAGCGAACCATTTTATTTATTTGACATTGAATCAGATAAGAACAGATATCACTCTTCTAAAAAGATTCGTAAGAAAACATTTCCTTTTTTAGAAGAAAAGTTTTTTGTTTTAATTTATATTAAACATTGTTCCACAATATTGACAAGATTTCTCTATAAATATTTTTTGTCAACATCCCTATTATTATTATTATTATTATTCTTAGCGCCGCTTTAGTACAGAGTATTAAAATTTTGTTAGAGGTGACTTTTATGATCCAATATCTAAGTCATTTCGGGTCTAAATTTCATTTAGGTATCTTAAACCACTTCAGAAATAATTTACTCTTTATAGAGCCCCGAAAAAGGCGTTTTCAGACACATTTTTATTAACCCAACTAAGTCATTTTTAATATTCTATTGGCTCTGGAAATTGGAGGAACGCTTTTTTAAACATCCCGTAAAACAAAAGAAAATTGACTCTTCAATTGTGTTTAATACTAATATAATAATTTTTTTAAAGGATTTAGTCACTGTGTAGCTGAACTCTTGATTATTGTTTCTTAACATTTAGTTTTCGTATATTTTTATTTAATTTTTGTCCGAATCAATATAGAGCAAAAATTACCTTGCCCTGTGTAAGACCAAAAGTTTTATTTCACAATTCAGAGTTTGGGCCATTCAGTACATCAGCGGTAATGCTTGTTACACATCCACATATTAATTTATTTAAAAAGCAAACTGCTAACGTTGGTGTTAAAATCACAAAGCAACTTTACTTAGTTACCACAATGTGCCAAGTTGGTAATCTTTCTAGCATCCTCAATTTCCTTCAGCCCCTTCCTGATGTAGTCCTGGAAAAATTTGCTCGACTTGCTCAGGAACGGCTCTATGTCCGCTTCAGGATATTGCTGGATAAAATCGTACAAAAGATTTAGACCCTCCTTGGTCTCCTCCTTACTGCCGATTTTTTGGAATATCTCAGTGAGCATATTGTGGTTCGCCCGCGAGAGCGATTTTCTCTGAGACTGGACAGGAATTTCCTGAGCCTGAGCGATTTTTAGGGTCTAGAAAGAAAATAAATTAAAGTATTTTTCATAATAAATAGTAGAACTTACTTTCAGCAGCTTTAAAATGTAAGCTTCAATTTCTGATTCTCCAAGATTGCTAATTTTACTTAGCAGCTGGGTCACGGCTGGCCCTTTGATTTTTACCATTAAATGTATGATGGTCTTGATTGTTCTTAAAGGCGTGTCAGCCGGTTTTCGAATCCACCACTTGGATGGAAACTTTACGAGAAATTCGTGAACTTCTACCAGAACTAATTCATAGTCGAATTCATGACCCCAATTGGGCATCAGTTTGATCACTTTCCAAATACACTTCATTACGAGTTCCACTTGCCGTTCCGAACAGTTTTCATCGGCTACGCACTCCTTAATTAACTTAACCAATGCGCTGCAAACAATGCAACAGTCAAAAACTGATTGTTAACTATTGTTACTGGGTAAACCCAACAACCAATTATTCATAGATAAGGGACAAGACAAGAAAAAGTTAGGTAGATGTCGACCACGTGTCGGCTGATTTTACCGTGCGTTTCGAAAAAACTTCTAACGAGGATATCACTAATTTATGTCAAAATCGCTTGTAATTAGTAGTAAGTAGACGATTTATTAAGCAAGAAGCTTTAAAAGAAATCTACTCCCTTACAAAAACATTAATATCTTCGATAAAGAATATTGTTAACAGTGAATTATTGAATGAAAGGAGAAAACGTAGTGATTTTTAATCTCACGAAAAAGGCGAAAAATATATACATATACATAAACAATAGGACATATAGGACGCGGACAAAATAATCATATTACAATGTATCAAGTTAAACTCATTACAATTGTTACAGTAAAATATTTCATACAACTTGTAACCACAACACTTGCTCCCTCTAGAGCGCTCATCAGTCCATTCCTGTCTTCATTCGGCCACCCGCTCGGTTCCTAAGGCAATAAGTAATAATGAAGGCCATGGTTTCATCGGCGTCTAACCAAAAAAAATGACATAAGTCATTCATAAAATTGCTATTGTTGTGATGCAAATATAGGCATTTAGGCAAGGGACGCGCATTTAGGGCAAGCGTTGCCCATATATTATATACCTATTAGAGAATATATTGGCCGTAATACGATAATAACTGATGCGCCTCAGGAGATATTTTCGTAGAGACGGAAATGATCTACCCATGTTGTTTGTCAAATGCCGCTAGGTTTTGTTAGTTGGAAACGACCATCTTAATATTTTTTTCGTCGTCGCTTTAATTACTTCCAATGTTAAAAGCACAACCAAAGGAAATCCTACATCGTCATCTATGTACTTACCATATAATCACGGTATGATCGGAATTCTCGATAATCCTAACGCAATTGAGATTTAATACTCGCACATAGACGTCGCCGCAACTTTCCAATTTTTGTTCGACCAACAGGCTGACCAGCTGGTTCATAAGATCCTTAACGGCCTGTACGGTCACCCGTTTCGATGAGCGTGGTTGCTGGTAAAACTAGTAAGAAACGTGACCAACGGCTACCAAAACAATTTGAACAAAAAATTAAGATTTTACCATATCGATACTCCTAAACAAACTCCGGTAGAGCTTCGCCACTGTTTCATCGCCGCCAGGGTCCAAAGTGCGCAAGTGCTTCAACTGTGATACTAACGCCTCGACAAAATCGTTTTCGTGATCGGCCAATACTTGACTTTTGGACGGGTTATTCATTAGTTCCAGTAATTGTAAGAAACCCTAAAAGGCTCATAAAAAACTTCATCTGCCGCACATTTTATCGAATCCACTTTACTTGACATCCTACTGCCAAATTGGGAGTACCGACGAGCTTAAGCGTCTCCGAAATCTCTACGCTGATGCCATGTTTAACGCCCTGCATCGCGTAACTCATTGCCTGGACAGGTTTAGGAGGCGTCATAGGCATTATTCTAACAAACAAAAAAATATGAACAACCATTTACAAAGTTCCTTGTAATTTTTTACCAGAATTAACCAATAATAAAATTATCACCTAGTTGGTCATGCATCACATGGCGTGACTCCAAAGCTACGCCTTTTCTATAATAATCACAGTTGTGAATATTATATTATTATTTTTCAATAATGGGCACAAGAATAATGTTTTGAAATGACAAAAAATTCCAAATATAGTCGCATATAAAAAAAATAACAATAATGCAAAGATATTAGATAAAAAATATACAGATAACACTAATTTATTGATTAGAAAAATTCCGCTAAAATTTGAAATGTCCTCTTTTTAACTTATCTAAAGCTAAAGCAGGATGCAAATGATTAATATTAGTTAAAACACTTCTAATACCTCTTTAATGGTATCCATATTGTCATGCCGCTCAAAGAAATTTTGTTTTTTAAATACCCCCAACCTCCCCTTTAAAAAACAGGATCAGAAAGAGTAAGATACGGGCTATTGTTCAGTATCTGATGTTGGATATTATTAAGTAAATATTCTTTCAATGGGTAATAACAGGTGATTCAATAAGAGTTTCCACATTACAATCTGAAATATTTTTGAAACGCTACTGCATTTGTTTATTATCATATGAGATTTCTAACCTGAACAGCGTGTAAACATTGTGCAAGCCTATTATGAAAATGGTCGATCAAGAAAAAATGCATTTCGGGCTATACGTGAATTTTTCGGAGCGCAAAATCGACCTTCTGAGAGGACAATTTAGAATGTGGTTCAGCAAACTGGATCTGTAACTAACCTCAAAGTCTCTCAACGAGCTCGTGAAGGTCGGTCCGATCAAAATATTGCCATTGTTCGCGAAAGTGTAGCCGAATATCCAAACACATCGATTCGTCATCGATCGCAGTAAGTGGGATTTACGTATTCAATCACACAGCGAATTTTAACAAAAGACTTGCATCTACACCCATATAAAGTCCAAATAACGCAGGAGTTGAAACCTCGAAATCATCAACAGCGCCGCGTGTTTGCAGAATGGATACGAGAACAAGGGGTTCATTGTTCAACGAAAATCATCTTTAGCGATGGTGGCTTTGTCAACAAACACAATGCTCGTATTTGGGGATTAGAAAATCCAAGAGAGATTGTTCAAAAAGCAATGCATCCTCAAGAAGTGGCTGTTTGGTGCGGAGGATTAATTGGCCCTTTTTTTTTTCGAGGATATTGCGGAGAACGCTGTTACGGTTAATGGTGTTATATCGACACATGATATCTGATTTTTTCTGGGAGCAGTTGGAAGGTATGGACCTTGAAGATTTGTGATTCCAACAGGATGGAGCCACTTGTCACACATCCAGAGAAACGATGCAATTGCTGCGGGGCAAGTTTCCTAGTCGGATTATCGCACGTAACGGTGATATCAATTGGCCGCCGCGATCATGTGATCTTACTCCCCTAGATTTTTTTTTGGATATCTAAAAAGCAGAGCGTATAGAAATAAACCAAACACTATTCCAGAGCTGAAACAGGAGATTAGACGCGAAATAGCCGACATAGAACCTGAATTGTGTCAAAAAGTGATAGGAAATTTCAATAAACGAATTACGTCATGCCACATGAGTCGCGGGGGTCATTTAAATGACATCATCTTTCATACCTAATTGTAATACACTAATCTAAAATGGCAAATAAAAATGTTTGTATATTTTTATATTCTTCCGAGTTTTTTTTTATTATTTTAATGAGGAAACCCTTATTGAATCACCCTTTATAATTTCCGCGAATCTCATTGACTCTGATATTTTCTAAAAAATCTTCCCTTAATACTTAACATATTTTTTTTGGCGGTGGAGTGGCACCATCGTGCATGACGATTTTTTTGCTTTTTCTGGCCTAATTATAACATGTTAAATATTTTTGAAATCAGCTCAGGAAATTTTGGTATACTATTCTTTTTGTTAAATATACACATCAAACTTGAAACCGTTGTTATTTCAACTTTTTCTTCGAAAATGCAAAATAAAAAAGTTGAGAGGGGGTAACATCACGGCAAGGAACACATTTCCATTACCGCTATAGAACTTACCTACAGTGTGCCAAAAAATGCCCATTTTTCGCTTAACCTTTTAATATAACATTTGTTTCCAATAATATTTTATTTTGAATTATTGTCATTATATTTTGTGCTTTTACTCCAAAGTGATTTTTACTTTGAAATTATTATCAAAATGTCTTATTAAATGTTATAGTAACTCATCTAGGTAAATTTCCTTCAACAACTTTATTTTATTTGGCACGAAAAATTTATAAATATAAATTTATGGAGTAATTTTTTATTTTACCGTTCCTAAAACTGTAGTGCCCTCATTTTCAGCACTTTTAAACCTTACATTTAAAATTATGTCTCATAAATTTTATTTTTGGAATTAAATTGCAGAATATATTTTTTAATATTTGAAGAAATATTTCACATTTGATAAAGACACGGTGTTGTTGAAACAATTGTCATGTCAAAATATATAATATCGTGAAAATCCAAACTTTTCGTTCTTATTTATTTTGAGAAATATTTCTTCAAGTTTCAGGAATATTGCTTAAAATGTCTTCCTGAATCTGATTGAAAACAATATTATTTACACACATGGATAATTTTATGTTATATAAAGTGTCCAAATCCGAATTGTCCTACAATAAATGGGTAAAAATACAAATAACCAAAAAATCAATGAAAAAGTAATGCCCAAATATCGAATGTCAATTATGCAATCATAACTTCAATCATTTTGGAATTGTTCCAACGAAAAAAGTTCGGAAGACGTTGGTCGTTTTAAACGCTGCCTTACCGAATTAGAACAGTGCTAGATCTCGGTATTTGCCAATATAATATTGTCTCAATGAAAGTCTAAATTTTGCTCTATTTTTTCTTAGGTTTTCTCACTGGTGCACTCAAAATATTCTCACGGATTTTAGCATAAACAAGAACATCTAAGCTAACAGTAAACATTTTGGTTAGATAGTTCATTAATAAAATCAAAACTTTAAAAAAATTTGAAGTAACCAAAGGGTTTTATGTAACTCAATCAGTTTGGACGCAATATAATAAAACTTAAAATTATTTAGTATTTATTGAACCTCTTACAAAACGTGTTACGCCAACGTTTTCTTATAAAACTATAAAAATTGTTATAAATCCTAATAAACCCCATACAAATATCCTTATACTTACTTAGCCTTGTTATCATAAAACGATGGCATCTTAATATCTTCATTCATGAAATTTGTGTCTATTTCCATGATAGGTTTTCTTTCGTAGTTGATAGTTATCTTATCCAACTCCTTCATGAATTCCGGATCTAACTGGAACGGCCCATGCACCACTTTCTTGGGAGGTTCGGAAGCGACGGCGGGCGGCAATCTGAACGGCAAACGAATAAACTAATAACGCAATGAAACGACTAAGACAATAAAATGCCCTTAAATTTTCAATAGAAATTTGTTCTGGTGGTGAGGAGAAGGCATCTTTGAAATCTTAAATTTGGATTCTATGCTACAAAAATTTCAGGTTTTGTTCGAGGTTTTTTTGGATTCTCGGTGTATGGCGCTGTAATTGTAAAAAACATAATTTATCGTATTTGTCAAGAAATAGATAAATGTTATGAATCCGACTTTAGCCTTATAATCTCATCGATTTAAGATATTTTTCTTACTCCCCACTCTAAAATACCTAATTATGTACCAATTACTAATAAAAGTTTTCAATTGCTTTCAAACCTTGCCCTTTCTCACTTTGAGTTGGACAAGGTGCTGCAATCCGTTTTAATCAATGAATGTGACACTACTAGCTAACCTATTATACGTTTAGATGCATCTGAAAATTGGGAAATCATGTGCTTTTTTGTTTCTAAACATTTACTTCATCTGAAAGTTTGTTTTTTCTATTTTTTTTTAAATGTTTATTAAACAATAAAAATATAAACATAACAAGTCGATTTTGGGAAAAAATTTCATTTTGCGGGTTGTTTTGAATGTTTAATTGTCCAGAATTTACCAAATAAAACGCTAACCTATTATTGATGATCCACATGCTATTTGCAATCAAAATAAAATTTTGTTTTTACCTTTTACTTTTTTACAATTTGTTGATAAATCGAATTTGCTGACGTCGCGAATCATAGTATGATTGGCGAAACGTCAGCAAATTCGATATATCAACAACCGATGCAAGAGGCATCTAGTGTGGAAGTTTCTTTTTATAAATTAGTAGACATTACTCTTCTTTCTTATCGCAACGTTTTTTTCGTAGCACTGGATTACAATGAGTTAAATAAGAAGTAATTAAAACGTTAGGCAATCAAGACACTTTGACAAGCACCATATAACATGAAAAATATGTGGCGATTGGGATAAAAATCAAATTATTTTAATGGCAACCGAGATTGAGATGGTGAAGCTAGAAACATTTCACTAGAAAGACAGGCGACGACGACGACTTGAGAAATAAATTATTTCTGTCGCAAGAGATATTTTATTCCTTTTTTATATGGTTGTCCATTTACAGTCCAATTTACACAATAAATAAGTCAATTAAAATTAAAATATTAAATTGTTCCATACACCTTGTAACACAAACACTTGCTCCCTCTAAAAAAAAACTCAGCTGCTTTGAAAATGGCTTGTTCCCTTTTTCACCATTTCACCACTTGTATAAACCATTTTTCCCTTATTTTATTATCATTTTAACAGTTTCATTTGGGTGGGTTCTAAGGGCAATGTTGTTGTCAATATAGTGTGTATCGCATTATTGCCTTTGCAGATTCTTAAAGCCAGTTACACATTTGGCAACATTATTCAACTTTAAATAAAACTAGATTTCTTTAAAGATTTTTAAAGATTCCTCACTTTTTAATAAGACGGATAAATATCAACTAAAAATAATGAATCCCCAACCCCCAAAATTATACTCTCTAATTAAATTACATAAACAGAATATGCCAAACAGGCCGGTTGTGTCTTTTGTAACAGCATCATCTGTCAAAGTGTCCACAAGATTAATAAATATTTTAGAAAATTACACAGACTTCAAACCTAAATTTACAATAAAATACTCTTTTGAATTAGTCATCAAGGTCAAAGATATTAATATCCCTCCTAATGCATTATTAGTTTCATTCCACGTTCAAAATCTATTTCCTAGTATTCCACCTATTGATGTAATAAACGTAATAGACAGCATGCTCACCCAAAAACAAATTAACCCAATCGTTAAACAAGATTTATTGGATAGTATAATAGTTTGTTTAGACCAAAATTACTTTGAATTTAATGGTCAGTTGTATATTTCTAAAGAAGGACTAATTATGGGAAACCCACTTAGTTCTCTAGTTGCCCAAATTTTTATGGACAATCTGGAAAATATTATACTTGAACATCCGTTATTTAAAAGTTTTCTTTGGTGGTACAGATATGTGGATGATGTTTTCGCGTGTTTCGTAGGGACTGAGAGACAATTAGATACCTTTTTAAATTATATCAACTCATTACACAATCGCATAAAATTTACTACTGAAATCTAACAAAATAACTCTTTAAATTTCTTGGATATAACGATAAATAAAGCACAAAACAAATTAGATTTTTCAATATACCATAAACCTTCACACACAAGACACTATAATACATGAGAGTTCAAACCATCCCTATACACACAAAATAGCTGCCTTTTATTCATTTATTCATAGGTTGATAACTATCTCTCATTCTGCAATAAACCTTGAAAAAGAATTAAATATTATAAAACAAATAGCATTCAACAATGGCTATGACCCGTCACTGATAGATAAAATCTTAACTAAGAAACAATTTCAAAAAACTTTGAACTCTATATATCCCCGCTCTATTACTGAATCTCAAGGTTTTAAAACATTAACATACATAGGAGAACCTAGTAATAAAGTTTCAGATCATCTCTCGAAATGTGGCCTCAAAATTGCTTTTAAAACTAATAACACCCTAGGAAAATTTGTTAAAAACAATAAATCTAAATCTAATAGATCCCAGAATTCTGGAGTCTGTAGATTAAATTGCAGATCATGTTCTAATATTTATATTGGACAAACAGGTAGATCTTTCAAAAAACGTATCAACGTACATTGACGATCATTTAAAAACAATAGTTCAGATTCTAATGACGCTATACATTTAAATTTAGAAAAACACAATTTGACGACAATTTCGATATTTTACACACTGTTTCAAAAAGTAGAAAATTAAATTTACTAGAAGCTATGGAGATGAGATGAGATGAGAGGTTCGAATGTATTACTTAATGACCAACTAGATTTGAATGGATGTCCCTTGTTAAATCTTAATGTAATACCTCACATTAAGTAATTACTACCTGTTTTGTATTTATAAACATCGGTACCGTTTGATATTCGCATTTGATAAAGGTACCGTGTTGCCGAAACAGATTATATTTATGTGAAAATCTGAACGTTTGTTCTTATTTAGCTATTTTAAATGGATTTTCATCAAGTAAAAGCCACTTCAGTACAATTTTTTTAAAGATTTAGTTACATTAACTAGGGAGTGTACAGTAACAGCAACCTGGAATCTACTATAGAGTGGCGTCCACAACATAACAAAAATTGGAAAAGTTTCACATTTTGAGCGCCAGCGATTTTAGTATTTGGAATATTTTTTGCGACCATTTTTGGGAGGGTTTAGTGTGTGTCTATGAGATTTTGTGATATATGGAAATGATTTGAGTATTTGCTACTCAACAAACCACACGTTCATGGGAAAGTTATTTGGTTTAGACTATAGATACAGTGAGTCAAAGCAAGTGTTTCTATTTCGTATATTTTAAAATCTTAAAAAAATTAACAAAAGAAATATCAATGAGAATCCTAGTTGCACACTGGCGTGTTGGGTCAACACTTGTTAAATACGTAATTCATATTGGTTATGGCATATATCAAGTAAGGTTTTTCGTTAACTTTAAATAAGTGCAACAAATTTTTTCATCACCAACAAACAAAGTTGACCATGGACCCGTTCCCCAATACACAGGCTTACCTAACTCCAGGAAGAGTATCTTCATCATCTACATCTTGATCGTCATCGATCGTCACTGTTTCATTTCCGTTTATACCGTTGCTGGTGGTAGGAGCTACTTGGGTAATAGTTACATTGAGAGTTGGAGCCGCTTTCGGCATGATGGATCGTCGGCTCGACCTTTTTATCCTTTCTTCCAACAGGGACATATCTTTATCGGAGATCTGCAACAACCGCGAGAAATTGTTGGAACCAGCTCGTTCCTTTTGCTGTCACGATTACTCACATTGCCCACCATTTTGTAAACCTTGTCGCCGACGATATTGTAAGCTTGCACGACGCAATTTAGTGCTGCATTCCTTACTGAGTTATCTCTGTCTGATATCTGTTTGGCAACTTCTTTTAGTACAGCCGATGGCGACGGCATACAGACACTGATACCATAATCTTCAATCATCGAACCCATAATTTCCAAACATTCGGCTCTTTGTCTCGCATTCTTCGACTTAACACCCTCCATAACGTACCCTGATAGTCGACCCAGAGGAAAAACGCCGCTGATTTGTTTCAGTAGGGAGCGGACGCCATTTCTAACTGCGTCTTTCGGATCGCCGACCTGTCACAATCGTCACAGACTTAATTTGATCGGGTTTAACATAATTGCTGATCATGTTACCTTAAGCACTAAGTAAGGTATGAAGCAAGAACCCTCATTCTCCAGCATGTGGTACTGCTTCTCTACGAGGGTGTTGAACACAGAATGAAGATATTCTAGACCCTTTAGTAGCACTGAAGGATTTGTGTCGAAGAATCTCAGTGTTAGCCATTTCAGAATCAGATCCAAGTTTGAAATTAAAGCTTGACTATTGTTGGGCAGGTCCTCCATCAACGATTCAATTGCCTTAATGTGGAACCTGAGGCAAGGGAGAAGCGGAAATGACTTAATTGAACAGTAATTTACGCAGCCGGAGTTGTTCAAATAAAATACTCATGCAAAATACAATTTTAATAAATTAAATAAAGTAAAACCTCACTGACATTTAAAAGCAATGAAAAATTCGCTTGAGGCGCTGCTGTGTTTAAAATTAACAAAAAAAAAGTATCTCCAAGCGACAGAGTTCGAAGTTTCATTAAGCCCATTTGTAGTTTTATATCGGTATGGATTAAAATTCGATTATCTATTTTATAAAACTTAAAAAGCCATAAATTATTTGCGAAACGTTTTCGTTATTCTGAAATTTTATAAAGGTACCGATGACCAAATTTTAGAGCTATATGAAACTTTGTATTAATTTGTAACTAGAGCTTGTCATTATTTTTATAAACCAGTTTTATAAAGGCAAGAAATACATTGTCGTTGCCGCTATAAAACCCACCTACAGTATTTAAAAACACCAAAAAAGGTCTTTTTGTTCCCCCTTTTCTATATCATTTGTTTACAATATATTTTATTTGGTATATTTTGCTTTTACGCTGATGTTGACAACAATGGACTTTTTGTGTTTTATTAAATATGATTACTCAAAAATTTGAAAATTTCCTACGATGACTTAATTTCCTAAAATTTAAGCGCTCTCATTTTAAACGTAATTTTTTATTCAAACCTTCAATTTAAAACTGTGTCTTGTACTATCCTCTGTTGGTTAAATTGTACAAAAATCGTCATTTCGGTACACGAATCTACTCTAACCTAACCATACAGCAAAATTTAAAAAAAATGAAAAGTATTAAACAAGTCTCATGAATTTTATTTTTGAAAATAAAATGCAGAATATTTTTTAATAGCATATTTTTGAAGAAATATGTTTTCAAGTCTCAGGAGTATAAGTTAAAATGCGATATTCTTCCCTTTTTATGAAGTTATTTATGTCAATTCTAAAAACATAACAATGTCCACGAAATATAATAATATATAATATACATAAACAAAAAGAATAATTTTACGTTATATGAAATGGCCTAATCCAAAATGGCAGCAATGTCATAATATAGTTGGAAAGGCTCCGGAATATTTGCGACGGATTAGTTAATCTAAGAATATTAAAGGTAACGCGCCATACAAAAAACTTTTAACCGAGCAAAGCAGTTCGTTTATAAATTTTGATCTATTTCTATTAAATTTCGTCTAATTTTTGATGATTAATCGCCTGGTGCATTTTACAAAACATTATCACGGGTATTAGCGTACGTTCAATAAAGGCTGCTACTATACTTAATTTTATGTGATTAAGAAATCAATTATTACATCATAACCTCAAAAAGATAGCGGCTTCCACATACATAGCTATAAATTTTATAACTTTCTTTATCTTTGTAGCTGTAAAATATTTATTAGATGCTTTCAAGATTTATGAGGGCTTTTTAAGGGCCAAGATGTAGAACCAAAAGAGTGAAAGTTTTGTACTAAGGTTTTTAAGAACGCAATAAAATCTGAAATAACCAACACCTACTTTTTTAGTTCTTACTTATAACTTATAATAAAATGTTAAGCTGCGAAAAATGTTAGTTGGGAATAATGTTTTCAAAATGAAAATGAAATCTATTGTCAACTATATACGAAACTAAAACAAAAAAACTAAAATATTACCGGAAATCCGAATGAAACATATTGGCGATCAATTGCTTGTTGACGTTAGCGGCCAGCATCTGATCTTTCAAAAGCTCGACAAACTCTTCCCGTGGCTGTGTAAAGTTCCACCTCAGGACCTTCAGTTTGGATTCGTCAATTGTGCGCTGATGTTTGAGATTGTTTGTGACCAAAAGCGGCGAAGTATCAACTTCCTCTTCCTTCTTACGGGATGACACAGGCGCCGATGCCTTGGTCTGCGTGGATCCAGCCTACAACGATAGATTTCAGTTACAGATTATTAGTCGAGTTTTAAACTACCTTAGGTTTGACAATTCTTTGTTGTGACGCGCTTTTGGTAGGTTTTTCTTCGACGGGCTGGCTTTTCTTCATTGGGAGGTTAGGCCTGACTTTGTCTAGAGCCGCTAAAACGACAGCCTTCGAACCAGGCTTCAGTTTTTCCGCCTGCTTTATCATTTCCTCGCATCTTGCGTGAATCATTATCCCTAGGATAGCTTCGTTCGCGTTCTTCCTTACGTCCGCGTTCCGATCTTCCAAATTGCTGAAGAGGTGCGGAACACATATCACGATTTCCTCCTTGGGCAACGTCTTCGGGGGAACTATTGAAACGGATTTAATGAATTTGATTGAACTATGTCATTACATGTGGCAAATTTATGATTAGATCGATATTTACAAAGTAAAACTACAAAAATTTGTAAGTTATCTATCAAGGTAAGGGTAAACCGAGTGTGAATGATTTGTGTGAAGTTTCCGAAGGGTTCTTCCGTCGTCAGTCTGTTAGATTACAATAACTAATATGTGTAGCTGGAAAGGATTACCGCGAACTTGATTGATTGAACAGTGACCTTAAGATTTATATGCCTGATATTCATATATGGTAATCGGCACAAAAATAAACTGTAACAAATATTTATGGCTAGCCTTGACAATAAGGACGGGTTCTGTGGTGAAATTTCATCGTGGGTCATTTCAATTCATTATATTTTACACTTGACTCGCGCGTTTCTATTTTGTATCTCATTTTCAATTGGTTACTTTTCTTATGGACGCGCATGCGAAAGATCTCGATGATATTGTTTAAAATTGCTATATACTCTTTTTATTATAAATACAAAATAATAAATATAAATAAATATAAAATAAAAAATATATACAATATACAATAACAAAAATACGACTAATGTTGAGATAATGGGCTAGAATATCAAATAAAACAAATTCAGTCTGAATTTCAAAACCCAATCCGTTTGTCTACTGTAAGTTATTTTTTAAGTTGATATAGTCTAATGGAAAATTAGATTTGAAATCAGACAATATAAACACACCTTTGTATTACCATTTTACGTTTTACCATATTTGGGTGTGAAGTAAAAGATTGGTCGGGATCACCAAGAATCAAAGAAATAACGAAGTGAAGACGAAAGAAAGGTGAAGAGAGGTGAAAGAGAATGTCTTCAACATTTTTTCTATCCATTGCTATAATTAAAATTACGATATATGCGCTACTACTTTTGATTTTCCCTGCACTTTCGCTTACTTTTCGGCAACACCTCGGCCAACCAGTTCCAGAGTTCCGCGCGCAAAACCGGCGAACCGGTTTTAAAAGCATCCCCGATCATTCCACAGTCGAAAAACTCCTTGTAACCGCACTTCTCGCTATAGGCATTGATCGTCTCTAAGGCCGTCGTGCGCATCCACGCTTTGTTATCGGAGAGACCTCAAAAAGCAGCAAATAAAATCGCACGACTTTAACGCAATGATCATTGCATACATTGCAAGAATCCTGGAAAAAAGGTGCGAATATACTGTTTGGACTCTGGCCCAACTGCCTTTACGATCTCCTGGCAAATATTCAACGTGGTCTGAGCTATCTTCACGTTGCTGTCGCTTAAACGGGCAGCCAGCGCTTGTGGTAAATCACCTAGATTGGGTTTGATGAATTTCGCCTCTTGAATGATAGAGTTGACTTTGTTCAAAGCTTCAATACGCTCCTTAAATTTGATCAAATGTAGTCATTATCGCCCCTGCGCACAAAAATCTTTAATATTTTTTACAGAAAGCTTACTTAACTAACCAAAAGGCGAAAAAAAACTTTTATACATCTTTTTTGTAGCCCGGTTATCGATCAATGCTGTAAGGTGAATTCCTAGGGAAAGTTATGACCATCCAAAACCAAATTAAAACTTTCTTGTACCATTAGAATTACTGAATTTTGCACACTTTAATGAAGAAAGTTATAATCCAAAAAAATCCAAAAATTCAAATTATATTATTATTATAGTTCTCCTCGGTGCTTAACCAAACAAAATCTTTTTTAAAATGCCTATTGCCAATGCCAAATTTAACCGTCAGTTGTCAAATTCGATTTAAATAGTATTAACGTGGAAATACCAAAATCTGTAATTAATAACAAACTGAAAAGATACACTGTCTCCAAATCGTACGGAACTGCGAGAAAATATACCATCTGGTGGAGAAGTGATATCTACTTGTATATTATTACGTGAACAACTTATCAACGTAAATTGAAAGTGTTTATATATAAATTTGTACTTTTGTTGGTCCGGGTATCCATCCGTTCGTTGTTTGATCCTGGATTGGGATCGGTCGCCTGACCTTTCGCCAGAATTCTATCTGGCATCGTCAGAGACTGCGCGTCCATGTCACTTGTACGTGTCCGCACTTAACCTGTTTCAGAATACCCGGATCAACACCAGTATACACCCTTCCATCCGTAAAGGAATACACACAAACAATTTATATATTTATATACATAATGCTGGAGTTGTTCTTGGGTTGAGGTTATTCAATAATAGCAAGATTCTTAAAATTTTTAAATTTTATTAAAATTTGGAGAGGAGGTGGGCACCAAGTGCAATTTATAGAAATTTAGAAATATAATGGCTTTTTTTATTATTGAACCTTGAAACGCGCATAATGCTGTGAGTTGTTCCAGGGTTAAGGTTTATCAATAATACTTCTTCTTCTTAGCGTGCCTTGTCCTATCGAACGTTGGCGATCATCAGCGCAATCTGGACTTTGTCCACCGCTCTTCTAAAAAGTGTCCTGGCGCTAACACCATACCACTGCCGCAGATTCTTCAACCAGGAAGTTCTGCGACGGCCTGGGCCTCTCCTACCATCTATCTTGCCCTTGCATAATGAGTTGGAGTATTTGGTACTTTGTGTTGCGTAGAATATGTCCGAAATATTCTAGTTTTCTCTTTTTGATAGTGTGTATGACTTCTGTTTGTTTGTTTAGTTGATTTAATATGTCTATATTTCGGACTCTGTCAACCCACGAGACTCGCAGCATGCGTCTGTATGTCCACATTTCGAAAGCCTCCAGTCTTCTGCACATGGTTTCGGTCAGCGTCCACGATTCGGCCCCATACATGAGCACACTAAAGACATAGCATTTGAGAATGCGAATCCTCAAAGCTAAATCGATATCGCGGCTGCATAACACGGCCTTCATTTTAACGAAGGCGCCCCGGGCTTGCTCTATTCGGGATCTTATCTCTTGTGTGTTGTCCCACTCTGCGTTAAGTATGCAGCCTAAATATTTGTAATGTTGGACGCGTTCTATGGGTTTTCCGTCATACTCCAAATCACCCCACACATCTCTATGTTTGCTTACTACTAGCCATTTAGTCTGTTTGATGTTCAGCTTGAGTCCCATCTCCCTACTTCTGTCTGCCACGCAGTTCAAAAGTTCCTGCAGGTCCTCCAGCGTACTCGCGAGAAGCACAGTATCGTCCGCGTATCTGAAGTTATTTATAACTGTACCGTTGAGAATAATACCTTGGTGTTTCTCGTATAATGCTTCTTCAAAAATGCTTTCGGAGTACAGGTTAAATAAGAGGCGACAGCACGCAGCCCTGTCTCACACCACGCATGATTCGAACCTCATCCGACATCTCTCCGTTCACTACTATTTTTGCTTTCTGGTGCCAATATAGATTTGCTATTATTCGTATATCTCGTTCATCTAGGTTTTGTTTCCTTAGTATTTCAATGAGTTTACTGTGCTGGACGGTGTCGAAAGCCTTCTCATAATCTATGAAAAACGCAAACGCATCTACGGACACATCCCGGCATCTCTGCACCAACACCTGCATGCTGAATAAGGCCTCACGTGTACCCATCCCATTTCGGAAACCGAACTGTGTATTGCTCATATTCTCTTCACATTTGTTGTAAATACGGGCATGAATGATTTTCAGGAATATTTTTAAAACGTGACTCATGAGGCTAATTGTGCGGTAATCACTACAATATTTGGCGTTCTGTTTCTTTGGTATTGTTACAAATGTCGAAAGCAGCCAATCTCTGGGAATTTTACCACTCCTGTAAATTAAATTAAATAGCCTTACCACAACGTTAAGTGATTGTTCTTCTAAAAGTAGTTTTAGGAGTTCAGAATGTGTTTCGTCGGGTCCTGGCGCTTTGCCCCTCTTTGCAAGGCGTATTGCATGTTCCACCTCTTGCCTGGTTATATCAAGTCCTTCTCCTGGCAAGTCCATGAGCCCGTCTCTGATGTCCCCAAAAAGTTCCTCTATATAACTGCACCATTCCTTTAATTTTGTTTCGGTATTAAGGATGACTTTCCCCTGTTGGTCCATTAGTAATCCTGTGGACCTGCGTTTATATAATCCGGCCGCTTCTTTAATATTTTTATGCATGTTAAAGAAATCATGTTTGGCTTGCAGACTTTCGATTTCACTGCATTGACCGGACAACCATTCCTGTTTTGCCTGTCTGATTTTCCTTCTAATTTCTCGCTGAAGCAGAGAGTACGTTACTTGGTTCTTGTTTTTTAAAAGCCTTCGTTGTTCCATCAGGTCTAAGATCTCGTCCGTCATCCAACAGTTATTCTTACGTCGGGTTTCTGTCTTGAGCTTGGCTTTGCTAGTTTCAACTAAGGCATGTTTAATTACATTCCATGATGTTTCTATGTCTTCTTCCCTAGTACTAGTATTTAGCAACTTTTCGTTGAGCATTTCTTTGACTTCCGTTCTAAGTTCTTCGTTGTTAAGTTTAGATGTATCGATCATCCTAGTTTTTGTTTTGGTCTTTAACTTTTTAAGGTTTATTCTCACAGACACTATGACGGGGTTGTGGTCTGAGTTCAAGTCCGCTCCAGGGTATGCCTTCGCTGAACAAACACTGTTGCGAAAACGCTTCCCGATCATCACGAAGTCAATTTGGCTTCGTACAATTCTATCCAGGGTTTCCGCGTTTGATCTCCATGTGTATAAGCGGCGGGAAAGCAGCTTGAAGAAAGTGTTTGTAATCACGAGCTCCCTTTCCTGACAAAATTGCACCAGTCTATCGCCCCGTTCATTTGGCACACCAAGACCGTACTCGCCAACTATACCTTCTCTCGGTCTGTTCCCGACTTTCGCATTAAAGTCACCCATTACAATAGTAACGTCGGATTTATTAACCAGTTCCATTGCCGAGTCTAGATGCTTGTAAAACAATTCCACCTCTTCATCAGAGTGATCGCAGGTCGGTGCGTAGGTCTGAATTATATTAACGTTAAATGGATGTGCGTTTAATTGCGGTAAGATCACTCTATCGGATATTGGAGCAAATGCTTTGATCGCCCCTTTCAATTCTTCATTCACGATGATGCCCACACCGTTATAATGATTACGGTCATCATTACCTGCATACAGAACTTGATGCCCCTCTATCTGAACTTGACCTGACCTTGGTCATCGCATTTCACTAATCCCAAGGATTTCGATGTTCAACCTTCTCATTTCTTTTATAGCATTGTGGACTTTGCCAGCTTCAAACATACTTCGCGCATTCCATGTAGCAATCCTCCTCATGACTGGCCCGGAGATTCTTAGCACCCCCTGACCATCAAAGGTCTGCCGGGGACTGAGGGCCGTAACTTTAGCTTTTCCAGTCATGCTGATGATTTGTCCTGGGGAGTTTAATGAGGTAGTTTCCAGTTGCTTTCCTCATCGCAGCGTCTTTGCCGTTGCAATCAATATGTGATAGTCGCCAAAGATTTTCTGGTATCGAGCCTTAAATGAAGTTTCTTCGGTAGCCTCGACCCAGTAATGTCATAGCTGCTTCCCTATGCCATGCTAATTTTGGTCCACCCCGGGTATTTCATTTCCCCGGTACCACTCATATCTGAGAGGCGTTCCCCTATCCGCCACCCGGGGAGGCGCCCGATGGGGGACTAGCAACCCCCGACGAATAATACGAAAATTCTTTAATTAATTAAAAGACATCGAATATATATGGGGCGGAACATGTTAATTGTTAGAGTCCAATGTAGTCCGTGAAAGTTGTCTAACTTCTTATGTCATTTCAAAATTTGTACAAATTAATTTCTCCAGTAGGTGTTTTAATAAAAAAAAAGAAAACAGCTTGTATTTGTATTCACCATTTTATGACTCTATTTGACTATTATGGAATTAATTCGTAGCGATTTAATAACAAATGGCGGTAGGTTAGAATTTTTTTTATCTAATTTCACTTAAAAACAGTCGTTATTTGATGTCTCTTTCTGTACATAATGGTTTTTCAAAATATAAACAATGACAATTTGTAATTTGAGAGTGCAGCAGAAACACAATGTCTTTTGATAGATCTTTATGATGGACATGTACCAAATTGCTGCCTTTTCGCCAATCATCCTGTTTGCTTCTTCAGAGCTTGACTGAAAGTGGCTCGTATTTTACTCTGTACCTGCTTATATATTGCTTAAGGGGTGGGGGGGGGGGGCTAATGAAGGGTATAAACACCGTCTCGGATGACTGATTTCCAAATTGGGGACAGGTAGAGACCTGAGATTGTTAGGTTGTTTATAGATTTCTATAGACTCTCGGATTTTTCGTTGGCAGAAGAACTGATTGCATGCAAGAATTTTAGTTTTATCAAATAAGATTTTATGCCCGGTTTCATGAGTGTGTTCCGCAACAGCTGATGAGTTTATCTGTCTGTCATGTTCTTTGAGCCTAGTATTTTTCGTCCGGTCTCTCCAATGTATTCTTTGCCGCATATGCACGGAATGCTGTAAACTCCTGGCGTCTCAAATGGAATTTTGTCTGGACGAACCGCAGATGTTGAGAGATTTTTGGACAAATGGTAAATCTGGTTTTGACGTTATACTTCTTTAGAACTTTTGCTATATGGTCAGTGATGTTTTGAATCTAAGGAAGGACGGACCACAGTGGCAAGTGTAGGATTCTTTTCGGCCTCATTGCTATTGGAAAGTTGTGGTGAAGTGTATTTTTTGATGGAACGTTTAATATCTTTAATGTCGAAATTATTAGAGAGAAAAGCATAGGTAAGGTGTTTTAATTCTGTTTTCAGTGACTCGGACTGAGATAGTTTTATGGCTCTGTAAACAAGAGAGTTGATAACCGATGATTTTTGGGCCGGATGGTGATGTGACCATTCGATAAGGTATCGGTCTGTGTGCGTAGGTTTTCTGTAAACACAATGACCCAATGTTAAGTCTGATTTTCTATTGATAATATCTAAGAATGGCAAGTTATTATTAGCTTCCAACTCAATGGTAAAATGTATGTTAGGGTGTATTGAGTTTAAATGTCTAAGAAAATCTACTAGGGTTTCTTGACCATGAGGCCAAATAACAAATGTATCATCGACGTAGCGTTTCCATCATTTTGGTTTTAGATGAAAGGTGTCGAGAGCTTTCTTTTCAAAGGCTTTCATATACATATTCGCAATGACTGGTGATAGTGGAGAACCCATAGCTGTTCCCGACGTTTGTTCAAAAATTTGACCGTTATAACCACTATCACCAGTACGATATAACATTTTAGAATTATACGTGAATCCAAAAAAATTTTTGCCTTTGAAGTTTTTTGAAATTGTCGACAGGTTCTGAGAATAGGTGTCATTTCGTAATAAACGAAATATGGACAATGTCGCAAACTTAATTAGGCATAACAAAAATGTACTACCAACCTTCCAATTTTTGTCGCCCAATTCGTTTATTAAGGAGTCTGTTATTTTTCCGCTGATGTCCGCCCTGGGCAACAAGTCTTGTATGTTCACCTCACCGGCCTCATCTTCTAGAGCATCGAGACTGTTCGAGCTTGCTGATTTTGGAACACCTATGAGCACCACTCCACGTCAGATCTACACTTTTCCAAAACGTGAGAAAACTTACCTCTAGTTGGAGCGGGTGGATTTTGACCTTTATACTTGTCAAACTCGGCGACTATTTGATCGCGCAGCGATGGCTTCTCGTTCTCAAAAAATACGTATAGACTTGAGCCCATGTAAAGATACAGAATTCCTAGGAACGATATGGAAGATTGACGTACCCCCGGATTCGTCGAGCTCAAGGCCTTCTTAGAGTTCTCGATGATCAGCTTCACGTTCAGATTGCTGATCGAAAAAAAAAAAACGCGTTGTTTTGCTTAAAATCGTTATCCTTTGAGTTGAGGCTATATGGAAGATATTTTAAAGTATCTTAGGTATAGGATGAACTTTATGGGTTTATGAGCTGGCTATCCTGGAGAATCGTAGGATATTTCACAATCTGTTTTGTTTTTAGGGTAATAGATGGTGTTATTGATTCTCCTTGCATTTTGTCAAGGGTGACCCCTCACTGAGGAATACTCGACATGCCCATAATTATGTGTTGATCTTCTGGGTTAGTAAATATACTATCGAATTTTTCTATTTCCTTCAAAAGTTAAAACTAAGTTAAGGAATATTTTGTTGTATTGTTATGTATTTTGTATATTGTTCTAAGTTGAAATTATATTCATATTTTTAAAATAGTTTTATATGTAAAATCAGGCAACGATTGAAAGAAGAAATAAATCTTTCTACAACTCGTTTTCCTCCGTTGCCTCATATACAGGATGTCTCACTTAAGAACTCTACATTGAACCATAAACAAACATTCTACAGGAGTAATGCTTAAGCAAATTTCATGGAAATTAGTATAGTTAGGTTTTATATAGTTCTGAATAAGAATTCGTTCACACTTTATTCTTTAAAAAAATTCGCAATAAATTGTATTCCATCTAACAAAAAAGAAGTTATCCAAATTGAGCCATAGACAAACATTATGCAGCAGAAAAAAAATCAGGTGTGCCCTTTATTTTAAAAATACTCGCGAAATAATATTGGTTAGCCCTGCGTTGTTAAGTATCTGTTTATCTGGATTATATGATTATTAAGTTACGTCAAAGATAAGTCGATCGAACTAGACATTTCAAATCCGAAATCCGAAAAATGATCTACAATATATCTCTAAGATATTTTTCTAATAAAATTTACCGTTTTCGAGAAAATCCAAAAAACCGCAATCTTTACTTTTGACGTTGAACAATTTTTTGTCACACATAGAATCAATGCGGAGTTTTGGCACTTTATTTCTACTGGTGTCCCCGAGGTCTCCACAAAAATCCAGCTCCGTCGGATTTTTTGTGATTTGATTACTATTTTTATATTTAATTTTTTTAAATTTAATTTAATCAGATTAAGAGCGGAGCAAATCTGAAATTAATTCTGAATTTTTATGAGTGAATATATTCTTTATATTCAATACGGAGAATTTGAAAACAAAATTTATTAAGCAAATTGGAAAGCAAAAAACTGGATATTATTATGGAGTTTGTGAAATGGCCGACAACAGGTATAGTTGTCACCTTGATTTTTGAAACCCGGTCTCTGCAACTGCATAGCTTGCAATTGTCAAAAAACTCTTCCTGGTGACATATTTGAATTTGTCTAAGTTCTTAAAACAGTACGCAATGGTACGCATTTTAAAGATTTTTAGTAATAACTTTAAGAATTCCAATCCTTACATCCTTTTTAGGAATTGCATCTGTTGTGACCTATCTCCAAATGTAAATGACAAGTTGAATTCTAAATATTTTTATGACCTTGTTGATTGTGTCCCAATGTCTCAATGATCCGCTCTTGTGTAGATATAAAGGTAACTTCTGCAGCGCTCTATATTTGTTGCTACTTTATAATTTTGTTATTTGTACAACTACAAAAAAGTACTCCATAGACAATTGTGGCTGTGTCATAATTGCATCAGTCGATTTTCCTATTTCCGCAAGAAACAATCGTGTCAAAAAGTTTCATACTACTAATTATACCACTGATAATCCTGAGACGCTAATGTGTCAGCTACCGATGAAGTTGCTTTATTTATTGCTGTGTGTGGCCAGTTTTCGGCATTACGGGATATATCAGCTATTTTAGAGACAGAACGATGCGGTTTTCACAATACTGTGCTCGATTTTCATAAAACAAAAGATGTCGTTTTGAGAATAATCGTAGACACAAATTTTGTTATTTGTAGAATATTAAATTATTGCTAAAAGTAATATACAATTACAAAAAACTACTCCATAGATAATTGCGTCTGTGTCATAATTGCATCAGTTGATTTTTCTATTCCTGCAAGGAAGAATCGTGTAAAAAAGTTTCATAGTACTAATTACACCACTGATAATCCTGTGACGCTAATGTGTCAGCTACCGATGAAGTTGATTTACTTATTGCTGTGTGTTCAGTTTTCGTCATTGCGGGATATCTCAGCTATTTTAGAGACAGAACGATGCGGTTTTAACAATACTGTGTTCGATTTTCATAAAACAAAAGATGTCGTTTTGACAATAATCCTCTCTGTGTCTATTGTGAATACCGCATCCTTCTATCCCTAATAATTACTGAGATACCCTGCAATAACAATGAAAAATGGACACACTGTAAAGTCATTAAAAACCAAGGAAAGGCAGGTGATTTAACTATACTTATAATTTAGTTGCTGAATAAATTGCTAGGCTACCCTTTTTTTGTGTCAGGTAAGTACCATATATTTTCTATATACTTTTTTAATCAATGAATAACTAACATAATAAAAGTAACTCATAAACTGCAGCTAAATTAAAAATATATTAAGTAAATAATTAAAATGACTAAATAATGAAATGCCCTAGGAATGGAATGACAACAAGCTCTCTTACGATATTCCGAATTCCTTTACGGCAACCAATAACCAGTTCAACGCCTCCTGCTGCAATTTCGGGCTTCTTTGGGAGAAAACGGTTTCCAGTACCGCAGTGGACACATGACCCAAATTGGTTGCGTCAGCCATGGCGGTTAAGGTTTCAGCGACGTAGGGTCCATTTTTGACGTCCGCAATTTTATCACATATGTCGTTAACGCAACAGTCGACTGTCGTTGTGGAAAATATGCCATTTTCAGCCAAGTACTGAAAAACAAAGTTTCGCTGCACAAATCTTTCAGAGCTGCAGCACAAAACAAATTGTAAATCATTGTATGTACGTGTGTACACAGTTACTATATTTATTTTATTAATTTTTTTATTTTACATTTTAGATCTTAGAAATGCAGAAGTTGTACGGTTTAATACGTATATTTAATATTACACACCTATTTTTATATGGTAGTATAGCACTGTATATTTTAAAAAAGGATTTCAAAATATGTAACATATTTTAGTTATTTTATACATTAAGACTAGAATTAGGTAAAAATAAAACCGTCGCTATACATCATCTCCTCACGCGAACGCATCGTCTTTTATATAATTATTAGAGTTGTGGCATATCTCTATTGTTCAAAGTAGATAAATAAATAGAAATAAAAATAAGATTGTTGAAAATATCCTGAACACACAGTTGCTACACTCTTTTTAACTTACCTAAAGCTCTAATGACCACCATTTATATTATAAAGTTATTTATTTCACTACTAATTAGTTCGTTAATGTTATATATATGGTCATATCGAATAAAACAAATTTTGTTTTTTAACAGTCTGATGTTTTCAAAATGATTTTCTACAAATAGATAGATAGATACAAAACATAAGAAAAATCTCAACATATGATTTATTTAAAGGGAACATCCTATTTTAATTTATTTTTCTTTGTCCAATAACATCCCCCAAAAAAAAAACAGTCTATCTCTCTTTTTATTGTTAGTTGCCAAAGCAAATTTAAAAAAAGAATGTAATAACATGTCAGATATACTAAAAGATCTCCTCCTACCAAGTTTTAGAGAATAAAAAATTTTGTATTATGTATACTACTTCCCACCTAATTTTTTGTTTACTATATGTTTAGTCTTTCCTTTTCTCCAAACAAATATTACATATATAATTTCGTTGTTTAAGTAATTTAAATATAATTTTGTTAAGTGTTTTTGGCATCTTTTTTATAGTTTAGTCTAAATAGTATATTAAAGTATGAATTTTATGTATCCCTGCGTGTTAATTGAAAAAACAAATATTGTTATTTTTAGAATCATTATTATTATAAATCACATATTGGAAATAGCATTATTATTTATTTATTAAAGGATTCGATTTCTTGTATTTAAATATAATACTAATTTTAATGTGTATATGGAATTTCTATTAATAATTGGTCATAGAAACTACTAAGGTACGCCGCTGATTTCTTTTAACCACTCATTATTATTTTTTAAATTAAGCAACTAAAAATAAAACTGCCCCATGATTTTTTTTTCTATTTTGATTCATAATCAGAATAATATTGATTATTAGCTAGTCAAAAGACAAAAATAGATAAAATAAATAAAATAAAATTAACTAATAAATTTTCAACGTACAATTTTGTTTGGAAATATGCAAATCCCACAGTCATCACAAGTGGCTATATAATTGTACTAACAATAATTACAATCAAATTAGTGGTTTCAATCACAAATATAAACTATTTCCCTTACATATTGCATTACATTAAATTACATTATTGCATTTGAAGCTATTTAAGTTTTTACATTTCTTAATGCAATCAGATAATTCATTAAACTGTTTTGAACCCATATAGAACTGATTATTTTGATACTATTTACTTTACGTAGGTAAAAGTTATTTCTCGACTTGTGTTATATTCATGTTCTCTACCAAATGAAGAATTATTTAATAAATGTTTAAGAAATTGCTAGTGTAACAATTTATAAACAAAAATTAAAGTGCCTGTGTTTGTTTTATACTTAATACATAGATTTGCATAATTTAACATATCAACTCGCTAAGTATATAAGTCATAATTGAATATGATGCTTAACTTAATTATTAAAAACAAGAGAATTGAACAGAAGTAGAAATGTGACGAAATTATTATTCTATTGTTGTTGTTCAAATATACTCAAAAACTAACATTCGTAGAAAAAGTGTAGTATGCAACAGGTTTATTAAACTTTTTAAGTCACTCGTTTATTAAACACTGGCTTCGCTGAGCTCCGCTCGTGACTCAAATGCCATTTGCCACACTTGTTCCATGATATACTATTTAAGATCGCATCACTTGGTGCAAATATAAGTTGGCCATGCAAATGTAGGTTACAAATGTAAATGTAAATGCAAATAAATAATTATTTAAAACATGTCAAGCGATAGAAGGCAGCCTGTTGAAAATTTGATGAAACATTTTACTCAAACTGGAAGTGTTGCTTATGAAAAGAACGAAAGAGTCAAAACTGTAGTGAACGAAGAAAATGAATTTCAAATACTACTTAGGGTGGTATATTGGTCATTTACATACATTAGTTAAATTATTCTAAAAACTGTTTTGCTGCTTAGTGCAACAAATGTACTTATTCTACCTCCCTACTCCAAAATACCCAATTATACACAAAGTGATACTTTGAGACGTCTGTTTCCTTACTGACAGTCGCGAGCCACTTTGGTACGTTAATCACGGATTTGGGTAGATTTTAGCCATAGTATTTTAACATTTGTCAGTACTGACGGTAACTTCACATGTGACTCATCGCCTATATTGTGTTTTCCAAATTTAGCCACGGTATTTTAATATTTCTCAGTACTGATGGTCACTTCACATGTGACTCACCACCTATATTGTGTTTTCCAAAAATGTATCCATTAGCTAATGGTGGTAAAAAAGTATAAAACTTGTTGCATACTAACTTTGGTCTCAACATAACACTATTTTTACTTTGCTTTATTGTGCACGTCTGCCACAGATAATTTTTAAATAAAATTTTAAACTCAATCACATCAAAAAATCAACCAATCAAAACATTTTTGCTTTGGCACTATAAGCAGATGGAGAAAGTATATTATCTTTCTATGGTTATGTTCGTAAAGAAAAATCCTAGTCTCCTTAGCCACAACTTTCACTTTTAAGTCAATGAAGACTGTTACGAGGAACAGAACCGGACTCTGAATCCCTGTGCGTTTTTTGATGGTGATACAAATTTTCGGGAGATAAAGGCCATATCACTCTTTGTTTAGCGGCATAGTTAGGGTTAAAAACAGAAATTTGACGTTGTAGTACGACCTTATTAGAAGATTAATTACGACGCGTTGCAAGGTGAGCCGACCGATCGAGCGTTTCGGAGGAGTTCCGAACCTGCCGTCGCACCGCCAGAAACACGTTCCGTTTTCTCAGTCGGTTCGGAGTATTTGGACCGATATATTCCCTTCCTCTGCGCCCTGGTTCGGAGTATTTCATCGAGCGGCTCCCGCATCAGGGTATTTCGGCCGAAACCATCCTTTTGGTCCCCGACGTCAGTTCATTAGTACGGAGTATTTCGGCCAACCGCCCCTGTGGTTTCGGAGTATTTCGTGCCACACTACCCGTTCCTATCCTGCATGGGTTCGGAGTATTTCGGCTGACCGAGCCCCCCACCCACCAAAACAGAGACAGCAAGGCAGGAATTGGAACTCCGGAAAACGCAACCCCCTTTCGAAAAGGGCTAATAATCTTGGACTTTTAGGTTGTAAATATATTGAAAGGCCGGGTAGTTTTAAGGACAGTGGTTATTTGCTATAATTTTAGAAATAAAGCTGCGATAGTCCGCTATCGTAAAAAATACGAAATTTAATGGAAATTTAACGTTCTCCACCGCGACTATCAAGGGTAAGCGGAGCCTAAGCCACTTCGATTACTTAGGCTGGCGCCCGAGAACTATCGTACATTGACGTCGGTCAAGCAAAAAAAAAAAAAAATTAGGTCTATCCCAGACATGGTGGAGTAAAGGCGGAATTTCCGTCGGCGGAGTCCACACTAGCACAGTTGATAAAATGGAAAACACCCTGAAATTGCGCTAACGGAAAAAAGTTCTTCGCATCCCAAATTTCTTTTTCCATCAACTAACGAATTTTCCACCAGCACTTTTCTTTCCTCGTTCTATCTTTATATTCATCCACCCTCTTATCCCAAACACTTGGACGTCCCTGAATTAATTGGATTAATTTGTCCATACCCATTATCCCACCAATCAACAAGTTAAAATTGTAATAAAACCATTTCGCGACCTTCCACGACCCTTCTTCTTTTAATGTACTATGCTAAGATAGGACTTAACTATGATTTTTAATGGGTAGTAGGGATTGCAATTGTCGGTTGTCTTTTTATTATTTATCAATTTTTACTTTTTTATATTGTAATCTTATCCTATTATATTAATTAATTCTTTGTAATCTTGTAGATGTTTATATAATAATAATAATAATAATAATAATAATAATAATAACAATAATATCCTTTTATTATTATTATTATTATTATTATTATTATTATTATTATTATTACCATTATCTGTAAAGTGATGTGATTGCATTTGAAGCCAGAAATAAACATTTAAAAACGTCATAAAAACCAATATTCTTACCTTCACAATGTCCAGTTTCACTTTGAGTACCTGGAAGTTAGTGTCCTTTAAGCCTGGCTTCTTCATTACGGTCTTAACGATAGCCTGCGTCGGAATAGAATTTCCGTCCATAGTTCGTAATTTTGAAATTATTTGCTCTGCTGCCACCAGTCTGCAATACATCCAATTGAGCACATCCGATGACGAACCACCTACACAGAAATACCTGGTCTTCCATACTGAGTCCACGAGTTCGCTAACGATGCCGCTAGGGAAAAGGTCCTCCACGATACTATCCACTTCCACATCGTCGAGTTCCTTTTCAATCTTAAGAGCCGGCTTCGGTGCAGCTTTCACTCCCTTACACTTCACGATGGTGGCGGTTCCCGTTAAATTCGTCACCGACGGTTTCTTTTTCGGTACTACGGATACGATGTTCAAGACAATGAATTTAAGCCAAAAAATCTATTTGTAGATAAAGTCTATTTATTTCCAAAAATTAAAGTAAAAAATTTTGGGGGAGAATTAACTCATTTAAAGTCAACTACTTAAATGTAATTTGTAAAAAGTGAAAGTGAAAAACAAGGAATTTGTAAAGACTATGGAAATTTTACCGCTTCTGAAACTAGGAACTTGTGAGAACTATGGAAATTTTACCGCTTCTGAAACTATAAACTAGTGCTACAAATTACAACTCGGGTACTGCATTAAAATAAAAAAGTACATCATAATAGTAAAACCAAAGGATTGTACCGGGCAGTAAGTAAATCAGAAAAAGTTATTTTCGAGTTTCTGAAATGTCCACCGGGGAACGTAATTGTTATCATCAATTTTAAAACTAGGTTCTATAAAAAAATCCAGGATTAATTATGGTTAAAGTGAGTATTGTCTGTATAGTACTGTATAGTAAAGTTGAGACAATTTCAAACCTTTTTTAATTAATGCTTAACGGATTTAAAAAAAAACTTGGAGTCCGTAAAAAGGGCTACCAATCGTGCACCCTGACGTGATTAGGATTTACTATTTACAAATCTTCTGGATTCCTACTGCGTTGGTTTTTAACAAATCAAATTTGTGGACGTTTCTCCAATCATCCTGTTCGCTTCTTCAGAACTCATCTAAAACTGTTAATGAAACTGACGCAGGAGGAATCCAGAAGATTTGTAAATAGTATTACTTTGACACCAGCTGGCGTTTTCTGACATAATCGCAAAAAGTGATCAACGAAATTAATAAATGCAACGATATGGCTTTTTAATGTCAACCCAGTGAAATTCGCATGTCAACATCTTCATCCTTAAACACACATCCTTACGTTGGATTTTTAAAAGTCTTTTTTTAACAAAAATAACGCGCAGTTTGCTTTCTTTGCAATGTGTACACTGTCACACCTAGGTCCATCTGAGAATCGACACTTGATTGATATAATAGTTCAAACCGAGATTGTTCTTGCCATCATGCAGCACAGAGCACTTTCGAGCATTCAGCGGCAATAGCCAAGTTGAACACCACTTGGAAATAGTACTCAAGCCTCTCTCCAATACGTCCGCACGTGTTGAAGGATTTGCAAATAATTTAGTGTCATCAGCATAAGCGCTAACATGAGAATCAATGCTTTAAAGCAAATCCACGGTATACACTAAGAATAGCACTGGCCCCAGCATCGATCCCTGGGGAACACCACTAGGCACGTTTTGTGGCAGTGAAAAAGCGTTGGCAATTCGAACTCTGAACGACCGGTCGCTTAAAAACGCCTCTATCCACTCTAGCAGTTTACCCCCCACTCCGACCTTTTCAAGTTTGAATAACAAGCGTCGATGTGGCACTTTGTCGAAAGCTTTGCTGAAGTTGAGGTGAATAATATCCACCGAATCACCTGAGTCAAGAGATAATGTCCAGTAATTTAAGCATGTCAATGTATTTAATATGATCTGGCGGGAACAAAGCCATGCTGCGCTGTAGGTATAATATGGCAGTCGATCAAAAACGGTAACAGCTGATTTACTATAAGGCGTTCAAGAACTTTACATATAATACTCACTAGGCTGATAGGGCGGTAATTTGAAACATCGAGCATATCACCCTTTTTATAAATCGGTGTTACATTTGCGGATTACCACTGGGTCGGGAGTGTGGCAGAGTCCAAAGATTTTCTCCAAAAATCAGCTCTGCAAGCACAGCGGCACGCGCTTTTAAGATTTTACTGGAAATTCCATAAGGTCTGGGAGCAGAATATTCTTTTAACTCAGAAAGAAGTTTTTTTACGTCCTCTTGGTCAAAGTGAATGTCTTCTAATAAATCTAGATTTATAGGACCATCATAGTGAGAAGATAGGTTAGCTGGTTCATCAGCAAAGACACTAGCAAAATATGAAGCAAATTCATTTGAAATGAAGTGCTGGTTACAGGAGACCTCTCCCGAGGTATCTCTAAAGACAGGAAGGGATACCTTAGACGATATGTGTTGTCTGACATAGGAATAAAACCCTTTGAGCCGAATGAGGAGGAATCCTAACTTCGCCTCTAGTTAACAAAGGTTATTCAGAATTGGATTTAACAAAATGAGTTTTGGAGCTTGTGCCTAAGTAATAATCCAGAATAGACAGAAAATATGTCCACGCAACATTAACGTCGTTATCAGGAAAGTTCCATGTATGGAAAGGTCTGCAGCTAATCTTGCAAAATTTGTCTTGCATAACATTTTACGATTATTGACTTGCTTGGGCTAGTTATAAGGCTTGAATACAAAACTCAATAACGACATGATCAGATTTGCCGATCGGGGAATCAAGTTTCAATTTGTCAAGATTGAGAGTTGATGGAGCGTAGTTCTCTCGGAAGCGCGCGTGTTCTTCAACAAGTCGACTAAGATTACAATCTGACAAAAAATCTAGGAACATGTATTTCATGGAAGTCGGGACAAAGTCGTTTGAAGTAACAGGTCAGGATATTCTTGGGATGTTGAAGTCGCCAGCAATAACAGGGTTGACGAAATTTGTGACAAAATTGTTCATGGATTGTAAGAGCTATAGATTAGAATAATTATCAGTATCGCTCGGCCTGTATACACAGGCGACTTAAAACTAAAGTCAGAACTGGTAAATGACAAACAGCGTCTATCATCTGACCCATCATTAAATCTAAGAGCTTGATCCTGTAAGTACCGGCAATATGATCAGCAACGTAAATACAAGCGTCGCCGCCCCACCTGCTATCGGAATGATAAATTGTATATCCTAAAATAGATATGGTGCAATCGGGAATGGAAGGCTTTAACGCTTACTTTTTTGGAGCCGAGATGTTGACGATTGAAGGCACACCTTTAATATATTTTATTGTTAACTCCTTCTCACCTTTCTCGTGTTTGTCCGCGTGTTGACGCGCTGAGAAGGCGTTTGGTCGTCAAATATCTTAAAATTTCTAAACGGTCCGGTTGTTTTTCTGTTTTAGGATTTTTTTAACCACTTCAGGATTTCCAACTACGACCCTTAGCGCTCGAACTCTAGACCTTTCCCCATCAGCATGAAGGGCTCCCAACAGAAGCAAAGAGACATTTAGAACTTCATTCGTTTTATGATGTATAATCTCCGTTGTCGATTGCTTATCTTGATCTCGATCAGACTTGGGAAGTTTTGAAATGGTAATATTGCCGGAGCGTTTAAAGCGCTCATATGCTTCAGATAAAATCTCCTCCCGTATGTCAGGGGTGGGAGGAGAACTAGCTGAATTAACGATCGCAGCTTCGAGAGCCGCTATGCCACTGCTGAAGGTTGTTTCCATTCTCTCCAACCTCTTATTCTACTCATCTAACTGTCCATCTCTCGCCTCAAGTTTTTTAACTAGCTGATCAAGCTTGTCTTCCTGCTTGCTGCATTTACCGCAGAATATTATAAAATTTAATGCGCGTCATACAAGAAGCTGCCTCCTTCGACAGCCCCACATAGACGGCATGCAAGTCCCAGTCACTGCACTTACCACTGAGCCTTGGAGAAGACAGCGACGTATTGCACTCTTTACAGCACATCGCGTTTTATATTGAGCGGTCCTGGTAGCGGCCAAAGTGAACGAGAGCCAGAAAAAGTTATACCTTTTTTGAACGCCACAAAATGTCAAACCGAGCTGGTGGTAATCAAATGTGTTTAGCCTAAACTGCTAACTAAGAGGAGTATTTTCACGTAATACACTAAACACATCACTTAACGAAGTTTCAGCAATAAGAATCAACCCGAGCCTTAGTTGCAAGCAAAAAACTAATCAGAGCAACAGCACCGACATCCGCACGCGTTCACGGTAGATTTACTTTACACCTCTTTCATATTTATTTTATTCGGTATTATTATTACTATCATTGTTATTATTAAGTGATTTAGAATTTTTTTATTTTCTTTTTAAGAAAAGAGATTTCTGCTTCATGTTTCATGAACTTTATATACAAATAAAACATATCTTGTTACCTATAATTTAATTCCCAAATTACTAGCAGTCTCTATCGGTTTCGTGTATCATAACTACTTGTTCTATCAAAAGAATCAAATGAGTGATACAGTTAACGGTTAAAGATCTCATACTGGGGCCCAGGAAGCATACCATAGCGGCACTGGTTAGAAGAGCTTTATGACTCTTATATAATGATTTCAATTCAATAAAATTAAAAGAAAAGTGAAATACAGTCCACTAGGCAATCCAAATAATGCGCTATCGAGGTTAACTAAACAATGTGCATATGACACTAAAAATTATAGACTGCTTGATGATCTTAATAAAACTAAAAAGTGTGCGGAAACCACAAAATGATTTTTTACGAGTTTGCGTTTATATAATATCTTTATATGTATTTAGTCTTTTTAACTTCTGATTTAAAATAAACTGTTTCATGTAACTTATCTTATAGGTATTTAGGGTGTATTCAGTTCCGGAAACTTTTTTGTACAGCTTCAGGAAAGAGTACCTCTGCAGAAGAATTGATTATTGCTAATGCTAATTACAACCATCCAAGAGAAGATAACAATATTAGAGGAAATATAAAAATAATAAAATATTACTGCTTGCAAGACAGAAGAAATGTAAAGGCTATTTATGATGGTATTGCTACACAGTAAGACAAGTGGGGTAGGAGTAAGATTCATTTGTCGAAACTGACAATCATATTCATTTTGTTTATATTACCTATAAAAGATACACAGCGTGTTATAAACTGGCAAAAACAAGAGATACAAGTTAGGTTAAATTGAAGCAAAGCTACATTGCAAATCCATTGACCAAATTATATACATACCTATTATGACATACTACCTTTACGTTATGTATTTCAAAAACCCAGAAGGGCAGTTTATGTGCCTTATAATTCAATTAGAACATCCTTGCAAAGATAGTGGCGGACAACAACTTCAAATGTACCAGGGAGCCTTGAGGGATTGGCGGAAATTTTACAAACAGGCGAGTGGTCTAGATATTCTAATTCTTCAAGTGGGCCTGTTTTTCAATTGCTGTGGTGACCAGGGACGAACAAAGAGCAATTGTTTTTGGAAATACCCAATTTATCAGCAACTTTGGTCATTCCCAATATACCTTTATAAATGGTACTTTCAAAGCAGTTCCAAGAAGATCAGGATTTGCACAGATTCTGACTTTTTGCCACATGCATGGATCATGTAAGTGGAAGTCTCAATTTGGTTACAAATAATAATTATATTTAACCAGCACATTTACTGTTAGTAGTTCAATATTTTAGGCTTTTGCCATTTTACATGTATTTATGAAGAGAAAGTTGAAGTCTCTATATGAAGCTGTATTACATCATCATATTACCGAGATATTTCCCCATTTTATTAATGGTACTGTGGTAACAGCAACTATGCATGGATGTTTCTTTGATTTTTGCCAGGTTTTTCTAAATTGTTAAATTTTACTAGTTTACTGTGTACATAGGTAGGTACAAACTCATTAGTTGTAAATATATTGTTATTAATTTAAAGATAGTCCCCTATTTTCTTAACCTGTCATTGAATATAGTGATATTAAAATTTTTACCAATTAAATGATTGAGTATTTATTTCTAAATATCTTCTTAGTTTCCTTACAAGAGTACCAATCAATGCGAAAAAACTATACTTAATTTTTTTGTTTAAATTTAAATTGAAAGTAATTCTGCCATCACACTGCCATTTTAATGTTAAGTAGGAATATTATATCTACCAAACGATTTGACTTTTTGAAAACTATAAATTTGTTCGCCCTCGCTGCCGCCCTGACCATTCTGAAGTAACCGAATACAGGACGACCGATCGACCGACCGTACCAAAACAAACGAATTCGCCGGAATACGATTCATTTGAATGGTTTAAGATTTAAATGCATGACTGAAACAGGCCACGGAAAAGGAATGGGAATATTGTTATAATTATTCTATAGTATTGAGTGGCGACATTGATTGGTAGATTTGCTTATGTGTTGAATTGAATATTGAATGAAATATCTATTTCCACACAGGTATTTAAACAAATTAATGTATTACTGGTACAACCCAATACGTAGCACCTATTTTTATAAAATCATGATTACACAAAAAGCAGAACACAGCTAAATATTATACTAACTAGAACAGAAAACATAATATAGAGACACAACAATAATTCAAATTCAAATGAATCTGAATCGGTTGTTCGGACGATTAGGAGTCAGTGACTATTGCCGCTTATGTTGGCGTCAGAAAGTATTGAAATGAACGATTGATTGAAATGATTCGGTCCTCTTCGAAATCGGTCAATGATTGATTCGGTCCTTGTAAAATGAACGATTGATACAACACTAGGTAATAATATAAAGGCATAGTTACATTTGCTGAGCTATTTTATAACAAATTAAATAAAATACAAGTGTAAGCACGGCTCAAATAGCAAATCAATTTATAAAATGTGGAATTTATTTTACCATGGTTAATTATCTATATAGGTGGATTCCACTATATAGTGTACATCCAAACAAAATAAAATCAACAGTTTTCAAAAAAAAGTAGATGTTATTGGGCATGACATAAAGAACAACAATTTACGCTATTGTTTAAGCTAAAAAAACTTTTATCTTCTTAGCTCCAGGAAAATTATTTCTCCACATAAACGCTTTGCCGCTGTCATATCACTTTCATTCAACAAACTGATATTCCTATTATTCGCTAATTAGTGTCTGGTCTGAACTTTATCATATAACTTTTAAGTGGCCCGTCCGGCCTAATAATCCCTGTGGTTACAAATTTATATTGTAACCACTCTCTTGTATTAAGTATTCATATATGTAATAAGTTTTAAGAAATCATGTGCGGAGTATGTTAATTATGTAAATTGACAGGAATTTTGTTTCGTCAGTTTTGAAATCCTTGTCAAAAGCAGCGTCAAGATCAAATTTTTTAATTAAATTATTAAATTATTTTAAAACTTGTTGATTATTTCACTAGAGAAAAAAATGCGGGAAAACCGCTTATACCCTAAACGCCGTCCACAAGCTAAGTGTCATGTCATTTTTACGAATTAGCAATTTAAGTTTCTGAAAATTATTACCGTGTTTCTAGTAGGTTCTACCATTTATAACATGATGACTAACGTCCACGTTGCAAAAACCCTTGCAAATTAGAATTTTAATTAAGTTTTTAGGATTGGGTATCCTAACGTACCTACTTTAAACTAATGAATTAATTAAAATCGGAACTCACCTAAAAATGGTGGCAAAATAGCTAAGACATATGGTTCATTTTTTTTATTATGTCACTATACGTGACGTAATTGCACAACTGCTCTGAGTGAAGTATATTTATTATTTCCACTATTATATGTTTGCTGGCCTTTAGAATTAGTAAGGAATTTATTATTATCACCACTCGCCATAACCTTACCTGCAGGCGCCTTGAAACCCGCCTTGTCCATTCCTCCTTCTTTTGCCTTGTCAGTTTTGATGGGGGCTTTTTTCGTTGCAGCAACCTTGACAGAGATCACCGCCTTTTCATAATACTCTCTCACTTTGTTCATCTTTAGGGTGTCCTTTTCGATTTCTACCAAGAACGGGCCAATCGCTTTTTCACCAACAAGTTTCATTAACGTGCCAAGGGTTTCAGCAGTCGATTCCCTCACAGTTGGATCTGCAAGCGCCCTTTATGACACAAAACTACAGCCAACAATAAAAACGCACCCGGTTCATTTAGATTTTTCACCAAAACTCCAACGACGGCTTTTAGATGTTTTTTAGTGATAGCCCTGGGCAATGTTTTGGTAAAAGCCCTAGCCAAAAACAGGGACGTTTCTGACTTAACAGAGGGATTCTTGTTGTTAAGCGCTTCAAGAACGTCCTCCAGAATGGCTTCGATGTTTGTCTAAAAGTAATGAAAAGTAAGAATAATATACATAGACACCAAGAATTGATTTACTGTAAGATACACGCCGTCAATGGCATCTCTGAGTGCAGTCAACACGTTTTGCTTCTTTTCCTTAAATTTTTCCAGTAGGGTGGAAACTAGCGATACGGAATAAATCTGGAACTGTCTTTTTAAACCGGCAGCTAAGCCCGCAATACATCTCGCGGCCATCGCCACGCATATAACGTTGGAATCTTTTTGGACCACCTAATGAAGAACAATTTAAAATTTATTGAAGACGGCATCTGAAAACTGTTACTTTTTTGAGGGCCCTAACCAAGTCGCCATAATCGCCATTTTCCAGTTTCGGCGATTTGAGCAAGTTTTCGACGATCTCGAGTACGTCTTTCCTTTCTTGCCATTTTTTTGCTTCAATTTTTTCATAAAAATCTTTTGGCAATTTGGAGAGAATATTGACAGGGTCGGCAAGGTCGTACGGATCGATCTCTTTAGGCGCATCCTCTTCATTATCTTCGTCGTCGGCGCCTTACAAGTTGAAATGTAATTGCTACATATTATGCCAAATAATTGAAAAATAGAGATTCACATGTTTGCCCATGTTAGAAAAAAATATTATAAACAAAGTGGGCAAGAGAAATACAGGGTGTTAATGAAATGAGATCATATAATCTAGTTAGTGAATGTGGCCTCACTCTGATATCGAATTATTCCATCCAAATCAGATAAAAAAAATCTATTTTTTCGTAATCTTACCTGGCCTTATAGGAAACGCATTTCGCTGGACTGTTGACGGTTGGTGCTGCATTATTTGACACTTGGATGACATACATAACCCAATATATTTTTTTATTAATACAATAAATATTTCAACTATTTCTTCAATAATTTCCAATGTCTCATAGTACACTCTGTCTATAAATATTATTTTCTACTTAAATCTAGTCGCAATTGTTGATCAAAAACTTATTTTACGCTTGAAAAAAAAATGGTGACCTTTAAACAAACCGTTTGCACTTAGCTCAAAGTAAGCGGAAATGTTCAGACAAATAATCATTTGCTTAAAGCTATGTTGTGTTGAAGGCGGCATATGACTGCAACCGCAGGTGGTGTAAACACAACAGGTTGCCCTACGTTCCAAGTACCGAGTAAAGGGTGCGGAGAGGTGCGGTCACATTGAGTTGATAGAATTATCGTCATTATAGAGTAAATATTTATTTCTTAAATAATAATTCTTTGCGGAATAGTAGGAATCTATCAAAAAAATATCTTATGATTTTAAATTTTAGATATACCTGAAATGCTGTTTGCAGTGCTAGTAGGTAGTAGAATAGTAGAAATTTTAAGCGAAATGCATTTTTTCATTTTCCTTAAAGATAAAGAACTTCAACAAATATGGGATGGTAAATGAGATGGCAAAAACTGTCTGGTTTGTTCTGAATATTTTACAAAAGATAATTTTGAAGGGTCTTATAAACTTCATTTGAGTCGGAAGAAAAGGCAAAAGTATTGAACAAGTCTTGGATATTTTCATAAAAAACATTCAATTAGAAACCTAAATGTTATTAAAAATTAGCAAGATTTTTTATTATATTTAAACGAAAAATCGGACAAAACAAACTCTGGTTTGCACAAAAATTGTTTTATTTTATTATAAGCAAAAGAGGTTTTTGTTATTTTATACGTACGACTTTTTTTATATATCCAGGCGCTGTCAGATTTTTATTTAAAAAAAAGGTTCCAAAAATCTACCTTGGAAAATTCTTACCCATACGTTGAATCTAAAGTGACCTTGCCGATTTTGATAAAGTACAGCATGAGGATTTTCTGCGATAAAAATTGTATCTGTTAAATATTCCGAAACAGTTAATTCTCGCTTTATCACTCCAAACATTTTCCGATAAACCAGTTACAAAATTGTATTCTTCTTCCGGCATCCTCTTCATGTAATTGGTGAACTTTTCTGGTACGATATGACTTGAATTTATGTTTTTTAAAGTAGTCAAAACTTTGGGGATATGCTTGGTAATTGGTTAAATTATTTTTTAACGTCCGAAATAATCGCTTGTCTGTTTGGTGCCGCTCTGGATATGTATTGAAATTTCGTACTTTTCATAATTTTAAAGCTTAAGTTTGGCCACTAAAATTATATGAGACAGAACACAAAATTCAATACAAAATAAAAGGTATGTAAAAAAATACCCTATATTTCCGCCTTTTTTCAGATACCAAATTTATATGGCTGAACAGCGCACGGCATTTTTTTAAGACCATAGTCAACTATAAATTCATTTATAAGAAAACGGAGAAACTGTAGAAGAAGTCTGAGTACCTAATGCCCTAGTAATGTTTTTATCCGAATTCAAAATTTTAATAAATAAAAAGTTATGGGCAATTTTCAAAAGAGTCCAAGAACGCCCTATATCTCGGTCATTAAATGTTTCTCAAAAATCTAGTCCTTGACATGCATGTCGATTTTCCTCTATCTAGTTCAGAAATAGGTTTTTTCTGTTACAACACTCCAATTACGAGTACGAAAAAATTAGAAAACATAAAATTTGCTAAAGAATAAAGCTTAAACACGAAATGTTAAATGTTAAAACTATATCTACGTTATCGATTTTCAAGCAAAAATATTTCTAGATTTCGTTATCATCTATTTTATTTTGTTGCACCTTTCATAATTGTGACTTATTCATCAAGACAAAAAAAATTATTTATAATAAAATTACTCGAAAATTCTTATCGCTGCGTTTGTCAACTATAAATTCATTTATAAGAAAACGGAGAAACTGTAGAAGAAGTCTGAGTACCTAATGCCCTAGTAATGTTTTTATCCGAATTCAAAATTTTAATAAATAAAAAGTTATGGGCAATTTTCAAAAGAGTCCAAGAACGCCCTATATCTCGGTCATTAAATGTTTCTCAAAAATCTAGTCCTTGACATGCATGTCGATTTTCCTCTATCTAGTTCAGAAATAGGTTTTTTCTGTTACAACACTCCAATTACGAGTACGAAAAAATTAGAAAACATAAAATATGCTAAAGAATAAAGCTTAAACACGAAATGTTGAATGTTAAAACTATATCTACGTTATCGATTTTCAAGCAAAAATATTTCTAGATTTCGTTATCATCTATTTTATTTTGTTGCACCTTTCATAATTGTGACTTATTCATCAAGACAAAAAAAATTATTTATAATAAAATTACTCGAAAATTCTTATCGCTGCGTTTGTGAAAACTTTCAAGAAAAATATCCAAATATTGCATTACGCAGAAATTGAGTGCATAAGTTTGGTAAATAAATTCAAATTGGATCTGTTGCAGATATAAAGACGACTTTAACCCAATTAATTTTGTAATCGATTAATGAGCATACAGTTTACAAGTCATATTGGAAATGTGTGCAAGCAAAATAAAACTCTTCCATATAAACCAGTTTTTAACCAAACCTGGGAACATGGGGACCGTGACGAGCGCATGAATTTCTTTTTGGGTATAGGCAATAAACTTCTAAATAAGAACATGAATACACCACCAATATTTGGTGCTCCATTTCCTACTTTGGAATTATAATATACTTTCTTGATGACACGTGTAACAGACATTCTTATTTGTACATACTTGAAACATTTTATTCAGAAAAGTTGGTAAAATTGCTTCTTCAGTATCGCCAATATATGTATTTTCAGCATGACCAGTGTACCGTATTCTACAGATGTGAAACAAAAATGGCAAATATGGAAATCTATGGACAGGCCGCAATGGATAAATTTTTAGGACAAGATTACGATTTGTTTCATTGGAGGAAAACTAACCAAAAAAGTTTTGAAGCAGAAAACATTGGATGCAGCAGAATCAATTGTGCTGGAAAAAATAAGAACTTTTGACAAATTTCAACAGTGGAACATTTTGTTAAATATAAAATTATGTTCACTTATCTAATTGTTATTTTTATTTTTTATTTTCTTTATTTGAATATGCAGTAATGGAAACAAAATGTTTTTCGTTGAATACAATCATTATTAGCTAACACTGCATAGGCGATTGTTTGCAACCCCTATGAGTTTCCCATTTTCAATTATAAATATTCTCTGTTCTAAAGTCAACATGAACACACACACATCACAATTATGAAAGGTGCAATCAAATAAAATAGGTGATAATTGAACTTGGATATATTTTGATTTTAAATAAAAATTTTAATATTTCAAATTTTTGCTTGCAAATCTGTAATGTGATGTACATTGAAATTTAAAACGTTTGTATTTAAGCTGTAAAAAAGGTCACTTTATTCTTAAGCAATAATTACATTTTTGCATTTTTTCCTTTCCTGTACAAAAAAAAAAAATCCGAACCTTATATTTAAAGCAAGCAAAAACTTTTATAAAAAATGTCCCCTTATCTACCCCATCCATGCACATAGTTAAATGATCAGAGAAAACGAGTTAACTATTTGAAGATGGATAAAATTTGGTAAAAATATTATAGCCTCCCTGAGGCTTATTATCTAATAGCTATATAAGTAAAGCTACAACAGTGACCAGCAGCAAAACATCCCATTAGAGAGCGTTGTTGTAAGCTTAGGCAGTTAATAAATCTAAATAATAAAAGTGATCAACCAGAGTTTATTTGTAAATACCAAAGACACTGTACAACTATTTTGATATTTGAATTTTTTAAATATTTGGCATTCTAACTAACCACACTAATTTTGGCTGGAGTTTAATAACACTAAAATAGAAGAAATTATTTTCTGGGATTTGAATTTATGTTATTAGCAATGTCCTTACTAAACATTAATGGAGAATCCTTTGTAGTGTTAGTAGGCAACATAATAAGTTCAGCACAAGCAGTGCAACTCAGCACCGTGGAAGACCATTTGGCTAGCTTATTTTATCTTGACCAAAAATTCAGTGGCCCCAAAAGAACTTTATTCAAAATTTGTGGAGTAATTTTCCCGAAATACAAGGCAGTAATGATTATAAGAAGTAGTTTTGTCACATTGCATCATTCATTCATATGATGTCATTTCAATAACATTATTAGTGAGCTATTCGAAATAAACAGTTCTTTACTACAAGCACCCAGGCTTTTAAAAAATGTTATTGACTCTGGAAAACAATTGTACAAATGCAGTCTCTTATAATTATTTGCATGATACATGAAGATTTACAAAAAGGTTTATCTAGGGAACTATTTCATTTGGCTGTGTAAATAGGTACTGGCACTATGTACATTTTACTGTAACAAGTATAATAATAATTTTGTTTTGATGCCAGTCACAAGTTTAGATGGCCAAAAAATAAGATTGCATAGTACAATTTATCACTGAACCTTGTGGAAATATTGACTATTATTTCAACAATACTTATTTATTGGAACTCACCATCAACTTCTTCAGCATCGGCCATTAGTTTGCTCTGTTTTTGCTGCTGAGAACGAACATACCTCAAAGGGCAAGATTTAGTTCCATCAATTTTTAAAAACTCAGTTTCTAGTTCAGTGAGCTGAACTGCCTGTAGATTTGCATTCTGCAGATGAGCCCTACAATACAGACATAACAAATCTAAACCAAATATAAATTTTAAGTTACCTTAAGCCAGGGCCTATCCACCTATACAATTCAATGACCATTAGACGTGCTTCATCTCTAACAGCTTTATCACGATCAGAAAACAATACTCCAATTTTCTTCAAAATTGGTTTTGGGCTTACAATCTTTATACCAAACTCGCGCAGTGCCGTGGTCAAAGCTTGGATGCAAGCTGCTGTTATTTTTGGATTTTTTTGCTCTGTGCCCTTTAATAACTCTTCCAGAACCTAAAACTTGAATATTCAACATCCCCTAGAACTATTACAGTGACTAGCTCACAGCTTCTTGTTTTTCTATCTCAATATACATAAGGATGATTTGCAATGCTAAGTCTCTGGTCTTGAGTTTCGGCGCAGCTATGCATTTCATGACTATGCCAGACATTACTTCCGAAACAGTTTTACCAGCAAACCCATAGTTTTCTACATAAGCTAAAGTCGCCTCAAGACCTTTCTCTTGTGCTAAAGCATTACTGTCTGTTACAAATTTCTTCACTAAACCCAAATATTTGGAATACTCGGGGGACTTTTCATCGTCCAGATGCCTGAACAACTTAGTCACTTCTTCATATCCATTTACCCTAGTTTTCCACAATTTATGAACACATTTTTCTTCGATGGGCAACTTTTTAAATTCTTCATCCTCCATTTTGTTAAATACCTACTGTTCAGCCCCTGAACACATCTATTGATACCTAAACTGAAATTTTTTGCTTTGCCAACAAATAAAAAAAAACAAACTTCAAATAAAAACTTCTTCAATTAGAAGGAAATTATAAGCGATGTTACAATTACAATAACTAAACAGGATTTTAGACGCACACAGGCTTTTTCTTCGCGATTTTACTCCGTTATTGTTATTTTACCCGAAAAATTAAAAAAGTAAAATCTCAGCTGACCAACGATCGATCACTTTGACGTCTTTTTCGGTTTAATCTAGGGATCCTATTCGATTCAGGAAGTTCAACTCACCAATCTCTTCCAAGCTGTGTTTGACACAAACCACCAAGGAAAAACTGAAACGGTTTTTGCCGCCTTATTGCATTCACAAAGTGACATCTTGTGTTTTTCCGTCCAATTATTTATTTTTTTATTTAGATTGCTTCTTTATCAAAGGAACGAATTTAGTTTTTAAATTAAATTAAAAAAAAAAACGAATTATATTTGGAACTAAATTGTAAATCTAGACAAACATGAGAATTACAAAGGACGTATTTGCCATAAATTTCTTCCAGTGTCATAATTTCGCAACGTCCAGGTTTACCTCTTTCGACCCATAACTTAAATAAATTTGAAGAATTTTCTGAAAAAGGGTGACCCTGCTCTTCCGATTTTGGCATTCGACTACACATCACGTTTTTTTTAACCAACTAAATTTAAATCATATTTTCTGCCATGTCTATATCAAATGCAAATCTATAAAAAAGAATCCAACACGTTAATCAAATATCAGGGAAAATACTAGAAGTTAAGTACTTTACCCAGAAAATTGCTCAGCTTAGAAACGATGTAAGGGGACTTTGGTTCATAGTGCTGCCATCTCTGGCTCCTCAATTAAAAAGTGGTATCGCCAGCGCCATCTTTTAATTAGCAATGCGCGAGAAAGCTCACTGTGCTACATGATTTAAATTTGAATGGTTGTCAATTAGATACGTGACCACATAATACAGACTGTGAAATAATCAATATGTAATATGAGGTGATACATATCAAAAACAGAAATTTTGTTTAGGTTTAACGGTGGTGGGACTACCCGCACGCCTTGGGATATAATGTTATTGAATTCATACGGCGCATGGGTAGTTTTCGCATCATTGTCGTTATTTTATAACAGTCAATGCCGGTTTTGGTTATTTGTCTTTTAGATAATGTTCGTCAAAATTTACATTGATTTGTCGTGACTGTAAACTTTTACAAAATGCCCTGAACATATAATTACCAATTGCTACTAATAGTTTTGAATATCTTGGCTTTTTTCAGTTAGAAAAAGATTGGTGAGCTAAAATTGGATTTCTTTCGCAAATTGATAATGTAATTGAAAGAGCTTCAAATGCGTCAAATGTCAGGGATCATTGCTAAAATATAAACAATATAAGAAAAACGGTATTTAAAACCAGTGTGACGTCATTCCAAAAAGGTAATGGCTAACTATACACGAGGTAGTGCTACGAATCCATAATCTGAGTGGACGATCTTTAAAACTGCCCAGCAACGGCAACACCGCGGGCGCCCTAAAAAAGGTCGCTTGCAGAGGGGGTCGGCGCTGTCGACTGTCGACACTAAAGATAGACCGAGGGATGCTGCAACAGGTGCTAGCAGACGTTAAGCTTCATTATTCATTTTCATATTTTTCCGCTTTTTTTTTAGTTGTAAAAGTTAATAATAAAGTTATCAAAAAATTCAGTCCACTCAATCAAACAAGAATCAACGCAGCAAATAATGTGGACCTACATTAAAATCCACCTCTGAGAAAGAAGCGTCTGGTCTGCCGACGAACTTACCTCCTGAATGTTTTCGTGTGCCTTCGTAAGCATAAAAATTTAAATGATTTCAGATTTATAATCTCAAACTATTGTTTTTAATATGCCTGCTAACAAAGTAATTATTGCATAATGATTTACTTCGGAAGCCAAGTTCACCGTTACACATTAGAAACCAAGACTGTTGTTGGTCGTTCAGCTTTCTAGAACACAAACCAGAGAAAAGTGGGAGATGTCTTAGAACCGAGGATTTACAAAGGACCAGAATTGAGCCAGCGCTGTCATTGATATTTTGTTATTTTAGTTTTTGGTTTAAATTTTCTTTTTTTTTCCTAGTAATGTCACGTTACTCTGCAATCCCTGAGCTCTCACAGCATTCTTACTGAATCCGCAAGACGGATAGCCCAAAGCAGCCAGGGTTAAACCATTTATCTATTATACCACAGCTACTAGAGATATAGACTTTTTAATCTGCAGTATAGCAGGTAGTGATCTACCAGAAAGGTTGTGTAAACAAAAAATAAAGACGATGGAAGTTCGACAATCTCCTAGTATTTTTACTGAATCATTGTCTACCACTTTCAAGCAAATTTTTAAGGTAGTTTTTTCTCAAAATATGTGTGCATATCGCTGTTATTACCTTCTCTACAAAAATTTTATGTAGCGTGCGGTGCATCCATGTAGCTACTAGACGTATGGACGACTGGTCTATGCTGATAGTACGGGAACTCTTGAAGCAACTATGTAAGAAAAATTGACTAGGTCCATTCAACATGCGCATGCGGGAGACATAAAATTTTGTTTTTAACTAATCACCTTGCCGTATTCGACAACCAACATGGCCGCTAACAGATCGTCAATAAATTTGAATGCGGAATTTTTGCGGTAGTATATTCCCTGCGGCGCATAAATTTTTACGAGACTGATTTTCTTTCTAAATAGCAATATCCACTCACTTAACTTTTTGCCTGAATATTTAATGGGATTTGGACAGATTTTGAGAAAATACTGCTTTAAAAATCCTGCAGCCAAACTTATTTATTATTAGGTCATTGCTTAATAACAAAATTTTAAATGTTGCACATGTTGGATAGACCTTCTCTGTGTTATCAGCATATATGGTTGACCTTAATTTAGCAATTTAATTAAAATGATCGAATCATTATAATATATTGGATTGGATTTTACTTCTAATGGCCACGACTGCAATAGGTCACTCGGCAAGCTTACAATAAGTTTAGCATATACAAAAATCCTGAAGAATGCCTTCCTTAAAGAGGGGCCTGGACCAATCCATCATCCTCCAGGTTGCTTAACATTTACAAAAACGGGACCAACTTCTAAATATTGTCTTAAAATGACGACCGATTCTTCATACGACTCCGGCAATTATCCTATACGGGATATCCGATCCCATCCGGCCTGGATACCAGCGTGAGTACAGAACATTCGGAAACCGTGCTAACATATACATTATGGAATAACAATGACAAATCCGTGTACATCCGCGTAAAACGAACACTATTTCACGGAATTATAGGCACTGCGGCTCTATCACATCAGAAAACAAATGTACAAAACAAAATTTTCTTTACACGACACTAAATTCAACAGATTTCTACAATTTTATTGAAACCGGGCAGGAGCAACGTCCGCCATGTGCAATGATTCCATCGAAAGTCATTATAACATATTTGTTTTTAGAACTAAAAAGACGGTTTTTTCGGTACAACAGCGAAGGAGTGAAGACTACCTGAGTATTGTTGTGCAAATCTTTAGGCATCGGCCCTAATTTTAATTGTTTTCTGTTATTTGGTGAGTCCATTTAACGCATCCAGTTATATATCAGTTTCTGTGGCTGGTAGTTTCCTCCTCTTGGCCCCCTAACCTTATCCATGGGGGACTCTTCGGGGGGCGAGGGCCCCCCGACGGTTAATGCTGCACAAGAAAATTACAGTTTATCCAATGATTCTCAAAACCGTCCGTTGAACGCCATTATTTGTAACATTTTGCCACCCGATTGCCAAAAAACTGCTGAAGATATTTCTAGGCTCCAGTATTTTGATGTGCCCTCAGGTGAAGAGTTGTCATAGTTATCGGCAGAGATCCAGATTATCAAGAATCAGTTCGAGCAAGACGCTGAAATCCTGCGGGAAGTTGCCAAAATCTCAGCAAACATAAGGACAGTAAATCGGAAAACAAAATATGAAATTACTGACCAGGGGCCTTTTATGGTGATTATGGAGGGGATTGCAAGTAAGGTGGGGACACTTCATCCTATGAACTTTGGGAAGTTACTTCAAGCGCAGAAAGTTCAAGGTATATTGAAAATTTCCAGAAAAGGAGCCAATAAAATCGGTTTGGAGTTTAACACCTCTGAGTCTGCAAATAAATTTTTATCTAATGAAACATATTCGACAGCTGGTGGGTATAATAAGTATATACCTCAAAGACTAGTCACTTGCCGAGGGTTGGTGAGGGACATTGGTGACTTAATTGATGAGGATGATTTTTACTCTGAGGCAGAAGCCAAGGTTAACATCGGAAGATCGCTAAAACGCGTGAAGATTGTTAATGTTCGCAGACTAACTAAAAGGGTCAAATGCCCAGGTGTTCTGCCTGGCACTTTTGGTTTCAAGACAGTTCCATCTAATGATTATATAATAACATTTGAGGGTAAAACTCTTCCAGAATCAATCTGTATCTATAAAAATGAGTGTTCAATCGAAAAATATGTTAGTCCTGTTGTTTTATGTATGAATTGTTGCAGGTTTGGTCATTGGAAAAACCAATGCAAAAGCAAGGGTAGATGTAGTTTCTGCGCTGGAAATCATCCAGTATTTCATTGTGAACTGAAAGAACAGTTTTATAAGAAGAAACCATGCCCGACAGACCACTTAAATCATGAAGGTAAATGCAGCCTGGGTAATTGCGAAATATCTCCAAAGCCAACTTGCATCCACTGTAAAGGCTCTCATCAGGCCACTGATAGATCATGTCCGGAAATGGACAGACAGAAGAAAATTAATGAGGCTATGGCATGGTACAACCTATCCTTTTTTGAAGCGGCCAAACTCTTCCCAAGAGGCCCCAAATCAAGTGAGTTTAATCGCTCTAATGAAAATTTCCCTCCTATTTATAACACGGTTGCCCTCGTCTCTCAGCCTTCCCCTAGATCTGCTTCTAAAACTTATTCTGTCATTGCAAAAAAGCGTAAGTCCCCCCAAATAGAACCAGGGTATGATAGGGACGCCCACAGGGATTGTCTCGTGCCGCCTTTGACTAGGCAGAAATTGAATCACACTGGCAAAAGTCAATCTTCTCCCTCATATTTAAATGACTTATCGTCAGAGTCCGAGATGGACACTGCTTCTCCAGGAGTTTCTTCCTCTGGTGAATTTTGGTATCGGTTTGAAAATTTAACGAAAAAAGTTTTGTCCAATATACCAAATAAAAGTGTGTACCATAAAATTGAGAGTCTTTTTAACTCCCTGCCTCCTCCCGGAGGATACAGGTTTTAATTTATTAATGTTCCCAGATCGACAGTCAAATATTTCTGTTCAAATTAGTAATTTCTCAATTATTCACTGGAACACTTGCGGTATTAGAAGTAATCGTGATAGTATTATTGGACTTATTCGTGACTTTGGTCCGGATATAGTCATGATTAATGAATCTTTTTTACTCCCACATATCAAGTTTTCCTTGTCTGGTTTCTCCTTTGTTAGGGACGATCATATGGATGGGTATGGAGGGATTATTGTTTTTTTACGCTCAAACATTGGGTATAATGTTTTAGATGTGTCAGATATCCCCAGGCCGGATAGATGTCAGGTTATAGTGTTGGAGATGGACAGCCTTTTTCTAGTTTCGATGTATAATCCTCCTGACCTTCCTATGTCTCGTTTGTTCTTAGATACTTTGGTTGATAGATTTAGGTCAAAACCCGTTTTCTTTGCTGGTGATGTAAATTCTCATAATGAAGAGTGGGGCTCTACAATTAAAAGCTATGTCGGTCTGGCTAACGACTCTTTACTATCAGACTTTATTAATGATAACAACTTCTTTATTCTTAATGACGGGTCTGCCACCCGATTTACAGGGAATGACTCCCGTTCTGTCCCCGATTTGGTATTTTGTTCACACGAATTGGCTCATGTTGCCGATTTCCGGGTGTTACTCGACAGAGGGTTTAGCGATCATTTTCCGATACTGTGTCATATTTGTTGTAAACCGGACAGTTTACATCATCCTGCTCAAGCGTATCTCCTGAAGCACAATGTTTCTAAGGCAGAGTGGGACAAATTCTCTGAATTGATGAGTATTGGTTTAAGCAACCCCTTTATTACGTCATACGACCAGTTCTACAAGGTAGTCATGGATGCGGCTGATGCTTCCATCCCCCTTCATAAGAGCGGGCGTAAATGTGGACTTCCTTGGTGGGATCACGAGTGCTCGTTAATGATCGCTAAAAAGAGAGAGGCTTTTAGAAATTATAAAATTTCCCCTACTCTAGAGAATTATGTTAATGTAAAAAGAACTCGGGCTAGTTGTAGAAAATTTCTTAGGGAAAAGAAAAGGGCGGGCTTTAAAAAATTTTGCCAGAGTTTATCTCCCAATGAGAGTGCTAGGTATGTATGGAAATGTGTGAAAAGATTTTCAAAGGCTATTAACCGGGCTAATTGTCACCTCCCACTTAACTTTTCAGTACCGGCGGAATTGTTGGACTCCTTAGTGGGTCATGCCGATGTTGTCGTAGAGGAGACAAGTTTAGAGGGGGGAAACAACACTGCAGTTTCTCCCTTGTTTACTCTTGATGAGTTTATCGCTGTAGTTAGAAGTCGTAAAAACACATGCCCCGGCTTGGAGAGTTTCTTTTGAATTAATAAAGCATCTACCAATAGAGGGAGCCGTGTTCTTAGTGAATTTTTACAACAAATTATTGAGAAATGAGTGCAGTATACCTGATAGTTGGAAGACGCAGCTGGTTGTTCCAATATTAAAGCCGTTTAGGGATCCTAATCTTCTTAGTTCTTATAGGCCGATTAATTTGTCATCTACATTCGGTAAAGTGTTGGAGTTAATATTAAAGTGCTGATTAGAGTGGTTTCTTGAACATCACAGATTGTTATCAGAATGTCAAACCGGTTTTAGGCGCGGTAAGTCCGTTATGGATAATGTTTCCATCATAACAAGTCATATTTTGTGTGCTCAGAGCAAAAGTGTTCCTACTGTTATGGTTGCATTGGATATTGTGGGTGCTTATGATAATGTTAACATCTCCATGCTAATAAAAGAGATGGATAAGCAGGGTATACCTAGGGATGCTATAGGGTTAATCAATCGACTTCTCCTCAACAGGAACCTATTTGTTAAGGATGCTGTTGGGCACCTTTTGGTCGGACCTAGATCAACCAGTAAGGGGGTCCCTCAGGGATCTCCCTTAGCGCCTCTTTTATTCAATATATACGTAAATTCAATTAAGTTAGTAATTCCTCATAGGGTTTCTATTTTCCAGTATGCGGATGATATTGTTCTTTTATGTAGCGATGTCAATGTCCCCTTTGCTATAGGCTTGATGAATAAAGCCTTGGTGGCAGTGGCTGATTGGATGCATAGGTTTAACTTGCAGCTTAGCCCGCCAAAGTCGTCTGCTATTTTATTCTCTGTTTTGGTTGGACTTCCCGACTTGGTAATTAATAGTGTAAATATTCCCTGGAAAAATGAAATTAGGTACCTGGGAGTTACATTCGATGCTAAGCTTACGTGGGTTCCACAGGTTGGCAGAATGATTCACAAGGCAGCTAGTGGAATTAATATTATGAGATTCCTATCTAGGACATGGTGGGGAGCCCATCCGTCTACTCTTTTGATATTCTATAAAGCTTTTGTGCGTTCCCATCTTGATTATGGTTCTATGGTACTGGGGTGCTGTGGGAAAAAAACCCTGTCTGGTCTGGATAGGATTCAATATCAGGCTTTAAGAGTGACATTGGGTATGATGAAATCAACTCCAATTAATATTCTATTGGGAGAGGCTTGTGAAACAAGTTTGGAGGTGAGGAGGATTATGTTGGCTTCTAAGTTTTTAGTCAAGTCCCTTATAATCAGAAATAATCCTAGTTTCTTAGCTACCCAACGGTTATATATTGCCTATCAAGAAAATCATAACTTTTTTAGAAGGAAGGCGAAATTACCCTTAGTTGAGGCATTTGACTACACCGCCACATATCATAATATTATCGATAGTGGAGACGTTCTAGCGTGTTTTAATAAGGACCTGGCCCCTCAGCTTACGCCTATTAATTTTGTTTTCCAAAATTGAGAAAGGGGTGGGTCTAAATGAAACTGAGTTTCGGGAATTTTGTTCTAAAATGTGGACCGGGGAAGAGACATTTATATTTACCGATGCTTCAAAGGGACCAGATGATAGAGTTGGCTTTGGAGTATTTATTCCGTCTCTCAATGTTAGGGTCGGGCATGGGTTGAATAGCGCGTTTTGTATTTGCTCTGCAGAAATGGTAGCTATTAGTTACGCCCTAGATCTTATATTAGATTATAATATTAAACAGGCAGTAATTGTCTCCGATTCCAAAAGTGCCCTGCAGAGCAGAGCGGTTGAAGCTTCCAACAGCTACATTCTACTAGAGATTAAAGCAAAGATTGATATTTTGAAGCGCAGACTTGGGAGGAAAATATCGTTATGCTGGATTCCAAGCCATTCAGGGATAAGACATAATGAAACGGTGGATAGAATAGCCTCAGAAGCTAGACTTTTAGACCCGCTGAATTTAAGGCCCCCTTTTAGTGAATTTATCCCGATAATTAGAGCAAAGATGTGGCACATCTGGGCCATCAAGTGGAGAGAGTGGGGCCGTTCCAAGGGCAGACTTTATAGTGCAGTTTATAAGACACCTCCAACAGTTCCATGGTTCCACAAACTGCAGCTGTCTAGAAAGGAGATTACAACAGTGTGCAGAATGAGGAGTAATCATTGTAGTTCCCCAGCACATCTTTACAAGATAAACGTAAAAATATCTAACCTGTGTGCTTGTGGAGAGGTGGGAGATATTGAACATATTTTGTTTGATTGTGCTCTGCATCGGAATAACTCCCAAATTTTGTATGAGTCCCTCATTGATGCCAGCTTACCCGCTCCTATTAGTGCCCTTTCTGCACTTTTTCACCCTGGATGTATGGATTCTGTTGCACGACTTGTGGTTAGATTCCTTGATGCATGTGGTACCTGCTTATAACCGCTTTTGGATTTGCTAGCTCATGGTCTACGGGTTGGTTTTAATCATCATGAGAACTCCTTCTCTGGAGAAGATTCGAAAACTCTCGACATTTAGAACTTCTGAGATTAGTCTCCTTCGCTGGAGAAGATCCGAAAATCCTCGACATTTGGAACTTTAAAGTTTAGTCTCCTTCGCTGGAGAAGATCTGACAATCCTCGACATTTGGAACTTCAAAAATTAGTCTTCTTCGCCAGAGAAGATACGAAAATCCTCGACATTTAGAACTTCAAAATTCTGTCTCCTTCCTGGAGAAGATCTGAGAATCCTCGACGGAAGTCGGCAATGGGCGAATGATCCTGGTAGTCTTGCCCAACAGTTTTCTGTGAAACGCATCATTGAATTGAAATTGAATTGAACTAAAAAGAAGAACTTTTAATAACATTGTTATTTAAGGCTATATTTTTAGGTTATGTATTAAGTATAATTAAATTATTACAGCGATATATTTATAGGCCATTTAACTATAACTGCAATCTGTGGATCTATTAATTTACTAAATAAATATTCGAAATTCGTTTTAACATAATGAAAAATTACGTCTTATTTAGAAAACTGGCGCAGTAGACATATCTCAAATGACGGCTATAATTGGAAAGATTCGCTGTTTTAAAAAAACGACTGCCCAATTGGGTCGCAGAACTTTACAAGTGTCTAGTCGACTATGCGAATTCTGGGAACCTGATGATAAAGGAGGATATAAAAACACCCAACCATACCCAAACTTTAAAGAGCGTATGAGACTCGGATTGCAAGAATTAAAAAGTGAAATAAAGTTATGGACTGACGAAGTAAAGGAGACATTTGATTGGGACCCTTTGTTAGCATATCGTCCTGGAGAAGTTGATGTTGTGTGGCGTTTCAATAAAAAGGACTCCTTAAAGCAGTGGCTTGTGACCTCTGATAAAGATCATAACGAAGGCTACAGCGAGTGTTCACTACAATTGACAAATTATGGTAAAGGCCTCTTTTCTGGAACTCTCTCAACCAAATTGCCTAAAGATGGAAAAATTAAAAGAGCAGGTTATTGTAATATAAAGACTATGAGGGCTAGAGTAAATTTAAAAGTGCTCCTTTTTATATAAGCTTTAAATTTGTTATTTTAGAAATCATTTAAGCGGACAACTTATTTGGATTGGAGTGCTTACAATATGTTAGTGATGAAGGTGAGAGGTGATGGTCGCTCCTACTTGTTAAATATCCATACCAGAGGGTATTGGGATATTACCTGGAATGATATGTACCACTTTGCTCTGTATACTAGAGGAGGACCTTATTGGCAAATAGTTAGGGTAAAATTTGAAGTAAAATAGTTGTACGTTTTGTTTTTATAATTTGGATTTTAGATTCCCTTTTCAAGATTTTTTTTGTCTTCAAAAGGTAGAATACAAGATCGTCAAACGTCAATACCATTAGAAAAAATTACATCTTTCGGTATTACTGCGGGAGAAAAACATAATGGTAGTTTTTCTTTAGAAATTGATTATATCGGATTAGAATTTGATCCCAATAACCAAGAGGAGTTTGCATATGAAATGTATAAAACTTCAAAAAATATTGCTGCTACATAAATAATTTTCTGTTATAAAATAGTTTTTTATCCTTAGTGTAGTTGGGTTCAAATCATATGCGCCAATGAATATATATTTTTCATATTAAACAAAAAAATTTTTATTATAGTGATTGTGAAATTATACTCGACAACTTGATGCATTTAAGTAACCTGCTAGTGACTCCGAGCCTTCTGTATTGGTGATGTTAAAACGATGAAACGGAATTATTCTAACTGAATATTTATTACAAAACAGGTGCACCACCACAGTTCTATCGTTCTGTTCCTGGTTAAACAAAAACAGACCACAACCAAAAGGCACAGAATACAAAATAGACATTGCCGATTTAACTCTAAGATACAAAATCATAATTTCACATACCTCCTGGATTTTGTATTGAAAAAAAAAGAGATTTATTAATTGCCAAACACATTTGTTATATTTGTCTTTTCCAAGTGTTTTTGTAAGTATATCCGCGAGTTGATCATCAGTGTTTACTTTGAAGACATCAATTAGACCTTTTTTTTCTAAAAATCGTTAATAAAGTGATAACTTACGTCAATGCGCTTTGAATTCTTTGAAAATTTGCCATTTTTTGCAAGCCTTATTGCTCCTGTGTTGTCTTCATAAATTTTTTAAATCTGTCATTTTATTTTTCTTATTTAATTTACCCTTAACCTCGTTTATTGCATTTAAATCTCAACTAAAAATTAATGTCATCAGCATACAAAATTACATATATTGGTTTTTGATCAGTTTTTCTCATATATATATGAACAATAGTTATAATTTGAGAGAACAAAGCTAAAACTTAACATGAAATTATAAATGCATTTGTACCAATCTCGTGGACTTTCTCTCAGACCATAAAGACCTTTCTTTAACAAACATGCTATTGATAATAAAACTTTGAAAGTACAGATTCTTGCTAGCGGTGAGTATATTTCTTCTTCTAGGTATAATTGTTGAAATCCTTTTGCGACTATTAGTGCTTTATATTGTCCTTTTGTTTTAATTCTATATATCCATTTAGTTTCGATAATTTTCTTATTTTCGGGTATATCAACTACTGTCCAGGTTTCATTCTCCTCTAAATTTCTTATTTCTTCACTTATTGTTTTCTGCCATTTCTTTGCTTCTGCACCATTTATTGCGTCTTCATAACTTTCTGGAACTAAAACCTTTGTAAAATTAACATAAACGTCTTAATCATCATATCATTTTGGTAGATTAACTTGTCTCTTTGGTCGACTTGAATCTAATCTGTCTGTGCTTTCTTCATTGTTTTTTTTGTTCTGTCTACCTCCTGAACTTTATCCCTGTCCTTTTCTGTAAATTCTACATTTTCTTCTGAATCGTCACCTTCATAGGAGACACTTTCCCTTAGGCTTATATGTTTTGTGTCACTTTCAATAAATTGTACATTTTTACTAATTATCACTTTGCCGTTAACGAGAATTTTGTAGCCCAGGTCAGTTATCCTTCTAAGATTCCTTTAATTTTTCAAAGAAATTTCCACAAGCTACTGTAATGCTTTTTACAATACTTTTGGATTCCTCCTGTGTCGGTTTTTGATTAATCGAAATTGCTGACGTTGCTGTAAAAAGCACATAATATTCCTTTGACTGCTTTTGGATTTAATTTTGTATCTCTACATTTTTCTGGAATTCCAACATTGGGTTTTTTTATTAAAAAAGATTTCATAAGGTGTTTTTTGAACTTTTGTGCTTTCTAACAAACAATTTCCTATTTAGGCAGCGGTCCGAATACATTCTGGCCAATAAGATTTATCAAGTTTTGCTTCAGCTAATAAACATCTAGCACGATTCATAATTGTTCTGTGGTATCTTTCTGCTATGCCATTTAACTCACGAGTATAAGGAGGTTCTGGTCGTAGATATATTCCTTCATTGTTAGTGAACTGGTAAAAATCTTTATTTATATATTCTCTGCCATTAACACAATGAATTTCTTTTTTTTTTACTTTCCCATTTGATTTTGAACTAATTTGATATATTGCATGAAATGATCAAATACTTCATTTTTGTGTTTAATACAATGAACTAGCGCAATTTTACTGAAATCATCAATAAAACTTACAAAACCCTTCCTGTATTACTGGACAGTGCACATCTGTATGAATAATCCCTAGTATATCATTTGCTTTACTTCTTTTGTGTTCAAATTCTAGTAACCGCTCGGCTAATTGTAAATTGTAAATTAAATTTGTCATTTCTTGCACATTTGTAGGATAAGATTCTGCATTTTTATAATCATAAACATTAGTAGTTAGTTCATATAACTTATTTCTTTTTGTGACTTTACAATCAAAAGTTTTGGCATTATACTTGGAATACGTAATAAAATTATTCTGCTTAGTAATACAATACACTTAACAAATTATGTTTCATATTTGGCAGAAAATATACATTTTTAATATTTGTTGTTATGATTTTGTCACAAACTTCAAAATATATATTAATATTACCTATTTTTTCCAATGTTAGAGAAAAACCATCACCTACATTTACGGGTTTTGTAAGATTTATGAATTCCGAAAAATACTTATCAGCGTTCACTATGTGCTCTGAACAGCCACTGTCCAACAGCCATGCAATGTGATCTTCTATTGCTGGGAATCTTCAGTTTTTGTCATAATAACCTCCACATGGAATGTGTAATTGCTGTTGATATTTTCTATTTTTGATGTACTTGCAACATGTCAACTGACTTCTTCTCTTCGTTGGCCTCATGAATAACTTCTGCAATATTTTTGAATGTGCTCTATCTGATTGTACTTGTAACATTTTGGTAGATTTTCACTCTCTCTGTAATTTGCTGAACTTCCTTGACTTCTTGATTGTTGACTTGTGTTTGAGTAACTTCTTGCTCCTCACGAGGTGCCTCTCTGACTTCTTCCACGAGAAACATTGAAAACTTGTGACGTTTTATTTCCACTACTACTCTCTCGTTTTTGAAATTCTATATTTAGTTTTGATATGACTTTCTCTCATCGCAAGCAGTAAATCGTTTAGTTGGTCTTCGTGGGTTATATCTTCTGTACTTTTGAGTTCGTTACATAGTTTCCCGAATTCATTGAAAAATTTCGTTGGGTTATCTCTTTCACTCATTTTTAAATCTAACAACTTTCTGTTACATAACAGCTTAATAGCACTACTCTTTACATACTTCGTCTAATTTTTGTATAATCTTTTTTGCGTATGCTGTGATATAATTAGTTCCAGTTGTGTATTGTTGAGACTACTTACTATGTAGTTCCTTGCTCTCAATTCCTTTTTGTTCCATTCAAATTCGGTGATTCTTTCAGGTCTTTCTTGCCTTTTAATTACATATTCACAATCCCTCATTTGCAGCAGCAACATAAGTCGAAATTTCCATTTGTCCTACCTGGTTCCATCAAACACTTGCAAGATCAGTTCGTCCTTCTTTTCAGAAGCCATTTTACTTTTCTCTTTTACTTCATCTCTTATCTCAATTTTTGATTTTACAATAACCACAAACCTCTGCTACCATGTTAAAATGATAAAACGGGATTCCTCTAACTGAATTTTTATTACAAAACGTGTGCACCACCACAGTTCTATCGTTCTGTTGTTCGTTTTGGTTTCTGGTCAAACAAAACACAGACCACAACGAAAAGGCACAGAATACAAATTAGACATTGCCAACTTAACTCTAAGATACAAAATCATAATTTAACAGGTGATATTGGTGATAACTTTAAGCCAATAGAAGTTATTTATTTATTTTTTAAACTTTTGTTTCTATGAGCTTACACCTATTTCAAATACTCCCCACATTTATTATTATTTTTAATTTAATATTTGGTCAACGACCAATCTCACCTAAGGGTCTCGACAGCAATCGCACCCACGGCCTTAGGCGAATTATGTTGGCGCTTATATATTTCGATCAAGGGATGTAGTGCGGCGCAAACACTTATGCATGTATACTTATGCGGCGTCGGAAGTAACTTTCCTTTTTTGTTTGTTTGAATACACTGCTTCCGTTGAATCGTTACATGTTTTAAAACGATGACTGTACATTTTAATGCATATGTTGCTCGTCCACAAACTATTCCATTTTCCCGACAGAATCGTAACGATCACAGCTGCCAAATTGTAAGGATATAACAGATATGGTACTATGACGATATTTTTTTGCGCATGCTGGATAATAGTGGTTTTTAAATGAACGAAAAATAAATTAAGTTTAATTGTTGATATTTGATTCTCCTTTTCTTTACCACGGATTAGTGAGCCATTTTGTCACAGAATTCAAACATTTAAAATAATTGGCAAATCAAATTTTCTTAGGGGTTACGATTGCTTTACCAAACACCAAAGTCTGCATTCTCTGCTTCGACTTTGCGGAATAGATGGCAGTCTAATCAGAAAATGGTATTTATGTTGTGGAAATATGTCCGGTGTACATTTTAACCCTTGTGTTGAGTTCTTTGAATTCAGTATTTTTCTTGTTTGAATGCAAAACAGCATTACCACTCACGTGTATTTTATTATTTACAAGCTGATGCGCAGAAAATTTTTGTGATCCACCTTCCCTCAACTAATGCTAGTTTTTAATCTGGTCCTTTTTTGTTTTCTTCGGAGTTTTTTTTAATAAACTGAATGTTTTAAGGTGCGCTCCTAACGTTTTACTCCATCAAGTATTCAAATAACCCAGCAGAAATATGGTAAGTTCAAATCGGTTGAGTTTCCATATCCGAGTTTTTTGACGGATTTAAGTTTTTGCATTCATTACAGGAAGGAAAACCTAAAACTGACAAAAATCGAAACGGCGAAGGCGATATGGAGGTAAGTTCAACCAAAAATTGGTATTTGCTTAAAACTTATATTGTTAGGAATACTATAAAAATACTGGTAATGAAGTAATGTTTGTTATATTCTGAAATCCTGAAGTCAATGCGCACAACAAAAGTCAAGGTATTTGACACTGACAGTTTGATTTTAAAGTTTGTCAAGAACATGATGTATACTATAGGTTCTTGTTTTACCTTTCATTTCAACCACACTACAACTATGTTGGTTAACACCCTCTTGTCATCCCTTAGTGCGGCAGGTGGTTAATTTTGGTTAGTTATGTTTCTATATATGTAAGGTTAATATGTTTTGTTTTAGTTGGCATTTGTTATATTCATATTCATGCAAATTATCTTAGAACGAGTCTTCATTTTTTAATAGTATAATATAATGCCATCAAGGGAGGGTTCTCTCAAATATCTAACAGGGGATGTCGCATGTAAGATATGTCAGTATGAAATAGAAACAGTGAAGTGACTGTTCAAGATGGCATCAACAACAACCTCTCGCAGGCGACATGTACTGGTCCAGACTCGAGAAACCCCCCGAGCACATACCAGTATGTAACAATAAACACCCTGTGTTCAGTTAAAATAGACTCAACTGTGTTGGGACCAATATCAAATATGGCATTCAGACATTGTTGTTATGTAACAAATACCCTATTGAAGTCCACAGAGTTACCCCAAAAAATAATTCCAATTTTATGTAAGGCAGTCTTGTGGTTCACACTTAATGCAAGCAATAGCGAGAAAGGTCAGCATTTGACAAGCTGTCAAAGAGTATTGCCTTGTTTAATATATTAAGTATATTAAGTAATGCTTGATAGATGGCACAAATTGTGCTTTTGGGTTTCATAAAGCTATTCTGATCACAAATGTTTAGTTTATTATTTAATATTTTTCTCCCTTTTTGTATATTGGGTTGACAAGTGCTATTGTTAAGCTATCAGGGTTAAATTCCTGTACCTAACAAGGGTTACACTATCTGTAAGAGGTATATTAGCAGATTTTTTTTTAAGGAAAGAGTCTCATCCTCCCCAGTTGATTTCAGCTTTTTCCAATTATTTATTATTCTTATTACCTCTCCCATGGGTTAAAGTAAATCTGAAATCTTCTGTCATCCATTTTCCATGTTTATGGAGTTGTAACCGTTTTCTCTTTTATGTATATCTTATATGAGATCACACACGTCCCTTTTCCCAGTTGATTATTAACAAAAAGGAACACTTAATTTTATTTTGTTTTACACCGTTTAGACGGGTATTTAAGTGTAATCTGTATAATTGCAAATTGCTCGTGTTTCGACAATATGCATTTATTTAAGTAAAACGAATTTACTTTTAGCATTTGTTATTTTTTTTCCGATAGTTTTCTGGTGACGTTATATTGCCGACTATTAAAAAATGTATTGTGCGATACATGATGTGGTTGTACGGCGGCGTCATTGTGTTGTTTGTCTTCATCTCATTTTTGTCCACCCTATTGGGTAGAAATGGTGTAAGTACCTGTGACGTCCAAGATTTGTATTTTGAGGAATTTATTGGTGTAAAGTTATTTGTGATTTGTAAATTCTTAGTTTGTTTTACAATGTTCATAAAGGGTAATTCAGTTTCATTTATTAATTTATTTTATTATTCATCTATTGTCGCGTTTTGTTAGGTTTATGTCAATTTTTTGAACTAATCAATACTACAATTTTAAATAGTTTCTATAGTATTCTCATTTCTTTTATTTCTTTCATAGATGGAAACAACTATGATTATAAAAATACACCATTTTGTCTGAAAAATAAAGAAATTAACAAAGCACATTTAATCTGTTTACTTATATAATTAATATATCGTTTGTTAGTTTTATCCCCACTTCGCGTCTCTATTAAACATAAGTTGCAACTTTCTCTATGATGCCTTCCGTTTTTTTTTTACTTTTTTTTGTTTTTTACTTGAACATATGAACCTATGTAAAAATGAACTCCGTGAAATTTGTTATAAATTAATGAATGTAGTTAATTTTTATTGATAGTGTAAGGGAAGATAATAATGTTATACAACTCTAGTGACAATAATTATTATTCACTATTGTTGTAATATATTAAAAATTATATTTAGATTCTAATTATGTTATATAGTCTTTTTTTTTTATTTGATTATTACTTAGTTCACTAGATTATTCGAATTCCCCATTAGTGTTTTTTTTCATCTGGAGAAGGTACACAGTTACACATCTACAAATCTTTTGGATTACTCTTTCGTTTTTTTATTGATAAATCGAACTTGCTGACGTTTCTCTAATCATTCTATTTGGCTTTTCCAGAAGATTTGTAATTATTCTATATGCAGTGTGTCCAAGATAGGAATGTCTATTAAGGGGATATTGGAAACAATAAGAGATACGAAGAAGGTTAAATTAGAAAAAAGTTGCAAAATTTAATGCTGTTGAGAAAACTAAACATTTCTGATCACTTCGGAAGATACGTAAAAAAAAATCTTCGTTTCTACTTTCTTCTGGTGTCGGTTAAAGAGATATAAAGAAATAAATGCCACCACGATTCGTTTTGGTGACATCATCAACTTTATTTATTCATATGGTCCATGTATTAGCAGTTTTTAATACGAATATAACAATGTACGACAAAATATGATTCTACATTGTTTTAATCACAAATAAGATTTTTTATTAAATTTTCAATGTTTTGGTGTAACACCACCTTGTATTCGTAATAAAAAATGCTATATAATAAATTCTGTATTTTTTTCACTTATCATATGAACGATTTTCTGTAGTGGTACTTCTGTTATGTGCTAGTCTAAGCTGCGCGCAATGTGTGATTAGCATTAGCTTTATAGTTTCAATTTCTAGTTTTTTTGTAATTGCAGCCAAAGAATAACTTAGGGAGTGGTCCGCCACCTCCGACGCCGCTCAACAAAACTAAACTAACCGCAGGAGCTATCCAAGGTCCTATGACTAAGAAAGACAAACGACATTCCAGTTCTCGTTTCAACATTACCAAAAACAGAGAATTGGAAATGTTACCCCTTTTAAAAGGTAAGCTGCTGATAGTCGTATAAAATACCACCCAGCATTTTTTGTTTATTCAATGGTTAAACAGCTAGTTTGAAATCTGTGTCTTTTCGACACTGGGAAGCTGACAATTCACAAGCATATAAAATAAAACGCAGCACTAAAATGTCTACTTTCATTGAATGCTTGCACACAACCATACTCCCTTTTTTTAAACTGCAAAATTGTGAAGTGTCTGGTTCTAACATATTTAAACTACTTCAAATTATTGTCTTTATTTAAAAATAATCGTCGTCTTTCGCGATTTTCAATATTACAGGCATTTTCTACTCATTTGCATGTAGTCTTCACTTCTATTTAAAATAACACTTATTGCTCTATTGTTCCAACGTCATATCTGCATATACAGAGCCTAACAATGAAAAATTATTATTTACATTAACTTCTCAAACACATTTCGATTATTTTGAATGTTCTCTAACAATTCTGCCAGATCATTTGTAAGGAAATTGAAGTAGGCATTTAATCTATTTGCAAAATAAAAGGGCCTACTAATGTATTGTTGCATTACCTATTACCTATTACTATGTTCTTCAAACAACCCTTGGATTCTCATTACTCCGGAAGTGTTCGTAGTGAGTGTTAAAAGTTTTATCTGTTAAAAATGTTGCCTCATAAGGCCATGAACTTTTGTCCGAAATATTTTGGATCTTTGGAAATCCATTGGCAAAATTGTAAACGATTTGGAAAGTTTTGTGGTCTTAAATTCTGTACTCTTAGATAATGCTGGAGTAGTTCTTGCATCTATCTACGTCACAAAACTGGAAAATAACGGCGGAAAATAATTGATAGAAAAATGTTGATGTGAAGAAATTGGTGATATTTGCCTGGAGTCTTAATGCTATTTGAGAATTTCCCTCTCTCAATTTTGGTTGGAACTCCCTCATAATCATAATTTCCTATAGACCCTAGGTCGCCAACCTGTCGATCGCGAGTTACCGATAGCTCGCGGAGGCAATTCTGGTAGCTCTCACAACAATTTTAATTTTAAAAATACAAACTGCAAAAATCAGAGAAGCTTCAAAATTCCACAAAACAATCTAATTGTTATAGACAGGTCATAGGTGTAGCTCACTGTTTATTCCAAAATTAACAAAGTAGCTCAACACATTGAAGAGGTTGGCGACCACTGCTATAGACCTTCCTTGCCGCTGAGGTCGACTAAACAATTCTCGTTCTGCTAGATTTTTGTAGTCTTGTACAGCTCCATGCGTATTATCATTGCAATAACTGCAAATAACATTATTATCTGCTAATTCTCTGTTCGAAAAACGCTCCATACTTATAAAAACCAAATAAAAAAAAACTTCAGAGACAGTGTGAAAAAAGAAACACGTCAACGGTCGTCAAAATAACAATCATGTCGATTCTGTTTCAATTTTTTGTGAATAAATAAGACGTCATGCTAAACACTGTATTTTTGAAATCTGTTTTTCTCGAAAACGATCCATCTTAGCGATATCAATCAAGTGTAACTTTTTCTCCTAACAGAACACAACGTCTCCGAAATTATAAGAAAAAAGTCTTAAAGTGAACTCACATAAATTTAGTGCAGTTTTGTTACCTGTACCTGTGAGAAGTTACGCCCCTGACCAAAATTTGACATTTATAAACTTGCAATCAGATTCGACATGACAAAATTACCAAGGTTGATTTGCTTGTCAGTACCTATAATGGATTTGATATTGTTATTAAGTTTTAGGTAACAAGGAACACAAACTTTTCCTTTACACTTTCCAAAAGTTAATCTATAAGGTTAAGTCAAAGTCAGAATTTTGCAAGTGAATGTTTGATCGTCTGTTTAGCAGAGAACACACCATGTGTGCCATATGCTAGATTTATGTAAAGTGTCAATGCTGATAATCATCATATAGGATCGATCCATTTTGAGTTGAGTGTCTACTGCACACAATTTCGTGCATAGTGATGATCGTTGTAACATTTCTTAGATCTTTCCACTCTATAACTAAACAAATATCAGAACGTTCATAAGCGGTATCTCCCTATTTTAGGAATGGTTTAATTTTGAAAATGAGAATTAGTCATTCTTTCAAATAAATACTACAAATAGTAGTACTATAAAAGTTATGTAGAGAGAATGCTCATTGTTAATATAGGTTTCTTTGGCAATATACGCAATACAGTTTCGCACAACCGACGCAGGAGAAATCCAGAAGATTTGTAAATAGTATTACAGTACCCCGTGAAAGAGTCTTTAAGCAATTGGCACCAGGTGGCGTTTTCTGACGATACGCCCTTTTTGTCATCCCAGTGATAATCGCATCTTCATCCTTACATAAAATATTAATACGAGAGCTTAACGCTAAAAATAGTTGGATTTTTGGGAAAAAAAACATTTTCGCGGTTGTTATTAATATGGATTGGGTTGTTCGGAAAGTCATTTCGTTTTTTTTGGGGAACATGAAAGACAGTTTTCGTATAATGAATAAATATTTTATTAAATTATATATTGGCCATTCTGGTCCAACACCTTTTGCCACCTTTCTGGCAGTAACATAATTCCCCTCTCATAAAAGTTTTGGTCCTTGCTGGCAAAAAACTGGTTCAGGTGGTTTTTGACATCTTCATTTGAGGTAAAGGTTTTGCCATCCAAAAAATTTTGCAGGGACCGGAACAAATAGTAGTCCGAAGGCGCCAGATCTGGAGAATATGGTGGATGTTGCAGTACGTCCCATTCAAGCTGTAAAAGTTTTTGGCGAGTGACCAAACTTGTGTCAGGTCTCGCATTATCCTGGTGGAACACTACACCCTTCCTGTTGATTAATTCGGGCCTCTTCTCTTTAAGTGAATCATTCAATTTGTCCAGTTGATGAGAATAGACTTATGAATTAATCGTTGTATTGTCCGGCAAAAGCTCAAAAAAAAAACGATTCCTTTGACATCCCACCAAACGCAGAGGATCACCTTTTTTTGGTGAATGTTGGCTTTTGACACGCTTTGAGCCGGTTCCTTTTCTGCTCCATGACCTCTTGCGTTTAACATTGTTGTATACAACCCATTTTTCGTCCCCAGTAATAATCCGCTTCAAAAATGGATCATTTTCTTGACGTTTGAGGAGCGAATCACACACGTCAACGCGACGACACAAATTTCGCTCCGTAAGGACATGGGGCACCCACACATCGAGCTTCGAGGTTAAGCCCATGCCTTTCAAATGGCCATAAACAGTCGAATTCGACAAATTTAATCTCTCACCGATCTCTCTTGTGGTTATTCGCCGATTTGCATCAACTAATGCCTTTATCGCATCTTTGTCAGCTTCGACCGGCCTTCCAGACCGTGGTGCATCTTCGACATCAAAATTGCCGGATCGAAATTTTGCAAACCAGTTCTGGCACTGGCGTACTGTTAACACGCCTTCTCCATACACATCCGTGAATTTTTTTCTCGCTTGGACAGCATTTTTACCTTTTCTGAAGTAAAATATGACGAAAATGCTGCTTATTGCTCTCCATATTTAAAAGGGCACCAACCAAAAACTACTGCGTATAATTAATAGAACTTTTTCACACACAAGCCTTGCAATATCAGCTCTCAAGACATATAATGGTTATGCGGCTTAAGTGTGAAGTTGGTTTCGAAAAAACGTAATTAAGTCCTCTGACGGGAAAAAACGAAATGACTTTCCGAACAACCTTATAATTATCCCGAATTTAGCAAATAAAACGCTAATTTATTATTTAGTATACCAAATGGTATTTAAAATCAAAATAATTCAACAAATTTCACCAAACTACCCAACTTGCCAAATGAAGATTTGTAAAGATTTGTAAATATCTGTCTCTTGACTTACTAAAAACTGGGTTGAATAGTAGTGGATTTCCAGTTTTTTACTTCTAAACATTATCATGGTTTCCACTTTTCATTTTGTTGTATTGCATATATTTTCTACTTCTATATACTAAGTAACATCTGCAGTGAAAATATCTAAGAAAAATTTAATCTCCAATGAATCTTCCGTCAGATGTTATTTTATTAAACCGCACGAAAGTCGTTAACTTCGACATTTGACAAATCTGTATCTTGAAAACTTATATTTTCATTTACCTCGCTTTCCCACTGATCCGTGTTCACTTAATTTGGTAGATATTCACTACCTCTATCGGAAAATATATCATTGTTTTTAAACAATAATTTAATATGACGTGCCTCACGGCGATCCAATCCGCAATAATTATAATCATTATCATTTTGCATTTTGGTCCGCGTTTTGGAAGGCTCTGGTGTGTTCCTCCTTCGATATTATAAACGATGCGAAGTCGGCCATTACTCGCCACAATATTATATTGGTTCCCCGGGTATGAATAACGCGATGTCATATCATAGCCTGTGTGGCAAATTTCTATGTGGTAGATATATATGTCGGAAATCGTAAAAAATAATTAAAATAATATAATAAAAATAATAAAATAGAAATAGAAAGCCTGAGTGGCGGGCTCTGATGGTTAGCGAGGCGACAGGGTTAGGCTTCTCGGAGATATTAAAAGAACGCACAATACAGTGCTTAAAACAAATGAATAATCTAAGCACTTAATGGATTATTATAGGGAGTCCAATGATCCGCGACCCGCTAGATCAACTACAAAATAGTCAATCAAAAATAATCTATCGGAGCTACTCAAAATCCGACTTAGCCAGTGCTTTTATAAAGCCTTCGCCGGTTCGCGATTCGTTCGGTTCCGAAAAATACCAAAGTGGTTTCCCATGGGTCCACAGTATTACGAATGACGGAATTATAACTGTTTAGGTTAGTTAGTTAAATAGAATTTAAAATTCGATGCGATTTCGTTCCCTGACGGACAATCTAAAAATTTAATAAATAATTTGCAGCTAATTCTTTTGGTCGCTTTGGTCAAATTTTTTCACCCCAATGACTTTTTTACCTCTTACTCGGTACATACAACCTACTGTGTTTGCCAATTTTAGAAGAACCTACCACGAAATTTCCGCAAAAAACCAAAAACGAAATAATAAACCGGGTGTTTCCTACCACGAAATTTCCTCAGAAACATTAAAATTAAATAATAAACCCAATGTCCCATTTAAAATAAGGAAGAATAAGGAATAAGGACATGTTATGAAATTTCCCCTGAAAGCCAAAAACGAAATAAACCAGGTGTTTCATTTAAAATAAGGAAGTTAGGTGCCGCTAAAGATTTATCAGATCAGATATGTATAATAGCAAGTATCTTATCAATCTAACATAACTATAGATGGCAAACTATATTTCAAGATGGCTAATTGTAAAAGACAATACCTACTAACATAAGTATGGGTGAAATTTGAGCAAAATACTATAAATTATTTAACAAAATATGCATTAGCTTGATTTTATAATTATTGACGTAAACACATAATAATTCGTGGGCATATTTGTTTACCACAGGAGATCAAACTATTTAGAGGCATATTCTGGGCATGTCGAGTATTAGTCAGTGCGGTAGACAAAAATTGACCTCATTTCTCTGGGAGGAACATGGAAATTAAAACTTGACAAAACGCAAGAAGCAATAATACCCTTAAAATCAAAGCACTGATCTTTAATTCTTCAAGGAAGCCAATCTATGAAGCTCACCTACCTCATCAATTTCCATCTGAAAACTCTTCTAGCCCAGACACTTTAGATACCTCAAAAATATGTTGTTACCACTAGAAAAGGACATACACACCTTGCATCCTTCATACTTCATATCACAGCTTCACCTCAGCATATGCATTGAAATATTTTGAGATCATCTGCAAAAAGTAGGTAGTTGACTCCTGAGACACACCCGATAATACATTTATTATGGAGGAGAGAAATCTATTCATTCAGATAACCTGACAACTGTAACAATCACAAACCCCAAATACCAAACTCTTCAACAATACTTCAATAATATACAATTAATATTTTTTAATTAATTAATAATACAATTAATTAATACTATTATCTATAAATCAAAATCAAAACATTATAGAAGCAGCTCCAAGCGATAGAGAAGAACTTTTCATACAGAAGCTGAGGCAGTGCTGCGTGCTTTTCGACTTTGCTGCTGATCCCTTATCAGATTTAAAATGGAAAGAAGTGAAAAGAACAGCACTTACAGAAATGGTCGAATTCGTGACTCAATATAAGGGTGTAATCACTGAAAGCGTCTATCCCGAAGCAGTAAATATGGTAGGTTAAAATTTGCTCTCTCTCTCTCTCTCTCTCTCTCTCTCTCTCTCTCTCTCTCTCTCTCTCTCTCTCTCGCAAACACATTTTGACTTTACAATGGTGTTTTCGTTTCAGTTCTCTGTCAACCTGTTTAGAACTTTGCCGCCATCATCTAACCCCAATGGTGCAGAATTCGATCCTGAGGAGGACGAGCCCACACTGGAGGCGGCTTGGCCACATCTGCAACTGATATATGAACTATTCTTGCGCGTATTGGAAGCGCCAGACTTTCAAGCAAGCGTGGCGAAGAAATACATCGATCAAAAATTTGTTCTGCAGCTTCTGGACTTGTTTGATTCCGAGGACCCCAGGGAGAGGGATTTGTTAAAAACAACCCTCCACCGGATTTATGGAAAGTTTCTAGCTCTGCGGGCGTTCATCAGGAAACAAATCAACAATGTGTTTTATCGGTAATTTTAAGCGGCTTTGAAAACTATTCCTGATAAGGATGATGGCAATTTGTAGATTTATTTATGAGACGGAACACCATAATGGTATCGCCGAGCTCCTAGAGATCCTGGGATCAATCATAAATGGTTTTGCTTTACCTCTCAAAGAGGAACACAAGGTTTTTCTCTTGCGAGTACTGATGCCTCTACACAAGGTTAAGTCCCTGTCTGTATACCATCCCCAGCTCGCTTACTGCGTGGTACAATTCTTGGAAAAAGACCCGTCCCTAACGCAACCTGTAATCCAGAGCCTGCTAAAATACTGGCCCAAGACTCACAGCCCCAAAGAGGTTATGTTCTTGAACGAGCTTGAAGAAATACTAGACGTTATTGAACCGGCTGAGTTTCAAAAGGTACAGGATTGATCTATTTTAAATAAATAAATGTTTTATTTTGCATTAGAAAAAATAATGCAAAAGTTGTAGTGTTTAATGTGGAGATTTAATATTTATTTATTTATTTATGTACAGGGTGTACCAAAAGCTGTATATTATTTAAGTTTCTTTTACTTTAATTTGAAAAATGTTGTTATTAATTTACATTAATTCCAAAATTAGCCAAAAATAAAATCTTCGGCTGCCCCCCAGTGGTTTGCCAAATTTAAATGTTATATTAGGAATAATTAATATAATATTTAAAAATATTTTGAAAATCCATTAAATTCTAAAAGTGAAAAATCCACTCTTTTAAGTTTAGCAAAGTTCAGCATTTGATTGAGGACAATAATACTCAGGGATTAGCATTTTCTAAACAATGTTGCAACTGATGAACAATGATTAATGGTTTTTCATAAAATTTTATGGACCGATGAATCTAGTTTTACCACAGCAGGGATGCCCTCACTGGTCGGTAGAAAATGCGTAAGATATTTAGAAGTTAAACGTTCAGGATATGGATCCTTCAACGTTTGGGGTGGTCTAAAAAAACGCCAAATTATTGAACTCATTTTTTATAATGACTGAAGAAATCTGTTTAAGAATTTTAAGGGAATCTATAAAAAAATCTTTTAGAAAACACACAAATCAATTAAATAGCGGAAATTGTTGCCCCAGTGACAAAATATTTGAATAATACATATCCAACATGGATTAAGCTAAGCGATACTATGTTTAGCCAATAGCCCAGATCTTACCGCTGTCTTACTTTTTTGGGGGTTTATCTAAAATACTTTGGGTGGTATGACAATATTTATTTGTTATTTTATTTTATACACCCAAAGGCTAACCAACCAATTACAGGATAGCGCATATTTAACATAAGATTACACATGGTCGGGAATACAAAAGAAACTTAACCAGATATTTCCTAAGCTAATAGGCAGTAATTAAAAAAATGTTACAAAATTTTCCATGTTTCTTAGAAACAGGCGTAGGCTTAAGTTGAATAAGTCTGTATCTTCGTTTTTCAGAAAAATACAGTTACTATACATCTAATAAGCGGAAAGTTTAGGAAGTAATTAAATCTGATTCTTTTTATAGAAAAAGTTAGCCTAGTGCCCACTAAATAAGGACTAGCATTAAAAGATAAGTGACTTGTACAAGAAGGTTTTTATAAAGAAAAATTACGTCTAAGCAATTTCTGCGTATCTCAAGCGATATTGATTTATAAAACTGTATGATATTTTCTTACGAAGAGTAGTGTCTGCTCTATTATATCTAAAATTTAAAAAAAAAGCTTAAGTGACGATTTTATGTTTTACAAAGGCATTTTTTTTAAACAGAGTTTCCAATTTAAAATTTTAGGTTATGGTTCCTCTCTTCCGTCAGTTATCTAAGTGCGTAAGCTCCCCGCACTTCCAAGTGGCCGAGAGGGCGCTGTACTACTGGAACAATGAATACGTAATGTCTTTGGTGGCGGAAAATGCTACCGAAATACTGCCGATTATGTTTCCGAGCCTCTACAAAAACTCCAAGAGTCACTGGAACAAAACCATTCACGGGCTCATTTACAACGCGTTAAAACTGTTCATGGAGATGAACCAGAAGCTTTTTGATGAGTGCACAAAGCAATATCGTCAGGAAAGGCAAAAGTTCGTTGCAGACATTTGAAATGACGAGATTATTTTATTATGACTTACAGAGAACGGGAGCGGCAGAACCAAAGGATGGAGTTGTGGTGCAAAGTGGAATCTTTGGCGATGAGCAGACCTGAATTTGAATTGCTGAGGGGCAGAATGTTTCTGGATATATCTAGCGTAATCGCGAGTCCCGAATTCGAGGAGGACGTTAACTTGGAAAATTTGGAACAAGAAGCGATTGAGGTAAATTAGTAGTTTGTGTAGCTTAATGGTGATGGGTTGAGCAACAAGGTACGATCGCTGATGGCAGATTTAGAGTTTAAAGACACTAAGATTAATAATAATTTATCGCTTGGATATAATATTGATTGTTGTTACTTTGGCAGACTTGTTGGAATTATATATTTTCTCATGAAACGAATATCGTTTTTTTTTTTTGCCCATTTCTGAGTGAGACCAAAGTTATTATGGCATGATCCGTTTTGGAAATAGTTTCTTGGAATTCTTAATAATAGGTGTCTGTGTAAAAACTTTCAATGAACTTAAATAAATTACACATGGTGGGCAATTAAGAAGGACACTGGGCCGTATCTCGAAAAGTAATTGTAAATATTTGCGGGGGGGGGGGGGTGATAAAACTTATAACCAAGTCGGTCAAGAGAAAATGCTGAAAATTATTTTTAAGTTTCTAAAATGGCCACCAGGAAGCGTAATCGCATTCTTGATTTCAAAATTGCGTTTTTTCTATTTTGTTAATTGGTTTTTCCCTATTTCATTAAGAAAAAGGTGGGAGTATTCAAAGATTTTTGGAAATAAATGTTAATAACTTCAAAACGGATAACGCGTTTTCTCAAACTTGGAGTTGTTGAAAAGGGCACTTTTTATTCTATCAAGGCTGTCATCCCAAAGATTTAGATTGCTTGTAACGCCGCTAAAGGGTGTTTTGCTACATCACTATAAGTAAAATTTATTAAAAAAAAAAAAGAACTATACCACTTTAATTGCAATGAAATATACCCAAATAAGTGTCTAATAAGTTAGTGAAAACCGTATTTCGAAATCTTTATTGTAACATAATATCGCCAAAAGAAATAAAAACTGGAAATAATATCGCATACCTGCTATTTTTAAATCCTAATTTCTTCTTTTTTTTGCAAATATGTATACATACATTCATCCGTTCGTTGTTTGATCCTAGAGTAGGATCAGTTATCTGATGTTTAGACAGAATTTAATTTGGAAAAAAAAAATATTTAAAATGTCAATAATACTCATTTAACAATACTCATTCAGTATTATTAAATATTGCCCATCACTCCACCCAAAATTCAAAAATTTTCAAATCCAAGTGTGCTTTGGAAAACAAAATAGCAAAAATTATAATTGCAGTATTTAAGTGGCAGTCATATTAAGATTGCAACTATTTATAGTATATTTGGGGACTTTATTTGCAAAAAATACATTTTCCATAAGTTGAAGTGCGTTTCATGTTTATTTTCAAAACATTGACAACGCAACTGTTTCTGTTAGACTCTAATGTGTAATGTTTAATCTCTGTTATTGTTTTTCATTCTTTTATTATATTATATGGCAATATTCAAGCAATATGCTAATACATAATACATATTAATTTATTTATTAATGTATCTTGCTAAAAGCGCGAATAGTAGTATTTAATAATGATACCTATCCTGAAGATATATCCAAAGATTGCTACATTATATTGTTTTTTCTTTTACTGATATAGGTTAGGAAAGGGATATTGAAATGAGGTTTTCACTTGCGTCTGAGACCCTTATTTGGATGTCCTTTTGGTGCAATAAAAATGATTTAGTTATCAATCCGTTCAGGGCAGCGTTGATGGCCTAAGAAGAGCCCTTTTGAACGACTTTAAGTTTGGAAAAATGTGTTCAGTCATTCTGAAGTTATTGGCAATTAACATTTAAAGAATTGAATTTTTCTCAACTTTGAAACGGTCACTTTAGTTATCTGTAATATAAAATTATTTCTCAAAAAACAGGATAAAAAATTCTAGAATGCGATTATGCCACCTTACGGCCATTCTAGGAAATTTAAAATTAATTTCCAGCTTTTTCTCTAGGGTGCTTTAGTCTTTATGGCTTTTTGAGATAGGGCAAAGCGAACTTCTTAATTGGCCACTAAGTAAACAGTTTGGTGACTGTAAATAGAAAACTCACAGACTAACGGACTTCAAAATGAGAAAGGAATTACCCAAATATTTTTTTCCTGTTCTGGATATGACAGTTAGAAAACGAAATGGCTGAAAATGTAAGAACAAGAAAATTGTGCTAGGATTCGCCAACAATTATAAAATTAGGTCAAATTCCAGTTTAATAACCGTTTTTAGTGATTTTCTTTGTTGTGATTTAAATATTTAATGTTTTTCCCTGAAGTTATAATGTTTCCTAAGATATAAAAAGGATGGTGTTCTTGTAAATCGACATATAATTTTGGGCGAGGTAAGTATTTCCCTTGAATTTTTCATGCCCCCAAACCAATTTTTTGCTCAATTGTATTGATTAATTGCTTAAGAAAAGTAAATTTATGCTTGATTTGCCTTTTGTTTAGTTATTTGGTTAGTTGGTAATGTTAAGGTTTAAGTAATGATTGTTGGGAAATTATTTTAGTAAGTCCCATTTGCATATGTATGGCTATTAAAAGCAATTAGGTTCTACGGCCCTTCGCGTAGACCACAATATCTTTAAACGGCAATAGATTGATACTTACAGTTAGATACAATTAATGACACTCTAATAGAATAAACCTCTTACTGTATAGAACTTATTTTGCTTTTTATATTTATGACAATTGTAATAAAACTTGTATATGTTTATATTCTGGTACTGTTCTAATTAAATATGGGGCTTTTTATTGTGAAGAGAATTCATAATTACTTTCATCTATAAAATTGAGGCTAACCAGAAGTCATCATTTGTACACAAATTGGAATGGGCAAAACAAATTGTATAATTGCATCCTAACAAAGTTTTTCATTCCTTGATTGTCTCCAACACCTTGGGCAATATTTACCCTGCATCAATAAACAAAGTTTGCAACATATTTTGGAAAATTTTGCTTTTTGCTGTCAATTTTTCAAACAATTTAGGAAGAGCTTTTTTCAGCAGTATAGTGATAATAGCTGCAGACCAGACCTTACTCAAAAAAGCTCGCAAAGTGTCAGTGTCTATGTCCACGTTCCATTGCATTCTGTGGCTTAATTAGAAGGGATAGAATCAAACTGCTTTTGATTCTATTCTGCGTTTGATTAGTTTCCTTTCAGAGAAAATTTTTAGTTTTATTTCAAAATAGTCTGTTGACCTAAAAGCCTCGATAAAACTTTTCGTCGTGCCTTAATCAGCATTTCAAAGTAAGGCTCAGTGTTGCTTTCCAACAGTGGCAGAGGATCTCACATCATCCAATCTATCTGCACCTCCTGTTAGTTGTTGTTCAAAAAGCTTTTTATCACATCAACACAGCATGGACATTATATTTATCACTGTTGTCAACATTGTCAGAAAACGGCAAACGCACTAAATTTCACTTATTGTATTGTATTGTTTTGTATTTATCCGTGAATTCAAAACTGAAATTGATTTTATATAGGGTGGTTCATAGTGAACGCGCCAAAAAGAAGCAAACCTAGGTTAAACTTGAGAAAATAATAATATTGAGGCAAAAATACTGTAGTAAAGTTTCGCCTGTTAGCAAGATACAGTTTCGTTCTCGAAAATGTTGTTTCTTTGGGGCTTTTTTTTTGACCCTATAATCTCGGTATTTAATATCACAACTTTTTTGTTAATACCCTTCGTTTTTTTTTCAAGATTATGATTGAGTTCATTTCATTTTGATGATCCTTTTTATACCATACCACATTTATGTCGAACACATAGTTTTTGAGATATTTGCATTGTAATATTTTATTCCAAGTCATATCGCTGGCTCAAAAACAGTTCATAGCCTATGGATTAGATATTAACACATTCACGGCCACATTAGCATTGATATTCATTAATTTAAACAAAAAATCTTTTTATATTTTAAAAGTGAATAGAAAATCACTTCAACTGCTTAGTATGCCTAGATATATTCCGCTCATTCAGATATTATCTTAAAAAAAAAACGTCTATTAACAAAAAAATTATGACATGAAATCGACAAATTATAGGGTGTAACTAACACCCTCTACATATAATTTGAAAAAATACAATGTCATCGTATTCGCTATCTCAAAAAAAAAGGAATCCAAGTTTTCATGTCATTTTAAAAACTGCTTAAGCCATACAGAAATAACAATTTCGGAAACTAAACTTTATGAATAATAGGATGTAACCTTATTCTGGAAAAATCCCCGAATCTAGGTTTGAGCTTGAGCTATAAATAAATAACAATTTCGAAAACTAAACTTTAACACACCGCATTTGGCTCAATATCACGGTTTTCATTACGGACGACATTTTGTAATATGATACAATAGTTATGGTAGAATCCTGAATCTAGTCGTTTTGTAGGCAAAAAAGACCAACGCAAATAAGCCCCTGATGCGTCGCAAGTCTGAACTACCGCAGGACCAGTACACAGTAACCGCGCTGAATAGTCACAAGCGAGCAGATGAATACCTTTCTACGCCGCCAGACGTCAACAAATGCTAGTCTTTTACAAAGGTTAGGTAGCTTAGTGCCAACAATATTTAATGTTTTCTATTTCTACTTTTGAAGTCATATAAAAGCAGGAGGGAAAAATTTAAAGTACTAAGCAGTTAGGAAATAACTCGATGGTATTAGGTGAACTAATGTATTCATTTATCTTTATTAAAAATCGAATTTGGATGTAAGAGCAGGAAATGGAGAGGAGACCGTCTGTGTATGGTTTCTGATCAAAAAGTGAACAAATTAAAAAAAAAATTATGCCCATTATGGGATCATATGAAAATAACTAATATTGAACTGTAATTTGGTAATTTTGAGATTGAACTCGCCAAAAAAAGCTAATAGCAGAGCATCATAATCGAAACATGAAAATCCTTATTTAGTTGATTAGGATTAAATTTCAGTTAGGTTAGGTTTTTTTTAGGCAGTGTCCCGATGGTGCCTTTGTTGTCCATAATCCTCAATTTTGTTTCTGTTTTAAACACAAGTTGGTGTCATCTTAACAATTTCTTGTATTTTTTAGATATAACGCTAGTAAAATAAGGGTGCTTAGAAGAACAATGTCGCGTTTATTCTAAAATTTTCTGAACTAGTTAAAACTTTTTTAGTATTTGTTTTTAATATTTTAGTTGTCCTATCCTTTTTAAAAAAGAATTAAAGATATGGTATTATTTTTCTTGAAATCTGGATCTTGATTGAACATTTTAATTTTTTGTTTCACTTGATGGCGTTTTTACCAAAAATTGTTATATACATTGTGATTCACTGTAGATTGTACATAGCTTAAATCCAGATCATTTCATTTGAAAAATATCTCCTTAGTCGGGATTTATCACGATATTTATTTAAAGGTAAATAACAAAAAATTATAAAAATTGGTAGGTTAATTATTATGCCCCTTGAATTTTGCCATTAAATAAATTGTTTTGCTAGTTGAAATTCTGATACAAACTTGTAATCTTTATATAATAAAATTTTAGTAAAAATAAGTTTGGTGCTAACACTTCAACTTTAAAATTATTATTATTTACTGATAAAGAAAATGAGGATATTTTTATATTGCGTTGACCAAGTTACACTTCTGACGATGGTTATATTAAGTAGTTCAAATGTACAGAACAAAAATTTGAAACACCTTTATAACATAGAACATTTGCTTTTGAATTTCGTTTGAGTGAAACTCAAAATTTAATCAAAATTGTAGACGTTGATTCTTCTATGCTATTATAATGCAAAAATCCACACGTTCAAATATTGTTGACCGCTTTATAAAAAATAATACAAAGAAGTTTTAAGCAAACCCCGCGAATCATTAGCGTTGGATCAGGGTAAGTGTAATTTTCTCAATAATATCTAGATTTAATGTTTAGGTTCGCCAAACCTTTATTTATAGTATTTAGTTATGTAAGTTGAGGCTTGATTAATTAATGTGCATTTCCCGCGGCCTTCTTTCCTGGCTTAACGAGGGTTCCAAAGACTATAAATAAAATATTCTGCTCAATACTTGAAGCAATTCAAAATGGTTGGGCCGGGCTGGCTGACTTCGCGAAAATTTTTGGATGCTGCACATATTGAGAGTTTCGGAGCAATTTAATGTTGCAGTGAATGAATGTAGCTTGAAGATTGCTCCAAAAGCATAGTTTGAAAAATGTATATACATATATTGTGAAGTATCTTTATGTTTTAGTTGAGAGTACATTGCCCTGAACCATATTATATTTTTGTAAAAAGTATATATATTTAGCTTTATTGTATTACTCATTTATTTTAAGCAACATTTGTTTTATAATAAATTTAGTATGTTAGAACTGTTCAATTGTGAGTTTTCATATCCATATCCATTAAACTAATGTTGGTGGGAGCAATACAACTAAAATATTTTCAAGATGGCTGCTCATCCGGATATACTGGAAGTGGACATCAACTTTTTCATATAAAATGCACCATTATTGGTTGTTTGGATTCTTCAAAAAATTCTAGATATATTTGATGTCTTAAATTTTACAGTTTCTGGGAGATTTTATATCAAAAATGAGGTTTGCAGACCAAATAACAACTGTAAATTTACCTATAAGGAATCCATTAAAATTTTACTCTATTACCTTACCTTGTAGGAAATGCTCTATCTATATAATTAAAAATAAGGACTATTTTGTATTAGATTGTATATTTCAAATTTCTTTTTTGTCCACTAGGACTTGCGCAGCATTGAAAAGGTGTTACAAATATTTTTTGTTATATAATAAGTTGATAAAGTAAAATTTTAAAGGATTCCTTATAGGAAAATTTACAAACGTCGTTTTTGACAGAAAATGTTAAATATAAAAATAAGAACCAACATGAGTTATTTATGGTAGTTTAGAAATTAGGCAACCACAGCTTTGTTTCAGGTTTCAGGTATAATAATCAGAATTTCGCATATTACTTTGTGTAGTCAAAGTAGGGGGAAAAAGAAACTGAGAAATGGTGCTGACCATATATTACCATTATTGCAAAATAATTTTCCTTTGGGTAAATTAATTATTTAAAGGCGTTCCTGGCGAACCCACGACATCAATTATTTCTGCTGTTGTCATCTTGGAGTCTGGGTCTTGTTGGGACAATAATTGTGGAGGAATGGTCAAGGTCTGCAAAAAAATATTCAGATTAAACATTCCCAACAAAGTACCCCATTAATACTCTGCCAGGATTCAAAGCCTCATACTGATGCCTCAAGGATTGCAATTCATCTTCACAGGTGCTCAGTGCGGACTTGAGCTCCATTAGGAACACCATATCGCTGCGGAGCTCATTGAAATTCTGGCAAATTTCTTCGGTCGGAGTGGGGTTAAGCTCTAGAACATAGGTTAATCACCATATTTCCAAATCGAGATAAAATTGTTATTAACCTAATGACATGTCCTGAAGGGTCTGTTCAATATTTTTAGATTTTTTCTGACCAACATTGCCCGGAAGTTTCATACGCTGAGACCTGAGTGAAACTCCGCTGTTCTTGAAGTCTGGAAATTTGATACCCGCGCTCTCAACAGCCTGTAAAATGTGCTTTAAACATCAGAAAATATTTTTTAATACTTATTTCCCAAAACCTATAAATAAACTTTTATTAAGCTACACATACTAAACGGTCTATTGTCAAATACATTTCTACATTATATTTCTTAAACAACTCTACTTACGCTGCTGTCAACTTTCGATGGCCTAGAAGGATTCACAATTTTCCGTTTAGGGTTCTTTTTGTCTATTTTTCTTGGAGTGTCATTTTGACTATCTGCCTGGCTAATTAATTTTTGCAAATCTTGAGTTTTTCTCTCCCGCTCTTTTTTACGAGCTTCAATCTTTTTCAATTCACTTAAAAGAAATTGTTCTTCTTCAATCTAAAACCGAATTTTCAGAACAACTTTTTGGATGAAACAATGTACCAAACCTGTTCAGTTGTACGATCATAAAGTTTTTTCAATTGTTCTTTACGTCTCCTTTCATGGTCAGCATCATAGGTGTAGATTTTTTTCTCACCACTTAACTAAAAGGTATAACCTTATATTTTAAGAAAATGACACTCCTGAAAAAGTACCTTGCCAAGTATACCTGTGATTTTATAATACCGTTCTTTCAAATCCTCAACCGAACGTTTTGTAAACTTTTCAGTGTCATACCTGTCGGCCATAACTATAAACCTAAGATCAAATCTATGTGCCAGATCCATCAAATGATCTGTTTCCTCTTTTGTCCATGCCTCGCAAGTTAAATGTTGCTGATACTCAACATCTGTGTAAGCAGGTATTTCAATTTTTTTATTGAATTTCGCAAATGGATATTCTTTAGGTTCGTCACTAGGTCGTCTCCAATGATAAAATGTTGCACTGTCAGCTCTAGCTGGGTTTGTGAATGCCATCCACTTCCAAGGCCTTGGTTTTCGCATGCCTAGTTTGATTTTAATCTGTTTATAGCCATTTCCAACTGCAAAATATAATTTAAAATGACTTTAACCCCTTCGTTTTTGAATATACCTGTGTCTGATGGAAATAAAGGGGGAACATCTTTATTATCATTGTACAGAAGGGCAAATACTTCTCTGTGCATGCCTTCTGGTCTTTTTGACTGTTTAGGACCCATCAGGTTTCGTTTTTTCTGTTTTTCGGAACCAATTATTGTTTCTCTTGTGATTTCGGGGGTGGGCGGACGTCCTAATTCTAAGATATCTCGTACGTCGGCCATAATGAAATATCTCTAAGAAAACTATATACTTTTTTTTAAATATAACGGTACGGAGTTTACCCTTAACGATAGTGGTTACAAAATAGACGCAGCTCCCTTTATAAAAACACTCCCTTGTTATTTGAGCGTTGGACGGTCCGCTGCTAATTCATTCACAGCTGATTACCTGGCAGTGGCGTAACAAAATTTGTAATAGAAGCAAAGAACAAAAAGTTTAAAGTGGCACCTTAATTTCAAAATAAATATGTTATCTCTTTATCTGAATTTTTTGAATAATTTTGATAATAAAACAATACCTTGAAACCGCTTATTCAAAACAAGGTAATTTCTAAGTTAGTGTTACGTTCTTTTCTTATATTTGCGAAAGGGCAGTGGCAGAGGTATAATTTTGTCTATTTTGACGTTTGACGCCTCCCAAAAATTTTAGGTTAGGTTAAAGTGTAAATATGAAAACAATAGTTTTTTACTAAATTTTGGTAATACTTCAATATGTGGTCGTTTTTCTCTCGGGATCCATCTAAAGACTTTAATTACGAAATCGTAGAGTTGGTAAGCGGTTTGGAAACAAAAAGCGTATGGAGCCAACATAAGGGCAAAAAGCGAGTAAGTAATGGAAGCAGAAATCACTGTTCCGATGAGCAACTGGTTGCTGCTGATTTTCGTTTATAACAGAAGGAATTCAAAATGTTTTTTAGGGCACTAACGAGGAAGTATCAGTGTTTGTGTATGACATAAAAACTGGATCTGATGCACAGTTGGAATTAGCAAAATCTGCAATTAAGCGGTTAAAAACTCTTCGTCATCCAAGTGTTTTAACCTTTTTAGATAGCCTAGAGACAGACAAAAATTTATATCTAGCTACAGAATATGTTGAGCCATTAGCTCCACATTTAGAGAAACTTACGCTAGAGACCCCACAAAAGGAACTGTACATAGCCTGGGGTATATTTCAGATAACGGTATTTAAATTGGTAATTTAATTCAGAGATTATATAATTTTTATTTTAGAGAGCTTTGTCTTTTTTAAACAACGATGGAAATCTTAGGCACCATAATGTTAATATTTGGTCAGTATTTGTCAATACCTCGGGGGAATGGAAATTAGGTGGAGTTGAGTATGTTAGCAATGTTCAGGATAATCATGTTACAGTTTGTAAAGTTACCCATTCTCTTGAGGTGTATGATCCCCCTGAGAAACATGATCCTACAAAGCAACGTCTCATTACTAAATGGCAAATATTTTAGGTTGTTATAAAATTGTCATTATGTAATGTTAATAATTTTAGTTCCTCTGACATGTGGGGTCTTGGGTGCTTGATATGGGAGATATTTAATGGCCCCCTTTATCAAAAGAAAAACTTGGAAAATCTGGAAAAAGTGTGTTGTCCATCCATTTAGCTATTTCAAAGACAATGTGCTTTTTAGGTACCAAAGCAGTTAATCACCCTTTATTCTGAGTTAGTGAGTCCAAATCCATCTGCAAGACCTAATCCAGCGGATATTATTACTAGATGTCGGAAATTAGGAGGCTATTTCAAAAATGACTTAGTTGATACTCTGTTGTTCCTGGAAGAGATACAAATCAAAGATAAAAATGAGAAGAACAGATTTTTCTCCAATCTGACCCCACATTTAGATAATTTTCCAGACAGTGTCTGCAAGCACAAGATACTACCCCAGCTGATAACTGCATTTGAATATGGAGATGCTGGATCTGCTGTATTAGCACCTATGTTTAAAGTAAGCCCTCTAGATTGTAGGTCTTGCGGCATCAATTTATTCATGTGATGGTGTACAAACGTACTTACATATTGTCAGTAAGAAGAAAATAATATAAATCACAGTTTGCATTACATTAGAATTAAGCATACTTTGTTTCAAAGTATGCCTTGGCTTTTGACATCGAGTATCTGCCAATGGCAATAAAACACCTGACCAGCCCCTATTGTAGGATGAGGCCTTAGGGACGGACTTTTAAGGTTTTTTTTTTTAAACATGAAGACTAAATATTATATTATGTTTATTTAGCTCTGATGATATTAGATCTGATCACATTAGTACTACTAGAAAATACAGTGACACTAAATATATAAATAAATATATACATTATATTGTTATATTATATTGAAAATCTAATTGTTTCACTCTCAGTTAGCATTAAGATAAATTACAATGGGCTCCATATTATTTTGCATTTGATTTTATTTAATATATAGCATGCAACGGGTTTATTGTTTGGAAATCACTGTTTAGAAACAGAATGGCGCAAGATTTAGGTTAGTGGCATGCGCGGCCTGCGGCTCATCAGGATGTTATTTTTTTAAAGCATAAGAATTTAACACTTCCAAAATTTGCCCTTTCTTGTAACTGTATTCACAATAAACATCATTTGGGTAAAAAATGTTATTTTTTTTATATTTTGTTTATTAAAATTTGGCCCTTTTTGTAGGCGGCTGTGTAAGTTCTGCACTTTTATCTTCATGATAGTCCAAATTCTTAATATTGTTCTCAGACAACAGCAAGCAGTTTGGAGTAAATCCTTCTTCTGAACCAGCGCGAATTATAGTGATGTGTTTTCCTTTAGTGAAGTGTTGTTTGACATATTTTACTGGATCATGTGTATTGAACCAATATTTTTAGTTGATGCAAAGTAGGAACAATTTGATATTGACAAAGAGAAACTATTTTTCTCATATCTTCTTTACTATTGTCCAAACTGTGAGATTTAAGAAGTCATTGTTAACAATATCCTTTTTTGAAGATATTGACATTTTTACAAGTACGCAAGTTTCTTTTAAAGCTCCTTGTTTAATGAATCTTCTACTTATTAAGCATCCATACACCTTTTATATATTTCTTTTGCCCCTAATGACAGGTTATTGCGACGTGACATAACAGAAAAAATAATGATATACTCCTAAGAAGCTTGCTCGAAACGCGCGGTAAAATGGGTTATTCAATACTGCCACTGATCAGCCCACACGCGGCTGACATGTATCTCACTCGTCCCTTACCCATTGGTTGGGTTTGCTCAGTAGCAATAAGTATGAAGGTTGTACTTACTTTTTGGGGGAGCATCCGTCAAAAGCCAAGACGTTATACTTTGAGACACACTTTACCTGTACAATTATACGCTTCAAAAATTATAATTACGAACTAATATGACATGCTCTCTGAAGGTGCCATCTTGCATGACATAGTTGGGAAACTGGGAATTACTGGTGATGTTTTTTTGGTATAATTTTGCAGTTGGGCAAGTTACTAGAGGAAACTGAATACCAGAGGAAAATTGTTCCATGTGTAGTAAAATTGTTTGGCAGCAATGACAGAGCCACACGCTCTCGCCTCCTGCAACAATTGGAACATTTTATAGGTCACTTGCAGGCGAGCACAGTCAACGATCAGATTTTCCCCCAAATTGCTCATGGATTTATGGATACCAATCCAACCATTCGTGAACAGACTGTCAAAGTAATTTCTGTTTTGATCAAGCTTGTGGTTTTCAATATGATGATTGGTTTTAGTCTGTGATACATCTAGCTCCTAAGTTAAGTTACAACCATTTAAATGTAGAAGTGCTAAGGCATTTTGCCCGTCTTCAGGCAAAGGATGACCAAGGTGGAATAAGAACCAACACAACAGTGTGTTTGGGCAAGATCGCACAGCACTTACACCCACAGATAAGGCAAAAAGTTTTGATATCGGCATTTACTCGTGCCATGAGGGACCCATTTCCGCCTGCTAGAAACGCGAGTAAGTTACAGTTGTAACCATAAATTCTTTGTTTGTCAAAACTTTTTAATTGTTAAAAGTGCAGCACCAGAATAGGTAAAATATGAAGTTTTCATTTGACATAGAAATACATATTTAATCTATTTAAATGAACTTAACACCATTAGATCTCCAATCGCCAACTTGGATTGTTTAGTTTTATTTAGCTTGGATAATTTTATATTAGAAGGTTGTCTACATGTGTTTGGCTGAAAACTCTGGGTCTTCAATAAAAGGGGAAAAAATGCAACTGTTAACTTTATCACGTTTCTTGAACAATAGTACAAGGACCCGTCCTGCGTAGAGTCGCATAGCCCTTTATAAACCGCTACCACTAAGATTGATCAAGGTTATTTGAGTTATTTCATTGGTTTTTTGTTTCATATTTCAAAACGAACTAGATGTTAATTATCTTAATTATGCAAAGTTATGTTCATATAATTCCGATCTAAAAAAGTTTTAATCTAAACTTTTAAAATAACCAAGTTTTTAATCCAATGAAGTTTCTTGTGTTAAATTTTGTACCTAAACGTAAATAAACGTGCCGCTTTTACTTAATTTTTTTGTGTGTGGTTTGCGGAGGATGATTCAAGAGCAACAATTTAAGATGGAATCCATTTTCATTGTATTTAAAATCTAATGAGAAAACCGGTGTTTTGTAGAAGGCGAAGCATTATTAAATGCAAAACTTAATTGGATCTTCAGCAGGAACTGATAACTTGAATTATATTTTTACAGTTCGTCTTCAATCTAGAAAAATTAAAAGCACTGTCTGTAAAATTAAGACTCAATTAAATATTGCAAAAGGTCAAGATTCATAAATCCAGTCGTAAAGCTGGTTTGTTGGTAAGTTGCAAATATATTGCTAAAGTTTGTTTGTTAGGTTTAAAGAATAAAATGTTTACATGAGAAAGTAATATTAGGTTAATATTATTACTTAATAACTCTTGAGTGACGTCCATCAACAGAGCAATTTATTTTGTGTTTGTTGTTTTATGTTGTGTTTATATCCAAACCATAGTAATTGTAAAATCGCCAATAGGCAAACTTAAATTTACTAAATGCAAACACTTATTTTGTATTTAGTAAAATTTTGTTTTAAATGTATATATAAATAAATATATCTTTTGAGTAGGTTGTGCTACTTCTTTTTTTGGGATGTTGCTTTGTCATATTTCGATTTTGCCGGCAATAAAGAATATTATTAGTTGTATTATTACTATAAAGTTAATATATCTAACCACTAGCGGAATTCAATTTGCTTCAATAAATCCTATCCCACACAAGGCCGAATTTCCGAGCAGAAAAATACGCTTCCACTTTAAATAACCCACATAGTCAGCCGGCACGTGCGGGATAGAACTAACCTTTTGATTTTTGTTTTTGAAATATTTTCGCTATTTTAAGATTTTTCTGCCACCATTTTTTTGTTTTATTATTATTTGTGTTTTTTTGTGCTATGTTTTTATCACTTGATCATAAAAATTTAATCTATATATATTATTTATAACTACCTACAATCGATTTTTAAAAATTTTTGATTTTAACATTTTTTTTTATAATAAAAATTTTAAGCACTTTTAATTAAAAAATGGATTAAAAATCAAGCATAAGAGATAATTTTATGAAATTTTCAGCATCCATGGTCTATACTTTAAGAATATATTAACGACTTAAAATTATTTGTTTATTTTCATATTGTTAACTAACTTTTAAGTTAACAAATGGAAATTTAACTGATTTCTTGGTAAAAAAAACATTTTTTTTATCGGTTTTATCCATTTAAGTTTTATGAAAAATGAATTTATTTATGACAGCGCGCCGAGCGCTGTGGAAGCGCCGCGCTGCCGAGCATCTCGAACTGCATTGAAGATTTTATCAGTGGTAATTTAAAATAGTAATACAAAATAGTATTATAAAACAAATTTTATTATTTATGTTATTTTATTATAATTATTATTAATAAAATTTACAATCATAACATACTAAATAGAACAAGCAAGCTTAAATAATTAAATTGTAAATTGGTCGTCAGTTATTATTATTATTTTTTTTTAAACTTTGTTAATACATACTTTTTTATCCACTGAAACGAGCCAACATTCTAGTGAAAAAGTTTCCAATGGTTTGTAATAATGAAATTGGCGAGTATTTTTTATTGTAGTGAAGCGTTCGAATCGTGGTTGGTATTTTTTTTCATGTAGCCCATGATCTTTAATAGTACACAAAGCAAAATCAATTTTTTTAAAAGAACTTTGGACCCATTGGAAAAAGGAAAGTGAGGTTGTTATGTGGTTGTTTTTATCACGTTGGAGAGTAGCACTGTAAGCTTGTCTTTTTACACTCCCTGCTAAGCCATCATACGCTCCTTTGCCATGAGATGTAGCGAAAAAAGTCCAATCAGCATCAAGACCAAAATCATTTTTATGATTAACAAAATTTGCAAAATTATATTTATTTTTATATTGTGAAGCTGCTCCATCGGATTTTTTTTTTATTTTATCGGCACCAAATCTAGTTTTCAAAAATTCTATCAATTTAGTATTAAATAAATGTACTGAACTTGCATCGTGACTAAGTTTTTCTGATATCACAAGAAAATTTTCATGGTTCATTTCTCCATTTGCTTTATAATAAAAGACATAAGGGTGAAGTGTAGCCTGATCATTGGACCAATGAATAGCATCTTGAAAAAAAACAATAATTTTCGGAAAAATCGAGACATACTATAAACTCTCCATCATCATCAGATTCTTTTTGTTTAAAGAAATAAGACGCTTGAGCCACAAAATCATGCTTTGACAGATCGGACCACTTATTTCCCAACTAAGGCAAAAAATCTTCCTTTAAATACGCTTCAACGATTTCAGTCCGCAAAATTTCAAAAGAATGTATTAGATAATAAATTGTGTACAAAAATCAATTATTACACAAATTGATGAAATTAAATTATTTATGTTTTGCCCTTTTCCTTACCTGTCGGTACTTTTCCATTGACAAAACGATATTTCCTTTTTCTCATGGCTTTCAATTAATAATTTTAACATCAATAACAACATTAACTTCTGGATACTTTTTACAGGCCCAAAAAAGACATGATAATGTAGGTTGCGCGCAAATAGAGCTTTGAATCAAGTCATTATAACTTTCAGTAAAATCAACACCTTTTTTTTCAGTTCATTTTTTAGTCCATGTAATTGTAATTTTACATTTTTGTGAATTTTGCACACATTATTTGTTCCACTGTTTCCAGCATTCCAACATTCCCTTAAAGTTTGAAATTTAGTCTGTCCAATTTTTTCATCAGCAAATTTTTCTTTAAATTTTTTATATAAATCATGTATGTTAAATAGTAAGAGTCTCTTTGTTTCTGTGTTTTTTTACCATTTTTAATAACCGTAACATAATTTTTCCTTCCAGACATCACACGGCTAGCATCATCTGATAAATAAAAATTTTTCACGCAATCAAGTGTTGAATTGTCCAGACTTTTGCCTTTTTTAGAGTCAGGCTGTAACACAAATCCTGAATTTTTTCTAATATTTTTTAGTAGCTTCTCTTTGACACTTTGAACTCACGTCGTTATTTTGATGGACCAATCCAGCGGAAGAGTAGTCAAAACTTGATTTTTTTCGGATCTACTAGTTTTTTTATCAAAAGCAGACTTGAAATTATTTAAAAGAAAGTCACCAGAGTTATTATCATTAATATCTTTACCACTCAATTTTTTTAGACACTCAGCAACACTTGACACTCGTCTCAATTTTGTCGGTGGTTCACCAACTTCCGACAGCAATTTGTTTTCAATTTTCAATTGATTACCACACTTGAAAGTCGGATCTTTTTTATCATCATCTGTAATTGTATCTGCTTCTGGCTCAGTGATATCAACAATAGGATCATTATTTACAGGTTTATGGCTTGTATTTTTACTTGTATTTTAGGTTCGCGGCCCAGATAAATTGCCCTCTCACAAGAATTGCACATATAGTTTCCTATAAAGGCTCTGAATTGGCAAGCACGATGAGCTGTTATTATAACTAATTTTTTAATCACATAATTTTGATTTTTTTTATTTAACTGATTGCAACATTTATTTACTCAGCCCATTTTAAATCACAGAAAATATTATTACAATTAAAAATTATAATACTAAAATATTAACTAAAAAAACATATTTCCTTAAATATATGTTATAAAAACACGATTAGTTTAATTATAAGTTAATTTGATTGAATACAGCGTTTAAATTTCTTAATTTTGCTCTCGGTTTATAAATTCGAGTTAACGTGAATTATTTTGAAACAATAGCATGGCAGGTATTCAGGTATTACGATAAATTTGCAACAAAATTCAGTTGTTACGAATCAGTTGTTTAAGCAAATCCCCTGTAATGCATCAACTTTCTTGTAACCATTTTTGTAGTTCTGATTTTTAGGGTCCCATAATAGTGAATGCTTTTTGTACAATTCTATTACTGTGTTCCATTTCTTTCCCTCCCGACATGTATATGACAATGTGATGTGGATTATTTTAATTTTCCAAAGAACCTAATAAATTGATTCTCGCTACAGTTCACCTGATCCATAATTAAATTAAAAATTTGAAATATGATGGCGATATAAAACTTGAACACGTATTTTGTTTTACCATTATCTACGTTAAAATTTTAAATACTCTGTCTTCTATGAGTTGTTATATTTGTCAAGCTCGTTTGAATTGTCATGCTTGAATTCTTTTTTTAAGAACTATAGAAAAAGCCGCGCAAGAAAATCATCAATCAAATAACGAAGATCAGATCCTTTAATAAACATAATTACCGCCATAAAGTTAAGTTTATCGATATTACAATTGCTCTCGGGCATGTAAATTGCTAAATTGCTAATTGAATTGCGCGTTATAGGCATTCAGTCACATTTTCTTATAAGCGTCATCTCTCGATAATCTCACCAAAACAACCCTGTATATACTACAATCTTGCATAGCTTGAATTTTTATTATTAGAGTAACTTAGTTCGCCTTCAATTATAAACTCTTTTTTTTGTTTGTTGTTAAATACAAATGTCATAGTGTTTTCCACAAGATCGTCCCACTGTGCCGTCGGAACCGTGGTTCATAAATCAGGAGGCAAAAATTATATAAAAAAAACATGCCGTATCTAAACAGTTAGATAAATGCAACATGGGTATATAAAGGATATCAAAGTCAAAAACTTAATGGACGCAGTGTCCTGGAGCTATTAATAAGCTATAGTCAATTAAGTTTGCAATGAAATAGTCCCCACAGCAGACTAATAGTAATTATTAATTTGATCCGGCCCCGTGTGAAAAATTGTACTTGAAACATGTATTTCTCTTAAGGTGTGTTGGCATTGGCAGCTACGCAGCAGTATTACTTGCTCGTTGAAGTATCCCAAAGGATACTGCCGGCCTTGTGTCAGCTAACCCTAGATCCGGAAAAGTCTGTACGGGACTCAGTTTTTCGTACAATCAAAGGGTTTTTGGGGAAATTGGAAAAGGTGTCGGAGGATCCGAGCCTGAAAGAAAGCATGGGTATGTGGGCATCGTTGCCGGATAAAACTAGTCCGGTTAACATTTTTTTTATTGTTTGGCAGAAGCAGACGTCAATACAGCAACGCCCAGCCTAGGTAACGCTGCGGCCACGTGGGCCGGTTGGGCGGTGACGGCGGTTACAGCTAAATTTTACCGGAGTCAGTCTGAAACTGTTAAGTCTGTTAATACCATCGCCAGTAGGATGCTGAATAAACCAGCTTCGTTAGGTATGTCAATTTCAATTAAAGCAATATTATATATTTGGGGATGATTTTTGATAAACATTTTACATGAAAAGAACATGTACAGTATGTAACGGGTTAGGAAATTAATCTACAAGTTTTATAAACTACGAAAGATACTACCGTTTGGAACCTTGAAGGTGTCTATCCTTCCTTGTAGAATCAAATCTGAATTATGGACTAGTGGTTAAAGGTTAGAGTTCAATTGTTGTGGCTGCCGGGTTAATGTATGTATAATACATTCAATTTGATTTGTATGCGTGCGCATACACTACACACCTAACCTGCCATTGTGCGCTAAAATATTTCTAGTAATACCAAATGTGTATTGTGATTAATGCCTTCATTGTGATTTTGGAATTATTTGTTTTCATTTATTATATATTATTAAATATATCTATTATATCAGAACAACCATCTAGTAGCAGTATATCGACGACCACATCCAGTGTAACTTCTATGACGTCATTGGAACATGAAGAGGGAAGTAGGGGTAATGAATCGGTATCTGATTATGATTACGATCATTGGGGAGACAACGAAAATTGGGGCGACATGGAGGTAAGTTATTGATAATTTTTTTTTTACTATTGATTGATTTATTATTGATATCTTGGGAAGACTGAGGGGCAAATGGCGAGCAGCAGTGGTAGCCCGGGCATAACAGGAACTCACAGCGATCCAACTAGTCCTCCTTCCGGATCGGGGGCGAAGGTAACAGATGGCTGGGACAACGAAGAATGGGGTAGCCTAGAAGAAGAGCCAGTAAGTGGCGGGATTGCTCGCGTTCGCGGACGTAAAACTTTCTTTTTTTAGGAAGCGGAAGCCGAAATGACTTCCCCTTCAGATGCGTGGAGTCCTATCGAACAAAATAAAGCAAACAATGTGCAGAAACCGGAGATTTACTCGAACTGGGAAGAAACCGAGTTTGAACCGCTGCAAGACCAGACAAACGTGTCCAGCCAGAGGTTGGAGGAAGCTAAAAAAAGACGTGAAGAAAAGAAACTGATTAAACAGAAGGAGTTAGAGGCTCGAAGAGCGAACAGGGCCACCGCGGGGCCGATGAAATTAGGTGCTAAAAAACTGTAGGTGCTAATTTTGACGTCATAATATTCTCGGGACATCGTCTTCAAAAGTTCATGTAAAAAGTGGTTTTATTCATAGTAACCTTCTTAAATGTGTTAAATTGGCAATTGTAGGCCATAACCCAAGAGTTTGTATCGTAACTATGGAAGGAGATAAATAATATATTGATAAAGCTGTTTAAAAATTTTTGATCCTTTTTTTGTAGTACGTCAAGATGATGAAAGGGTTTTCTAAACAATTTTAGCTTTTTTTGTGACAAAACTTCTCAAACAAATTCCTATATTTATGGAATAAGTGAACAAAGAATGAATACAGATAGAATTCGTTTTTTTTTTACCGTAAAATAATCTATTCCGCAAATTAAATAGCGCAGAAATTGGCAAGTTTCAATTGCAATTAAAAAAATAAAACAAATTTTAAATTACTGAAAATGGTTTAAGTAAATTAAAACTGAAATAGCTACTTTTTATGAAAATTTCAAAACTTTTATAACAACATTGTAATTTATCGCCTGTGTGAAGTGAAATTGTACACATGGGATCCTTGGGCTATGGTAAAACTCTACTATGACATATATAAATCTGTACATGAATTTAAAAAATAAAAACGTACAAGTCTGGATTAGGAAAGAGAAAAATGGTGCATTCAGAAAGAGGTTTTGATGTTATATTATCTTATAAGTATGTTAAAATTTTATTGCTCATAAAATGTGTAGCTTAATTAGTTATTAACAAATGTGTTATATTAAAAAAATATTTGATTCTGTTTGTTAACTTTATATAACCGCTATTTAAGGCAAATTAATTTTAAACATCTATGTTGCTAGTATAATATCAAACCCTCGATATTAATTTGTATTATCAAATAAACCAAGAGAAAAATGTAGCCTAATGTTTTTTAAACTTTGTAATATATTAGATTCTATGATATTTAAACTCTTTTACTTGCTACATAATAAATTTAATTATCAATATCCACAAGGTGTTTATTTTAATTGGGAAAACTTAAGAGCTCTCCCAACACTTGACTTTAATGTATATACCAACAATCATCGAGAAGTGTAATCTATAATTTTTAATAAAACAGTGTCAAGTAATGTTGGTACATAGACTTGGTACGAAAATACATGCAAGACAAGTTTTTTTTCTGATATCACAGGGCAATTAGTCATGACCAGCATGTGAATAGTTCTAAGAATGTAATGAAGAATAAATAAAAAATGTCCTACACCTTCGAAACTGGAGACAAATAAATTGATATCGAGCTTTATGTACAAATTTATTCATTAGGGCTTATACATACAACCAAAATCTTACAAATACTGCCATGGAAGTGGAAATGGATATTTAAATCAAGAAATTAGTTTGCTATAGTGTAATTATTCGTAATACACAAACCAAAACTATCAAAAGTCAAATACACAACAAAAGTCAACCAGTTGAAAAACTCAATGTCTATTATAACAGTCTAAGCAAATTTACACAATTTTGATGAAGTTACTTCATAGTAATATACGAAAGGAAGGCAAAGCTAAAATTTCAACAGTTTGGCCAATTTAAACAATTCTGCTTAAATGTGATGGAATGTAGGCTCACAGAAAAAAATGTGTAAACTGCTTTCCTATAAAAAAAAACAACAGTCTTGTCCTCTTAACTATGGTCCCCATCCAGCCTCAATCGTTTGCGCGCTGGTTCTTCTGTTGGAGTTACCTCTCGCTTCTTTGTGGCATTCTGTTAAAATTAAAAAGAATCATGAGATATTATTGGAGATGTTTTCATGGCTACCTTTTTGTCCCAATGTTGCTGCATATATTTCAACAGAATACTGGTCTTTTCTGTAACAATTACTGAAAATTTATTACATTAGATGAAAATTTGAAAGAATGTATGGTCTTACTTTGCTGGGGGGGATAATCTTTTGTGGGTATATAAACTGATGGCCTCTTGGATGACAATCTGTTGTTGCCATCGACATGAAATTTGGAGAAATTGTTTTCATTGTATGAAGGCAAACCAGCTAAAAACTGGGCGACCGACTGAAATAGAAAACTCAGTTTAAAGCTAGACTATGATTTCAACGAACTTACCATGCTACTGACGATATAGTACTAATATGTTAGCATAATGATCGACACAACATCCATTAAAATAGAACCTTCTTTTTTTTCTTTGATAAAGTTTTAGAAAATTGAAAAACTGCTTTGAAAACTGTCACATCACATATCTTCTAATTTTTACAGTATGTTGGCCAAGTTACTCACGGACACTTGACCCTTATCGACTTCCGTCGAGGAGTGCGTATAGACAAAACTAATCAAAACTAACCAAAACTAAAGAGAAAACTACAAAACATTTTGAATTTACATGCAAATAAAACTAATTCCAAATACAAATCGCACATTTATTTTGTTTTTTATGTTAAATTATTAGGATATGTTTCGGTTACCGGTTATTTCGAATAACGTATTATTTTTTCACAAAGCTTAAATAATCTTTACAATTCTATTCTATGGTTAACCTTTTGGTTCCAAATTTTACTCCGTGGTTGTTGTCGTGTGTCATCTAAATTGACGGGGGGTTTGTGAAAATTTTCATTTAAACGGCATGTTACATCGTCAGTCCAGAAGACAAATGTGTTATTTAGCAGATTGACAAAGCGACAACGTGCTCTTTACACGACAGCATTCCCAAAAAGTCAAGATTCCGCCAAAAAGCTTTACTGGGCCCATAGGGTGGCTTCCGAAAGTAAGTACACAATTTGGAGTCAGATCCGAGGTCACGTTTTGCTCATTTGAAGATTTTGATAATTTGGAGGTCACAAAGTTTTGGTAGGAAATATCTGAAGGTATTGGTTAGTATTTTTAAAGTTGAAATACTTACCATTTCAAGTTTTTTTTTTAATTTAAACTAATTACTCCGTCTTACATATTGATACTGATGTATTTTTATATGAAATTTTAACTAATATTGCTAGCTTGTTATCACCAAATTATCAACTTGTCTATCTACCTATTTAACGAGACAATTTGTTTTCTATATTATTACATTTTTGTATTCCGTATAATCACGAAATTTCCAGTTTAAAATAATGCTTTTTTAAATACTGAATTGAGTTTTTACTTGTTGCGTAATCTATAGCTCACCAAACTGTGGGTCGGTAACATATTTCGCGTACAATCAACAATGTGTCATATATTTAATATCTTCAACATTATTTTAAATTTGTATTATATCATTGAACAAAATTTTTTATATGATTACTCTTGTATCTGTATGATGTTAACAAAGAAAGTGTTAAAAACAAATTTTATTTTGTAAGTAAAGCTTTATAAAACGTAAAATGCGAGTTTTTACTGCTACACATGCATTTTTTGAGGAGGATAAAGTATAACCAATAATTGAAAAGATACATTGGTGGAATTGCTTCATTTGGGATTTAAATTTTTGTAGAGTTTCTTTATCACAACATGCATTGCACTAGTATGTTTTAATAAAAAAAAGTTAACCATCTTCAAAACCTTATGAAGGTGGTTGAGGGGCTCCAAATTGATATTTTCTTTGTTTTTACTCTTTGCTTTTTGAATGAATTTGTAATGCCAGTTTTGCTCATTATTATCAGCTTTTTATCTGGTCAATTCACAATCTTCTCAAATAGAAAAAATGCCTTTTCTCTATGGTAAAGGTCACTTATGTATATAATTTTCCTAATAATCTCTGCTCGTGCCATTATTTGCAGGTGTGGCAATAAAAATGGCTAAAAAGATCCGGGAAAAAATCGAGACAAAAAGCGGACCTTCTCAAAAATTGAAATTTAAAAGCAAACAGAAATTCAATTGCACGGTAAAACAAGACCAATGTCACAGTAAATTTAGGGCCAATAGGGTGGTACCCGACACTTCTAAGGAAGATAGTTTCTTTTTAAAATCCGAATCAACGGTTAAAAATTCAGTGGTGTCAGACAATGGACAGAATCCGCAAGCAACTTCTAAAAAATTTGATAAGAAACTTTGGAGGTTGAAAAAATATAGTAACAAATACAAACTGCAACAATGGGAGGAAATGCGAAAAAAAGCGGTTTTGCGAGATTATCAAAAAACCTTGAAACACGAGGACTCTAAATTTGACGTTCAAAAAATCTACCAAGAATTTGAACAGGATGGCGACGAGGGGGAAAAAAGCAGCAGCCAGTCGACGTCAAAGAAGAGGTTTAAAAATGCCAGGGAGCGTTTCGAAGATATTCATGCCAGAAAACAGGCGCAAAAGGAAGAATGGCTTAAGAGGAAGGCTGAGAAGCAAGAGGCCATTAGAGAGTATAAAAGAAAAAAGCTTGAGAAGTTCAAGAAATTATCGAGAAAAACGAAAAAAGGACAACCGATAATGAAGAATAGAATAGAAATACTGCTCGAAAAAATACAAAGTAGTATTAATACTTAAATAAGTTTTTAACTCCATTCATCCAGAGTATGAGATGGTATTCCAAGAGTCACATTAAAATAAAATTAAAAAGAACCCCTCATTAAAAGTCCGTAATACATAGAAATTTTCATATTCTGTTTTGATTCACATGTTTTTCCTTCTCCTAAAAGGTAGCTTGGCTAAAATGGGCCCCCAGTAATGTTCTTTGCATGGGTAGACCTCCCCATCTTTCTAACCTCTCTATTCGTGATGATCTTTATTACTCTCCTGAAACTTAAGGTTGAACTTTCTTTGAACTTTTCTATATTTCTATATTTTCTTTTATTAAAACGTCCAAGCCTTTTCCATTTATTGGTTAATCATCGTCAATGTGTTTGCATTTGTATTAAAGTCCATGGGAAACTGGCATTCAATGTGAGCATGCAAGATTCATTTCAAAACTCTTTCAACCAATGAATGTGGCGTTGTTTCAGCCGCATTTTGTCCAAATATTCGCAAATCTCATTTAACCTTCACGGAAAAAACGAGTTGAATGCGGTGCACATATGCGAAAATGAGATAAATCAATTTTAATCTTTTTGCAACCCCTATTTTATATGAAGGCTCTTCGGTGAAAAGTTCAAATATGATTTTTATATTATGTTGTGGAAATAATATGCATGCCTATTTATTCACTATTTGTCTTTATTATAGTAAAAAACTATATACAAATTTTTAAATCTTACAAAACTCCCTTTTTCCTTATTCATCATTTCTTTTTCATAACTACATTAATACTACATACCAACTACATAACTACATAAATTTAATAATAATAATAATCATAATGATAATAATAAATTATAAAGCAATTATGAAAAAAAATTGCATGCGCGAGATTTAAAATTCGTTGTTAACCAATGACACTTATAATTGCAAATTCTGGCCTTCGACCAATAAGATCTTGTGGCATTCAACCACCAACATGACCGCTGAGAGATCGACAAGAAGTTTGTATGCGGCATTTTTACAGTACTATTTTCTCAACAAATGCCGAGTTTGTTAAATGAAAAATAAATAGATTACACTCGGGTTTATCTAAGAAACTATTATGATCTCATTATAAAAGTTTGTGAATGGGAGTCCTATATAAATCACCTTTAAATCTTTTAAATTAACTTGCATACTTACCCGTGTATTCTATTCTATTCCTTATAGTTTTTATCACAAACACAAGTTTTCCAGTGGGTGAACATTATTGTGACAAAAACACAAAAAAGATACAGAAATATTAACCAAACGCCTAAACTATAAACAAACGATACAGACTGCTTAGTATTCTGTGGCAATATAGCAATAGCAATTTTGTAGAAAAATTACGACATCGTCGCAGCGCAGTCAGTGGAGGGGTGACGTGTAACCATAACCAACTTGGACCATAGTAGGGCTACTATATTATGCATATAGCTTCTAGGGATATCGAGGCCCTGCCTAAGGTTGTTGATAATACAGGAACTTATGAAGCAACCATGAAAGACAAAATTGAGTAGGTCTATTCAGCGTGCGCATGCGCGACCTTTAAAATTTCCTTTTTAACCAATGACCTTGCTGCATTCGGCAACCAACTAGGCCAGGGCGCCAATAATCATAAGAACGGCACTGAATTCAATAACAGCCCTTACGACATTGTCGCTTTAAAGTAATATAAGTTTAATTAACGTTAAGAAGTAACTAATTTTTTGGTATTTTATTAGACCTGGGTTTACCTAGTTCACTATCCAGTGGTTCCTTGGGAACCAGGTTGATAAAAGCCGAGAATTGTAACCGGTGGTTGGAAACCAACTAAAAAGCACTTTCTTAATAATACTTTAATTTACTTGTTTATTATCAATGCTCTTTAACTTTATAAGAAAAACTTATTTTAAGACTCGAAAAATGCTATGACATTAGGAATTCGTCTAATTTTATTAGATTTATTACATATCAAAGTGAGAATTCCCGTTAGCAGGTCGAAAACCAGCACATTAAACTTATGCTGTAATAAAAATTTATCTATTGCAAAAATAGTCATTATACACAGTTCTTTAGTTGAGCGGACATATTAAAAAAAAACAAGTATACAATGTAGAAATTATACTTACTTGCACATTGCATTACACATTACACAAAATTGGCAAGTCAGTTTATTCCTAAAAAATTTTAAGATTGTTTAGTTTTTCGTTTTCTAAAGTTGGCAGTACTTTACATCATGCAAGTATGTCATATAAAGCACAGCTTGTACGTTGTTTTGTCAATATTTTCGAAATTATATTTTGTTTATCGCACTTTACTACAGTTTGTGTTCCACAACGTTGCTTAAAAAATCACCACATAAAATACAACAAAAATAAATAAAACTTGTGAACTATAACCTAATATTAAACAAAATGGAATAAACTACCTTTTCCAGTTCCATCTTAAAGACTTAAAGGTCTAAAATAATTAACAAAATGCTTTAACATCCAAATTAGTCGCTGCTGAAACTCAATTTCCAATAATTAAAAAAAGAAAACAAAAGCTATGGATTTTGCCGATGTTTGATTCAGATTGATGATACTTCCTTCCAATTGTTCGGGTACCGTTAGAAAATTAACGCATAAACCAGACATTACGTCATTGTCTTTGTTGCCAACCAGTCGCCACATACCGGGAAGCTTTAATACAATACTACAAAAAATATAAACCTAAAGTTGGATCATCAAAATATACTATTCCCAATAATACAGCATGTAAAATCAATAAACGATGAATAATAAAATAAATTATTAAATTTTCTGTAAAACTACGATCACTTGTTATGTAATAATTAAATTAGATTGAATATTATTAAAACCATTCGGCACTGCAAATAAAAATCACAGTTACCGCTAAAAAAGATCCTTTTTTATTTATTGCAGCACATAGAAAGATAACCCAAAAAGAAAACAAGCTCTGAATAAAACAAAACATTTCGTTACTACTATTCATGTGCGAATCGTCCCAGAAAAATTCGAAAATGAAACCAAAACAGTTTATATTTCTGACACACTGTACGGACAAAACCCAGAGAAAATCAGAATTGGCTCGGCTTTCAGTGTCACGTGGAATCGCGTGAAGTCACTATATACTCACTTATCTTATCGTCGTTTATGTTATACTTTACATGCCAAAGATCAATTATCCGGGATAACGTTCGAAACGTGAAGAGGGGATATCGTATCCGCTATACCATCATTTACTTATGCGGAGTTCTTTAAACTTTTGCATCTTTTTACAGCGCCAGCGCAGCTTGTGCCGTTTTCTAACAATTTTCGCTTTTTTTTGTGCGTTTT